CAAATATATAACCAACAAATATTGCAAATTTACACATGACAAAATAATATATGTAGAATAAAGTAAAGCTGGCTGTAACTAATCGAAAACATCAAACAGGAGGGTTGACAAAATAAGCCAAGCTTGATAGTATGACTACCCTCAAAGAATACATAATAATACAAATATGGAGGAACAAAATATTGGTAAAAGGGGAAAAAGACAGAAAAAAGAAGAAAAAAAAAGAAGAGGGGATGCACATCAATATTCACAGACTTATGTGGTAGTTGGATTTCTTATGCGTCAATATTTCAATAGTGAAATGTTCTCATTCCTAGCCGTAGCTTATGATTAGGATAACAGCATTCTATGCGTATTATGAGGTTTACCGGCAGCAAAAGAAATTATGAAGGGATTAAAAGGGAGTGGTGAAGAAAGGTCTTGTGGGTTTTGGAAATGCAGCTTAAAGATAAAGTTGAGTTATGGTCATGCGATTGCCTTGTAAAAGAAACGGTGTGGAATCGATCAGAAAAGGTTGATGATGTAGCATATAGGTATTGGTGTGTACTGCAAGGTTCTGGAGTCATCCAAATGATAAGAAAATTGGCCCAGTATTGGTAAAGTAACAAGTACTATACACAGAAAATGCATATAGGACTACACAAACATTTTTAAGCTGTTACTTTTCATATTTAGAATATGAAGGCATTTGAAGAGTCATGGTTTTCAGGGATCAATTTTACTCTGATGTTCTTCCACACTTGCATAATAACAATGATAACGTTCACAACATTTTCACCTCTCCCCAGATCTCAACCTTCTCTTTAAATTGAATAATTTATTATTTGTTACACCTTCATTCTATAATTTACTTTGAAGTGAAGACTATACGCATGCACATGAAGGTATTTCTCCTTTACACGATTGTGAACGGAAAAAGACCAGTGGAGAAAGAAGAAGAAATAAAAGGAAAGATTATTGGAAAAAAGGGAATAATTGAAAGTACAAAATAATTGATTTCACTAATATGAGTGACTTCCATAATATACTCTTTAGTAATATTTTTAAAGACTTTTTAAAAAATACCGCACATAAATCCTACTTGCTGTTGCGTCACCGCATGATTTGTGTAACGTCAGTCACATGTAATTAATTAACAACACGACCCAAGAAACTTAACACTGCAATAATGCTGATAATGCAGATTTCTAATGTGTCAGTCATGCGGACAATGTAAGAAAACTAATGGAATAAAATTCGTACGCATTTTCCACTTATACAAAAACAAAATGAATAAAGATTGAATTTCTGTCCTTGCGGAAAAGAACTGGATGTGTACTTAGAAGCTTTTTGCAATATGTGTATTCCTAGTGTGCAATGTATATAAATATAGATGTTTAACCTCCCCATAATAATAAGGTTTCATATACAACGAAATAGTTCTCCCATGGAAATCATGGAAATCGAAATCATTCAGTAGAGGCGAAGGTCACATTGAATAAACTAAGCTGTAGATGTTTTAGATTTCAGGTTCTTATTATATTTGATATAATTCATTTTTTCGCAAATCTTTGTATTCTGCAAATCTTTGACCCACTGGCTACTGGATACTCCAATTCCCATCAGGCTCAATGCTTGAACCACAATTTTTCAGTGTAGGCAATGTAATTTAGCTAATTTTGCAGACAGAAAGTTGATAGTTGAAATGATGGGTTTGAAAAGATATTGTGATAAAAGGCATTATAGCATGGTCGGTGTGCTCACTAAAAATATAAAATAAATTATGTTCTTTATTCATACATGTTTTTCTCAAACTCAAAACGAATCAAATGTTTATTGAATCTGAAATGAGTTAAGATGACAAGGGGTGAAATAATGTAGCGATTCATTCTAAGAGAGAGAGAGAGATGGAGAGAGAGAGAGAGAGAGAGAGAGAGAAGAGAAAGAGAGAGAGAGAGAGAGAGAGAAGAGAGAGAGAGAGAGAGAGAGAGGAGAGAGAGAGAGAGACAGACATACAGACAGAGACAGATGAGAGAGACGTGCCAGACAGAAAGAGAGAGAGAGTGAGAGAGGAAAAAAAGAAAAAAAGAGAAGAATAAGAAGAAGAAGAAGAAGAAGAAGAAGAAGAAGAAGAAGAAGAAGAAGAAGAAGAAGAAGAAGAAGAGAGAGAGAGAGAGCATGAGAGAGAGCATGAGATAGAGAGAGATGAGAGAGGGGATATAATTCAAAATATGTTACACTTTTCAATATACTATAGAGAGAGATAGGTGAAGAGAATGCTAACTTAATAACAACTATTTTTAAGGGAGAGGAAGAGAGAGAGATGGAGAAAGAGAGAGAGAGAGAGAGGGGAGAGAGAGAGAGAGAGAGAGAGAGGTGGAGAAAGAGAGAGAGAGAGAGAGAGGGGAGAGAGAGAGAGAGAGAGAGAGAGAGAGAGAGGTGAATGAGCCTTCTCGTTGGTCCAAATTAAAGCACCTTATACAAGTTTTTACCTAATCGCATCGTTTGTCAGCGTAACGTCGTGCGCAATCATGAAATTATATTGATTTCATAGTATTACGTAACACAACTGACGGCATAACCATCGATCTATGAATATGCTATGACATCTATTATAAACCTTCACATGATTTGATTGTACTATACAACTCTACTATCCAAGAACCTGGTGATGACCCTGCCGATTTTCAACCAAGAATACTTCACTTTATTAAGGGTAAGTCTATTTTTTATAAAACCTTCTTTTTCATTGAATTTATGACGGTATAATTACGTCTGTTGCGTAATATCGCCCATGTCATGACATCGTAAATGTCGAGAGTATTATAGCTAATCATTCGACTCCTAATCAAAGTGGTAAAAACAATAGCTTATTTGAAATGGGACTAAATAATTTTCTTAATAGCGTCTATTCATAGATGGTTTGTTATTTCTTGAATGGGGGTGAGAGATTTGTTTTTGTCAAGTGTGTCGGGAAATAATGATTATGATATTATATTTTCAAAAGCGCAATCTGCATTCGCATCTATTATTTTACACGCGTTTCCAGTTTTGTACTGTTTAAGTCAAATTGTGCATGTATGATCATCATGCTTTATGTCTTGACTAAAAGTGATAACTACAAACCATGAACAGAGGGAAGAAAATGGGTCAGAAGTACCAATAATCTGTACCGACAGACGGAATTGGTAAATAAAACAGCATTAAGGGGCGACCCCTAACCCCTGCATAATTATCCTAAAGGTGATGGTGTTATGAATCGTAGTGTTATTAATCAGCTCGTAGGCGTGAGTTTATAAAATGTTCTTTGATGTTACTATTATGGCTATGCATTAATACAATTAACTCTAATTACGTGAAATTACTTTATATTTCAGTCTGAGGCGTAACCACGTTTTATATATTTCTAAACATAATAATCTGATTTTATTATTTCTAGAGGAAGGATGGATCTTAACACAGAGAGGACACATTCATCACGCTTTCCTCCATTCACGATGTGTAATACTGATTCATTCATCGCCTCACCATCCAACCACCCCTCTCATCAACCATACGGCAGCATTCTCCAGACATCTCGTTCCCATGGTGACGGTACCAGGATGCGATCCAAACCCCAATGTCTGCTTCAGATGGTTGCATCCACGGGGTTCTTGCTCCTGATCGTCGGGTGTCTCGTCGTCGTGGTCGGTGGTGGTCGTCGACCACGGGGTCCAGCTGGGCTCATCGGGCTTTTCATCATATCAACTGGATTCTCGTTTCTCATGGGTAAGTGTCGTGTACTAGAGAGCAGTGGTACATTGATATAATGAACTACGTGAGACCACAGAAATTCCCTTGCATTATTGATATTGACACTGTTCATCAGGACTTGAAATAATAGAAATAGAAATAAATTTAATTGAAAAAAGGGATACAGAGTAGTGTAACCAGAGGCTTTTTATGAGTTAGAAGGCGGTTAAAAAAAAAAGCAGTTATACAGTCTTTTCTTATATTAATGTATAATATGATACAAAATTGACCCATATATATTTAGTCTTCAAATTAGCAGATAGATGTCACTTTTTGACAAGCAAAGTTCTCCTCAACTTCGTCACCAGTATAAAATTTAAAGACATGCACCGTACCTCTGCCATGGCATTTTCTTCAGTAAAGGGATATCTTCCTCATAATCATATTGTATCTTAAGTTTTGATTCTTGTTGTCCGCTATTAGCTTTATAGCCGATATTAATTTCAATTCCGTTTTTCTAATCACGTTACAGCTCTTTATTTAACATGACCTCTAAAATTCTAAGCATATATGTTGAATGTTATAAGTTCAATTTTTCAATAACAAAAAAAGAGAGAAAAAAGGCCCGCGTCTTATTTAATGTTTGTAGTTTCAGAATAAGTATCATTTTCATTTATTCAAAATTATTGACAGTGATATTCCATGAATAAGTACATTGACTACGATATATACAAAAATGTAATAAGAATACACATGGTAATGAATAAAACTTTGATTTTTAAAATATTTTACATATATTCCTACAGTGAAATAATCTAAAAAGTAAATGGATGTAGAATCTTCAACAAGTTTTAAATGAGTTCATTTCCTATTATATTAAATAAGATGATGACAATAACCTCTATTATATAATGGAAATCAACAGGAATATATTCTTTCTGCTAATCGATAAACAGGGGCATTTTTTTGAATGGGGAAGTCCAAAAAAAATGGGACATCTGATCTTCGCATTTCATTGCCGTCAGAGAATGTAAGTGATGAAAAATCCATCATTAATTTTTCAACAATGAAATAATTCTCTTCAAATCTCTTTGCTCGCTCGCTTTGCGTGCTCTCAGAGGTTAATCAGTAAATATGATTGATAATAATTATTTTAATAAACAGGGTAAGGAATGCTCCATCTGCCCATCTGGTATAAAGCTTTGAACTATATATCAACACACTCCATTTTTTTCTCTAAAAATTGTCCTGTCTCACTACCGACTCTTGGCCCCCCCCCCCCCCCGTCCTACGAAATACAAATAGTCTCCATGTGAATTATACGAATCGCCGTATAGAATAAGATATTTTCACGAGGTGTCGTAGTCGATTGGTCTAAACAGTTACCTCGAGATATGAAAGTCGTAGGTTCGAGTCCCGACATGGCTTTTATGTCCTTGAGCAAGGTATTGTATCTACATTACTCCTCCCCTCCCCAGGTGTTAAATGGATATCCTGTTGGATTCGAAAATTATTGTCATTTGTTTGGCATTGTGAGTGTTTGTAAAAAGGCGCCTGGCTGGAATAAACCCAATGGATCGATTGTATGTGAGCAGTCCTGAATCCGACGACCGGGGTAATCCTCAAAGTGCTTAGAGACATCGTAGATATATCAAACGCCATATAAATCCAGGATTGTATTATTATCATTATTATTATTCCCCTTTTGTGAAAAGGACTGGATACGCCGCTTGCTTTGTCCTGGCTCATAATGGTGGTTCTGGTGTCGTTCCTTGCTCATCTAGAACAAGGTATATTGGGTTATCCCTCCCTTGTTTTGAAGAGCATCGAGGCTGTGATTTAAAACAAAAACATAAATGATCAGTTACAAGATACTTTCCATGAATACAATCGAATATCATTAGCCATAAAAGCTTTACATCACCACCAGACAAAAGTTTTACCATGTTTACTCAATGGCCTATTCATGTTTTGCTATCTATTAGCAAAAGACATGAAGTTAGTTCATTAATTTCATACTTTTTATCTTGTGAATTACCTTGAGTCTTTTTCCTGGTAGCCTAATATCTTCAATTTAGTAACGAATATTAGACAGATACATGTGCATGCCTCTCTGAGGAGTCTCTTCGACATGAAGCGTCCGCTCCTTGAACATTTTGCTCTGGCATGTCGAAAGGGCATGATGATTGATTGCGCCATTATTATCATACCTATTTTATTCATGTTCCAACAAAACTTGGTCAATTTAATATCTTGGACAAAATCATTTATATAGATTTTGATTAAAGCTAATCTTGAGCTCTGGTATGGGATGAGAATCGTACTGTCGAGAGAACATGGTTATAATTCATTTTGGAATGTTTATCCTGCAGTAGATTGATTTTTTGAACCAGTAAAACAAAAACTTGCTGGAAATCATCTTCATTCAAAATCACAACTGTCATTTGCACATAGTGACCTTTTTAAAACACATTATGTCGGGCCAACTTTAATACATTGATTTCCTTATCTTTCTATGCTCATTACTCAGCCCCTAACAATTTTCTATCTAAATCGTTTTCCACATGTCATTTATTTGCAATCTTGAACATTCAGTGTAATTTTTTTTGGATTTTGTGAAAAAAAATGCTATCATTACCAGAACTCAGGCATATCTTTAGTTTCATCGTTAAATCCTTGGATCGACAGTATGTATCAATGTCACGATATGGGATCCTATACAAACATACAGTCTGTTTTCATACTTACGCATTTATTATCAGGAGGTTGGCAGAAAGGTATGGAGCACAGAAGAATTGCAAACAATGACGTCATCATTGCTATCAAAGCTAATATAATCCCTATGATATTCACAATCACGGCTGTCACATCCTAGAGAAGGAGAAAAATAACAACAACATGTCAATAGAGGGTGCTATTATTCCGTAAGAGATTAAGAGGATGTAGAAGAGATTAGGCATTGTTCAGAGCAACTTTTTCAGACCAAGATTTTTATTAATTTGTTTAACCTCCCCCCCCCCCCCCAAAAAAAAAAAAAAAAAAAAAAAAAATAGTGAATAAGATTTGAAATACATATTAGAAATACGATTGTTAGCAAACATAGGCTTACGTTTTCGACGTGATCTCTTGACAGACCAATGGACAGGATGACTATGATATTACTGGAGATTACCAGAGAAGAGACGGATGCACCAAGAAAACCAAATACCTGTGTAAAAAATAAAGTGTTTTCATAAAAAGTATTTACTGATCTTGGTCTTTCTTAGACTAGATATACTATATAAGTGAAAACATTCTCCTCAATATTAGGAAGTATGATATTACATCTATTCTATAAAGTATCTTACTATGTTGTAACTGAGATTTAAAAACAAAAAACCCGATAACCGGCGGCTAAATGATACATTTTCATAGTTATTTACAAAATCCTTCAATTAAAATTACGATTAAGACACGATGAAAAAAAGAATATATTTTGTCAACAAGTCTACTGAGAGAAATATCTAAGAACTTTCTGATTACTGCAACATTCTACTTTTCTAACCTTAATCATCAAATGCCTTGCCTTAGTGCTATGCTCTGTATCATCAAAAACTAATATTTATATTTTTGATATCTAATTTGTTACATGGCCCTTTTGTAGACCAGCCTAGGAGCTTTATGTTGTTGTTTTTGGTTTGGGTTTTTTGTTTTAACCGTATTTTAATCAATCCCATGGCCTCTAGCAATGCTCATGTGCAAAGGAGATTTAGGTGTTGTAAATGAGAAAGCATCAACAGTACACTTTTCGCTTTCCAACAGGAAACTGTAATCATGATTCATGACAGATATATTCATTACACTTACGAAACATCGGATCTTGTTCCGTGCCACAATACCGAATACCCCAGGGGCGAGGAAAAACTGCGGGGTAATAATCATAGTAAAGATGATATATTTAGAACGAGGAGATGGGTTTCTCTTTAGAATTACGAATTATCAATCATACCAAAGTTTCCTTCGGGATCTATAAATATTAGGTGCAATGATATCATCGATATAAACATGATCACAAGATAATTCAGGTATGAGACCCATAACTGCTTATGAGAACGTGCTGATATAAACAATCATGGTAGAATTACGAATTATCAATCATACCAAAGTTTCCTTCGGGATCTATTAATATTAGGTGCAATGATATCATCGATATAAACATGATCACAAGATAATTCAGGTATGAGAACCATAACTGCTTATGAGAACGTGCTGATATAAACAACCATGGTAAAAGATTATGAGAATTCAACATAATAAACAGTAAGAAGATACTGTTTTGAAATTCACTGATGCTATAGAATAAAAAGAGAAAGAAAGAAAAATAATCAGGTATTCTTACCATCCCAGCCCAAATTCCTGGCCCGAATTCATGGAATTCGCTTTCGACGAAGACAGCAATTACTCCGATGATGGTTGAGAAAAAAGCGCAGACGATGAGTGTCACACCGAGTATCATAGACCACGCTCCATTGTAATGTCTTACTTTCCTGTGAGAAATGAGGAAACATGGCAGGTTCTGTCGTCAGGACACAGCATGGATCTTTCCAACCAAACAATAATATATCCATGAAATATCCTTGATTAGGCTTTTACGCTTTGTAAGCAATATTAATCACATTTCTCATAATAAATTCATATTTTTATTTTGCCTTTCCAAACAAGTATACTTATTTGAATACTTATAATTTTTGTTTCGTTCCTTTTATTACTTATATACACGTCTCAAAATATGCAATAATTATTTTTTTCAAGAATCAAGATGGAAATCGATTCAAGGTAGATTCCTAAATACATATCCGAATTCATTACACCTTTGTCGAGAAAAAACTGAATACAGAATACCTTCCATAAATATATAGATACAGCATAAAGAAAGAAACTACATTGGTATTCCACCCAAATGATTGTTTAAGCGCGTTAGAAAATGAGATGAATAATATTGCAGAGATCAACAACACAGAGGCATTAAGTCGCTCTGAGAATCTGATTACTATGGATCATTTATATGCAAAGAATTTTCTTAAAATATAACTTCAGTCCTTGTAAGTGGATTATTATGTATTGCCAGGATAATTTTTCTTTGAAAGCTGGGTCGCTATGGATATATTTTGGTTACCATAGTTACGGAAGGTTTTTCTTCAGATAACGTCTCGATCCTTGTTTTAGACATTTGATATTATGATATTAAAAACAATCACCCTGAAGTGATCATGTTGGTATATACACATATCGCTGGTGAGTTTACACTGTGAGTTTTAAGATATTTATCAAAGATATGCAGCCTACACAGTATTTAAACATCTAGTACAGATGGATGACTTAATTTAACTTAAAAACACTGGAATGAGATAAAGATATACAAATATACTGTAGATAGTACTAAAAGAATATACATGAATATTGCAGACATCAGAAAAATGAAATTACCAAATTGATGATACGGAATTCCTTAGAGGACCCGTCTGTAATTAGCTTAAAAATAAACCACCATTTGCGCTAATTTAATGTAAAAATATAGCCACTTTTTAATATACACTTCATGCAGTACGATACCATTTTCTCATTTGCCTCAACCATACAGGGGGGAACAATATCGCTGGGTGGGGGAGGGGTCAATTTTTGCCCAAATTTCAACATTCCATTTTTTTTAAGTTTGCGAGCAAATTAATTGAAGAGAGCAACAAAATAATAAGGTGACAGTCTCAGGTGATCTTCGTCATTTAACATTATCAGACAAGCTTAATACACTGACAAAGGGAAGAGACATTACGATGCCAATATGGCGGCTTCTAGAATATTGGTAATGCAACATCATCTGAGGAGGGGCGGGCCTCATAGCCCCTTCCCTTCCTCTCCTTCCACCTTCCCGGTGTTGTAAGCGTATGGAAGGCCGTCTACTCATATTGATCATATCATTTAATTTGATGAACCATGCAGAAATAATTAAATAAATAATATAGTATGTAGTATACGGTATACATAGTATTCGGAGAGGAGTGTATACTAAGGATGGGGGGGGGGTGCAACAAACCAGTTGTATCATGGTGGGTGGGGCCAATCATCTTACCCTTCATCCGGAGGTGAATCTTTCTTTCTTTCTCTGTATTTCTTCATACTGAGACATGAACTTGTGCGATCTACCTGTCTTGTGTAACTGCGATTGTCTGCCTCAGCCATCTCCTGTCAGTGATTAAATAAAATCATAAATAAAAAATACATTTATATTAAGTTATCTTTGCGTTTTTATTAACTGTATTCCTATTCATAAATGGGGCATTTCAATACAAACGCATTCAATATGGTTAAACAAAATACGCCTTATGCATAATCATGCATGAACCAGAAATGAAAATGCTATACGTCGCGGGCTGATACAGACACAAAGCGTATAACATTAACCTATTTCCTGTTATGTTCCCCCTTAGGGTGTGGCAATGTAGATTAGCATATCATCCATTTAAATTGGAATTACAAGAAGCTGGCTAGTGCCTGCTTATCGTTCGTAATACGTTCTGAGAAATGAAGATGCCCTGGGCAAGACATCGATCCATAAAAGTGAAGCAAATCTGTTGAGTTTTATATTGAAAACAACAGTGTTAATTGGAATATATCATTGGATTAAAAAAAATATTCATCTAGCAATGATTTACAAAATATACAAATCTATGATAATGAGGATTCAGATACAATAAACATACAATACCTCAAAAGTGAGCTACAGGCTAGGTGTAAGCCTACCTTTACTGAATGCTGCTGCACAAAAAACCTGCTACAGTTATGTAAATCACTTTGTGTTAGTCAGTTAATCCTCGTCGACCCGTATACAACAAATAATATCTGGAGCTCGAAAATGGCGACTATAACTGACTGCTGTGTTTAACGATTCCTTAACCAATTCATTGATAATACATGACTTCGTTGACTTATTAGCGCTTTGAAATGAAAGCAGCCTGTATAAAAGTGCTTACTTTGTAGTAGTATAAACTGAAGTTAATATGTACGTACACTGTACAAGCAGGGGATGGGACTATACACAGTTCAATGATCATTGTGTTTACCAGGCGCCTTCGTTATTGGTATTCATCGTATAGAGGTACACAAAGGGACAATCGCTCACAAAAGGGAAAGCCCCTATTATCAATGACATCATTTCGAAATATGCATGACCAAGCAAATAAAATAGTTAATACAAGGAATGACAGAGGTTATTCACATGATATACATGTAACCATGGAAATGAATAAGATCCGTATTGGAATAATTCTATTATAAATCTATTGTTTTCGGTTTCCTATAGACTACGATGTACATGGAATAATTTGTTATCATAAATCTTCCCCTTGTATATCTCCAGTTCATTGATTATCTATGCATAGTGGAGTTTTCAATTCTAAGAATTTCTGCAGATCTTTCGTTTCGCAAAATAACGTCTTTTAAGTTACCTACTCAACTCGTTCATGCTAAAAAAAACACTTTACAGATATATTCACTGCTTTCATTCTTAGTGTATGTGCATAATTTCTCGTCTCACTCGCCACATCGTACCACAGATTGTTTTATTTACAAATGCGGTAAGTAAATATCATATATGACGGGGGTGTGTGTCCGGACACTTAACAAAAGTAAGGCCGTCTTGTTTGCCGTAGGTTTTTACGAAAAATAAGCATTGAATGGCACATCATACACATTTTATCCAAACAAATAAAAATATCTTCCCTTACTAGCCAACCCAAAACAAATCCACTACCATCTCTCCCCCTCTCCCCCGCCCCCCCCCAAAAAAAAAACAGCAACACATCACAATAACATACACTCACACGCAAGAACACCCCCACACAGCCGCCCTCGCTCTCCACATACACACACAAACACCAAAGACACCGCAATGTTACCTGCTCACGTTCGTTTCTTAAAGGTGATATCTGTTTTGCGCATTTTAAAACGTGCAATCAATGGTTCTAGGACAACTACCCCCTGGGCAATCAGCCCCCTGCCAATTACTAGCGGGACAATTACCCCACGAAAATTACCCCCTAGGACTATTACCCACCTATGACAATTACTCCCCGAAAACATTCTGCTTTTATTAAAACCAAGTTATTATCAGGGTATACTTCCCCTTTGATGAACTGGGGGGGGGGGGGTAATTGTCCTAGGGGTAAGTTTTGGTGAGTAGTGCCAATGCGCGACTTGTCGCTGCTCTGCGTGCGGTCGCACAGAAGCGTGGAGAGTCACGTGACGAAAAACCGGAATCATACCGAAGTTTTGGTGTATTTTTGTCAAGCGTTTAATAAAAAAGTCTGACCTAGAGGTAAATTTTTCGATTTTGGTTTTTCGTCGTGTTTGCCGTTACCGACGAAAAACCGGAATGTGAAGATGAAAACAAAAATCGACGATTTTTGCTTGCAGTGTAAGTGCAGCTATACAGTCAAGACATTCCTGTAAGCATGGAGATCTATCTTATATGTCCATGTTGTAAGTATACACTTTGTTTGTACCTAGTTATCGAAATGATAATGACATTTATAAGAAACAATATGAATTTGATGTGTTTTGTTTATTCTTGCAGTAAATATTTTCTTCTTGGGATAGTACCATAAACATAGGATACATAGGCCTAGATTATATAAGGTCGGAAAATTAGCGAAACAAAAGAATGTTTGAAATTATATATCTGGGACCCGTCTTTAATATAAAGAGTTATACTTTTTATAAGACGGGACCCAGATGTTATAATTTCGTTTTCCGAATACCGCCCCCAGACTCAAGAGCAGGCGCGTACGCAGGATTTTTTCAAGGGGGGGGGGGGTTAACATTTATAAATCGGGCCGGGAATTTCGCAACGACTCAGCCAGCCGCTGAATAAAGCGGGGGGGGGGGGGGGTAAGAGGACACTATTTTATTTTTTTTTGGTCTCGAAATTTGAAAAATTGACATTTTGCTCCGTTGGGGGGGGGGGGGGGTAAGGTCAGCTTTTTTAGGTCAGCCATGGGATGATTTTTTTTTTTTTTTTTTTTAAATAAAAATTAAAAAAATCCAAAGGGGGGGGGGGCGGTTTACACACAAAAAATTACCAAAGGGGGGGTTTAACCCCCTAAACCCCCCCTCCCCTGTGTACGCGCCTGCTCAAGAGTAAGGCAGTCCTTTAAATCTCGGTAACATCGATATCGGTAAGTGTATTATGTTCCACTTTTCAATTTCCTGTTTTTCTGATACATGCAGCATCCAGTTGAAAAGATATTAATGACATGTGAAATTTAAGACTCGATCGTGAAGCGGGTGTATTATTTATTTAAACCGTACCCTACCGAGAAAAATCATGACAATAGCTAATGATCTGGTCAGGAGAACAAGTTTACTTATAACGGAATGGAAAGGTGGCGCGAATACGGTTTGAGGAAAACGAATAAATCCTCCCTACTATTAAACCGACTGTGATTCCCTCATGTGAAATATTCATATCTCCTCGCATCGAAATAGTATAGCGGTGCAGAACAGCACATTAAAACGAGAAAATGAGGGGCCTAGCTGATCATGATGACGTGTATATCCCATCAAGTGGCGGTCCATGATTCTCGTTGTGGGGGAGGGGGTGAATAATATGATGTTTTGACAAGCAGGACAAAATAAAAAAAAAGGTCTAAGTTAGAAGCCAGGAACACAAAGGGGGTGGGTAGATTTTCTTTCTTAAAATATGTCAGATGGTGGTTGTTGGTGTGTGTGTGGGGGGGGGGGCATCACCCCCTCAACCCGCTCATCTTGATCCGCCCCTAGCTGGCCCCATGTACCGACACCGGACGCAGGCGTCGTGAATTCCACATTCAGTTCATCCATGTATAGGCATAGCCCGCATGCACATGCACAGTAGACAGCAAGATCACTCTCAATCGCTCTAAATACATCGACATAATTAATGACTATCTCGACATAAAGGTCTAAGTTTATAAGGTCTGCAAAGTTCATAACTTCCAGAGTTACAGGGAATGGATGGAAGCGGGAACTCGAGTAGTATGCCAGCTTGGTTGTGTACGGTGGCGCTCATGGCATTCATGGTTCATGCTGCACAAGCACAAGGTAAGTTAAAGGGATTAGTCAACTATATAAATACAATGCTTTCCATGAAGTTGGAATAAATTTGCTTATCCTCACAGTTCATGAAATGATTCTGACAACGTGATATATTATCGATAGATAAAGGTTTTATCTTCTCAGAACGTTACTGATCAATCTTAAGATTCATAGAGATTGATCCCTAAGGTTTTAAAATATATACAAATTATTGTCATAATCATTTCATGGAAAGAGGTAAGAACGAGATAAATCAATATGATCAAGTATTACAAGGAAGGAGACATCAACTGCATGAACGCAAGGAACAATTTAAATCCAGCTGTGTCTCGTTGGCTTTCCTTTGTATTTCCTTTTGGGTTTCCCCTCATACACAGTTAGATGAGGAACTATGAATTGCCTTGGAATATGTTCTGTTGTTGTTCATTTGTTTGTTTGTTTAAGATTTTAAAGAAAGAATTATTGTAGTCAAGGACTGTATATTTTGGATATCTCCTTTCATCGTCTATCGGCACAAACCTAACATGTGACAATTTATGAATTATCGAAATACTTACATACACTTCATTACCATTGCCTTGTGTGTTTCACAAAAGAGGAAATTTGACATTTTTTTTTCGTTGGGAGGGGGTAAGGTCACCTTTTTTAGGTCAGCCATGGGTATAATTTTTATTTTTTATAATTAAAAAAAAAAAAAAAAAATATCAAAGGGGGGTTTTAGGGGGGGTTACACACATAAAAAGTCCAAAGGGGGGGTTCAACCCCCCCCCCCCCGTGTACGCGCCTAGGGCCACACATAACGGCCTTAATCATGCCCCTTTTTTTATTTGTTTTTCTTCTTAAATGTATATGATTGTATATTAATCATGACCATGTATATTATATCAAATGTATACTAAAACAGGGCCCTATGAATGTCAATTATATGTTGTTCCTATGTTCATATGTTGAAGCAAGATTGTTCATGTGCATATAAACAATTATCCTATATGGACACAATAAAGAAATGAAATGAAATGAAATGAAATTCTTCTCAATTCACATTCAGATACCACTCCCCCGAATGTGACGTGTGATGACGTCACAACGAGGCCTTTTTTACCGAACAGTTTTCTCGGACTGAGTGTAGATACTACTTACACGTACGATGATTTGAACCCTGATCCCAGTGGGATAACTTATAACGTGACCAAAGGACCATTTGGTGATCTGTTCCCGCCCGGTCGCACTCCGGTGACAATGTACGCGGTCGACATATTCAATAACAGAGCGACATGTCTATTCTACGTGGAAAATACATGTAAGTAAGTTTACGCGTAAGATCAACAGCCCTCGGAGAATGACAATCCACAAGACCGATTACCCATACGACCAACTGCCCACGAAATTCCCACGAGAACAACAGCCCAAGGGAACACATAGAATATAGAAAATGAATACAAGAGGCCTAACCTCTAAGCCCCTAAGCCCCACCCCAAAGATATATTTATGTATATATACATAATGATATCATATAGTAGGCCTATGTATATATTTTATCTTTTATCAATACAAACCCTCTACCTTACCCCCAAATAAACGAATGATTTGATTTGTTTTCCTTCCTCTGTATAGTGACCGAGCTACCAGTCAATTGCCCAGACCTGAATAGAACGGTCGCCACTGACATGGGACTGCCCACTTATTCTTACACCCCTTCCATAGAGGCTAGTGACGTCACAAAGACCACTTCCGGATACAGATATCACGGAGTAGGAGTCTCTGTGGATCCCTCGATGGCTTTTGGTAGCAAACTAGACGTTGGTACTCATCCAGACACAGTCATTATCTACGATGAGGTGTTGAGCAAGACCTGTATGGGGTATATTGTCGTACAAGGTAGGTTGTTTGAACAAAGAAATGTTTGACCTATTGTAATGAAACAATCATAATGATTATAATAATAATTCAATTGTTATGATAATGATGATGATAGTAATAATAATAAATTATACTTACTATCAATGCAATTATTATCATTATTATTCAACAAACCTAGATATAGAAAAACCCAACGTGACGTGCCCAGCAGATATCACGGACAGCTCCACGAATGTCATCCAATATTCTGCCAATGTAACTGACAATGTCGGTGCTTCTGTAACCTATTCCCCTGAGCCTGGTAGCAGATTCAATCCTGGTGTTACCATGGTGTCTGTGATAGCACGTGACCAGACGGGGCTCAATGATACCTGTAGCTTCGTGGTCCAGGTTACCAGTAAGTATATAATTATGCAATACCACTGGCATATTGGGATAAAGTCTTGCTCAGATATGGCGCGGTTAACCACCGCTCACTAAAAACCGCCGAGGTTATTTTTACGATATTTTGTTAAAACGTGTAATAACTGCGCGCAAGAAAGTCACTGAGATCTATGTTCTAAAATACAGAAATAGTAAGCATATAACACTTTATGTAATCATATTTCTTTTTAAACGCCGCGGTTTTGTGGCGTCATATCTGAACGAGTATATCGGAAAGAATAGGGTAATTTGCCCCTCGTGAAAACTTTCCCCAAAAAAAATTATGAAGAGAAAAGGACAAGGACAAAATCAAAGTCAAAGATAAAGACAAAGAGGGGAAAAAAGACAAAAAGACAGTGTACTTTCACAGAGACTACTACATTAGACTCTACTAGTAAGTTGATTAAGATTTTTTTTTACATGATTTACGATTGCTCATAAAATTGCGCGAAATATACATGTTGACATATGGGGGGGGGACAGCTTATTATTGTATATCGATAAGACAAAGTTGTATTTCAAACGGGAACATGATACGCGTGTATTGGTTGGTTACTGTTTACCTGACTGCTAAGAAAGCATGTGTGCTTGTGAGTAAGCAACTCGGGGACCGACGGTCTTAAGTCCTCTCCGAGGGACTTGGTAATGAGGATTATTGCCTTACCAAAGGGCACTAGCGCATCGAATTGGTTTTGAACCCGGGACCTCCCGATTACTAGACCACTGCTATATATATATATATTTCTGAGCCATCACGCATCCTTATTTAATAATAAGAATAATTCACCCATAGTCTTAATGGACGGGGACGTCTTCGTCGATTGACAGCGAATTCGAATCTTTCACATTGATCAATATTTTTGTATTATATGATTTCATTTATAATTTGATTATTTCATCCCTTAACTTTAACTTCCTATTTGCAATGATACGAACACCATAATTTAGCAAATCGTATTTAGCCTGCCTTAATACAAAACGGTAATTTTTTAACGATATTGTTTCAACGTGAAACGACACGATTATTTTCTTCGTAAACATTTCTGATGAAGTTGGAATTAATTTTAATTACAAACATTCTCATCCTTTTTTCTCGTAAATTTCCAGTTAGCGAGTTACCAGTGTTATTTCCTTCTGAAGAAACCGTCCAGCTCGACTCTGCAGAATCGACCTACCAATACCCAGCTATCACAGAAGATAAACTAACCCTGATGGATCCGACATATCAGTTTTATGGTGACGTCACTGTTGTGGTTCTGGTCAATGGCACGAAGAATTATTCACTGTCTATAGGAACGTACATCCTCACGATCCTTATTGATGATACCGTCTTTAACAAGACGTGCTCGTCTGTGATCAGAGTAGAGAAGGGGAAGTCTTTAAACAGGATTTCGGGTAAGTAAAAATAATTGACACTATCAGGTGATCAGGGCACCGTTGCATAAAAATCACTATTCATGGTAACTTTGCCGTAAATGGGAACTTCCATAGAAACCTTGATTTATTTGGCGGTTTAATAGTGATGTTGCAATTATATTTAATATTGAGGGGAAAGCACCCTCAATGGTAAGTTGTATGCAACAGCCGGGGCCCTGATATCACAAACAATGATGAAATTATAAGTTTTTATAAAATATGATTTAAACACGTGTTGCTGGATACCTAGAATAGCATTTTCAATAATTCCTTGTATCAAAATATTGATTAAATTGTGCATTACTCCTGGAATAAATTAAACGTTTAAATGAACTGAAATGAACTTGTAAACAATCTACGTGTTGCCCCTTCTCAACGTCTTTTAACTCATACTCTAAAAGCTCTAATATTAACTAGGCATTTAAAAGAGCCGAGGAGTGAGAGCTGCATATTACAATTTTTGTTTAAAAATCTACCGTTTTTAAAAAACTCCCCAGCCTTTTTAAGTGAAAATTTTACATTTGATTTTTTAAGAGTAGATTATCGCAAGTTTGTCTCATCTATGTACTAAGACATGTACAATGGTTTATATTCTGTCTCTAAAAATACTTTATCCATATAACTCTTCCCTTTAGTCATCGTAGCCGTGATAGTCACATGCGCCGTTGTGCTGTTAGTCGTCTTTGTGATCGTTTGTTGGTAAGTAAAACAAAAAGAAAACAAGAACTAAAGCCTTGTTCAGATATCCAGCGGTACACCGCGACGGTTTGTTTTTAATGATGACGTAACTGAAGCGTAATACGCTTTGAACGCATTTCTGTATCGAAGCTCAGTGAATATTATACCCAAAGAAACTTGGTTGCGCGCAGATGCCCTTCATTTACACGTTAAAAAACCGCGGCGTTTTTTTTTTCTCCACGGCTGTAATTTACTGCGTCATGTTATCTGAACGAGCCTTTCTAGGTTCAAATCACGCTAGCAGCAAACAAAATTCAATCAATCGAAAATGTACAACACGAAATTATATAAATACTTTATTTGTTATCCCAAACATTAAATAAACATTAAATAAAATATTAAATCCGACAAGTATATTATCTCATGAATTCATTCAGCTGTTGATATCCGCACATTGATAAATGATTGTTCAATTAGACGTTACTGGGGCGCCGGTTGTAATATCATATTATTTCTTTTCTACAGTGTTTGCTACGTCAAGAAAAGACACACAAGAGGGAAGATAGAAGTCACTCGATCAGGTGGAAAACAGAGTTCCAGCGAGAAGACTTCTGCTGTTTAGAAACCATTTCCTTCGTATTTCTTGCATCTCGATTAAAACCACGAAAACAGCGTGCTCTTCCCCGAAATAACCAATTTGTCTTCGACAAACGGTTTCACGAAGTAATAATAATATGCTGAGGAAAGATCTATAGGAAACGGAATCAAATGATCATGATGAATATTCCCTCTGGCGGATCCTGTGTGGCACCCATGTACCCCTCCCCCTAAAAAACCACCATAATAATAATAGGGCCTTCTTTTGCTTGGCAGATAATTTTCACAGTATTCTTTGTGCACAATATGCTCGTATGCTCCTCCTCAAGAAATGCATCTCTTTATTCTAGAATCCGCAAAGTGATTAAATTGCATTACAGTCAATCAAATTTATGTTTAAAATGAATTTATTAATTATCGCATAAGGGTATTGAATGCGCAACATTTCAAAGCCATCGGTCAAGTCTCTTGCAAATAGGTAAAATTTATGTGTAGTTATGCTATACCCTGTATTTTCTTTGTATATTTTAAAGTGTAGCAATCTACGGTCACAGAGATTCTTGTTAACTATAGAGAGTATGTTATTAAAGAAAGAATGTATCAACAGGTATACTGATGCTTACCGTGTGGATTGTCATTCGTCTTTGTAAGTTTAATATATTTTAGGTGTAAAATGGCAGTATATGATCTATCGAACCTTAATACTGACAATGATTGGGCATTTTATGTCTGCGTATGTAAACTATTGACACAGGGAGCCGGTAGAAACAGGTGTGATGATCATTAGGTACAGGCGTAAGGGCATATTTTCCCCGAGGGGGAGGGGGGGGGGGGGGGGGCGGGGCTGACACCTTTTGCATGAGCATCAATTCTTCAGTTTCTAAATGTTTGCTACTTTTTTAAGTGAAAATAACAGAAATGACATATATTCGGGCATCCTGAATAATTATGATATTGAGGTGGTGATTACGCGAATATCGGAACTTTACTTCCCCTACCCCATTCCCCCCTTATACTCCGATGGATGTGAAATAGTGGATCGAAAATGCATTAAATGGCAATACCAGATCTTTCTCGTTTTAAAATATATTGTCATAACCATGGCCGAGGCGTTGTGATTATTGGTATGTGTTGATTTAATATCTACAGGGGGAAACGGTACATCCGGGAAGTCCAGACTAGTCTAGTCTTAACAAATAATATATTTCCTGAGGGGAAGTACATTTAATGTAAAGATGATGTGACCTTCAGTGTTACACTAGATTAGCACCGTTTGGTTAACATCCGAGGCGGGGGTGTTCACCGAATGAGTGGGAGAGAAAAACCAGCCCATTGACCTCCTTTAAAGCCCCACTGTCCTACTTGTAGCTGCTTGCTCCCTCTATATAGAAAACTTCCCCAATCGGTGCCTGTTGGTCCCCATGATCCTCTTTTTCTTATGTTAGTTGAGAGCTGAGTTGATGAGATAGCCACATGTCAGTAACCTGGCTGGATGGTCTAATCCCTTCTGGCCCAGTAGTATTGACGGTCTTTAAAAGAAAAGTGAAAACCCTGCCCTGTATATTATTTAAAGAGGATTTTGAACTCTGGTAAAGGTCGGAGATAATTTATAAGCTGTGTCATTCTGTTTATGTGAGTTTTGATGAATATCATTTTGAAAATGTCTCCTGAATAGCAAGAAACGTCAAAGGATTGATTTCATTACATTAAATCATTTGAAGCACAATATGTATTTATTATGAAAAGTTATTGTAGCATGCTAATATACCTCAAACTTTAATAGCTACTCTTCAATATATTTATAATATTGGTATGGTAAAACATTATAGACTTTAATAACAATTGAATATTTTTTAAAGAGTAATCTGTTACCTTAAATATGAGATATAATGCAATTGGTAATAGCATGCGAAATTATAGAAGTTTAAATACGATTACTGTATCCGGTGTATGGTTCATTAAAACTTATTTTGTACGTTGTACATAGTTTTCCAGTGATTTGTTTGTTTTTGTATTTACTTCTCCTCCTGTATCTTTTCTTTGCTAGTTCTTCGCCACCATTTCTCTAAATAAAACGATGGACCTAAACATTCCTGAATTCAGTGTATTGTGCACGTTTATGTAACCCCTCACACACACATACACACTCACCCGAACATGATTTGGACATTTAAAAAAAAAAAGAAGATTTTTAGGTGTCATAGAGTATATGGAATTTCTTAACCATAAGCTGTATATGCAGCAAACACAATTAAATATACTGTAAGATGTAATGACTTCAATCCATTTAGCGGATATGCATTTTACTTGTGCGGTGATTATAGTATTTGCTGTCACGGGTTCATGGCTTTATTATTGTTCACTTAGTCAATGACAATGAAGCTAGGAGTCCGGTTTGAAATGATTGACATTTCTCAGAATTATTTGCTTTTAATGTTCATGTTATCACGTGGTAAAGAAACAAAAAGGGCGCAAGTTCCGAAGAGTCACCGTCTGCTTGTTATACCACAATCTGCCGCCCTCTTTCAATCTAGTGTACACCTCAGTTCCATACTTGTTTGTACCGTGGTGGTGAGATATGTTAGAGTCATATTTTATCTGTAACAAATTAGTTCAGTCTAAATGGTCATGTTTTCAAGTCTACTACAACCTCCTTCCGTCAGTTTGACAAAATTGATGATTTACACTTGTATTTATTACTTTTCGGGCCGTGTTGGTTTAGGCCTAATAATCTCTTTCATGAAGTCATAATTTATTATTTTTTTATTTTTTTTACTTGCAGTATGCTGTATCTGGGGGTACTGTTTCCGCAAACATCCTAATCGAGTGAACGTAGAGGAGACGAGTGGTATAAACCTTACCTCTCACATGTTCACACCACCGTCATCGTCATCAGACGAAAACTACACGGTATCAACACGGTTTGGCGCCCAAACTGCTCCTATAAGAGTATTATCGCATGATGGCGCTGTCATTCTACTCCCTCGCGATGCAGCTGCAGGTGGAGGGGGAAGAAGTTTCTCATATCACTATGGTAACGAGATGACAGGGCTGAGAGAAGGTGTGCACTACAACGCGAGATATAAGTAAGATACCAAGACTACTGTTTCTTACAATAAAGCTGAAATTAATTATTACGTAAAGGTGGAACTGTGGTGATGTCCGTATTGACGACTCCCGGCCTTCTCGCTTGTTTACAAATCTATTTCTCTCCCCCACGTCATTTAAAAAAAAAGTCCTTCTCTCTCTTCGTTCATTTCGTATTTTTTCTTTCCCTTTTTTCATTGATAAGGTTTCCAAGGTGGTCCATCACTGAAAATCTTTCTCTTCAAAACTTGTTCAACATTATTGTTGACTCCTCTTGTTTGTGTGTTAACCAATGAAGGACTAGTGTTGTGGGAATGGCCTTGCCTCAAAATCTCACCATCATGGTCAACATTAATTGAGTTTATGTTTTGCATGTTTTTCACCAAATGATAGCTAGACCTTGAAAGGGATAGCCGTACTTGTGTTCCTTTATCTCGAATAATGAGGGTATTTTTCACCTTCTCTCCAAATTAAAAACAGATATATTAATATAAGTAAACTCGCGCTTTCAAGTACATGTACATGCAAGATAAGTTTTCAATAAATAAGCCTGATTTCATGATCTTAATCCCTCATTGTTTTCTTTGGTTCAATAGCAAAAATGGCAGTAAACTCTTGACTACATGACTTAACTTTCTATTTTGTTCTCTTTTACCACAGTGCCATCAGTCTGCCATCTTACGACCAAGCAATGTCTTGCCCAGTCCTTCTCTCTACCTCCAGTACTCAACATTCACCTCATTCTCCATCATCCCAACATTCTACTACACCATCAGCTGCTGGTTACACGGTAGATGCTAGCGGCAGCACAGCACAGGAGAGTGAGGAGCGTTCCTTGGCTATCATAAGAAGGAGTGTCCGTGAAACAAATGAACCTGAAGCATTACAAACGACAGGAGTTGATTTTCCTATGCAAACTGATCAATCTGAGAGAACTACATCGGGCTCGACATCAGACTCAATTCGCTCCCCTATCCCTCCATATATTCCTCTTTCGCCTTCTCAACCTCCTCCTCCTCCTTATCAACAGCTATCACAATGATAGAAATGATAAGCCTACCGTCCATTCAAGCCCTTTTTGTATCCAGTAGAGGATCGCGATCCGCCCCCCCCCCCCCTCGCCCCAACTCTTCTTTCACCCATCTCCTCCTCTTCGTCAGCCTTATAACTATACCCCATCTTATCGTCTCCCTATCCCTCCCTCACCACATCTCTTTGTTTGTACCTGTATTTTTCTACCTATTTCTATTTATCCCCCTCTCTTTATCTGTCTCCATTCATCCCCTCTTCTCTCTTCTCCTCATCCCCCTCTCCCCTCTCTTTACTTATCACGTTTATATCAAGATCCTGGAGTTACCCAATATTAAGATTGTGGTGAACTGCCATGCAGCGATTGCCCGCCCAAACTTTTCGTAATCGTTACAACCTCGTACGAATGCATTTACCTTCGACCTAAAATGTACTCCTAATGATACTACTTATAATTTGAAGTGTAATGTTTAACCTTTAGACCAGAGTCCGCGTGTTTACCGTGTTTATCAGTTTAAACAATCAAGTCGAGGTTCTGCTATAACCTCAAGTTATTATGCGATAACACCTCTCACAGTACCCTTCTCAATGTACATGCAGCCATGTATAGGGTCCATGGTACAGGCAACTCATTTTAAATTAGACCAAGGATTAGACTAACGTGTGGTACATCTAGCAACCGATAATCATACGTGATGTGCTATTCTATACAGACGGAAAATATTAAAACGATGGATGTATTTTGTATAGCAATGTAGCTTATCGCATCAGCTATTTTAAGTCATCAGGGTAGAGGCCTATTCTTTCACCTCGGATTGGACCTGTTTCAGATGTGTACGTGCTGCTGATGCCGGGACCGTTGATCAAGGTTTCTTTGATTTCATGAAGTCATGACAGAATACTCCTGATCAAGTACAGACATGCGAATACCATTAGAATGGATGAATTAAATCCACAAAACGTCGAGCAGAATGTCGACAACCAGCAAACTACATTCGAAATAACGGACGAAACATTGCCATCAGCTGTCAATGGAACATTACCGGTCAATACAACATCGCAAGTAACGACGACAGCGCCAGTCATGATGACACAATCAATATTTCAAAATTTACCAGCTTCCATATCTTTGGACAGCTCTACACCTTCGGACTGCTCGACATCACCGGACAACTTGACAACTCCAGACAACTCCAGGTCTCCGGACAGTTTAACATCTCCGGACAACTTGGCATCTCCGGACATCTCCAGGTCTCCGGATAGCTTAATATCTCCGGGCAACTTGACAATTCCAGACAACTCCAGGTCTCCGGAAAGCTTAACATCACCGGGCAACTTGACAACTCCAGACAACTCCAGGTCTCCGGATAACCCAACATCTCCGGACAACTCAGCATCTCCGGACAAATCAGCATCTCCGGATAATTCAGAATCTCCGGACAACTCAGCATCTCCGGACAACTCAGCATCTCCGGACAACTCAGCATCTCCGGATAATTCAGCATCTCTGGAAAACTCAGCATCTCTGGACAACTCAGAATCTCCGGACAACTCAGAATCTCCGGACAACTCAGCATCTCCGGACAACTCAGAATCACCTGACAATTCAGCATCTCCGGACGACTCAGCATCTCCGGACAACTCGACATCTCCGGACAACCCGATTTCATCGGCCTCGGCGGTACTGCCAGTCATTCCAACTTTTCCAATCACTTTTAGATCAGCCAACTCGACATCAACGGTCAGTCTAACTTTACCGATGACTTCGGCAGCGGTCAATTCTAATTTACAGATTTCAGCAACACTACCTGTAACTTCGACGTCATCGATTAGTCCAACTTTAACGGTCACCTCGAGGCCGTCAGCCATTCCATTACCAACTGGTACTTACGAACAAACCACGAGAACCACATCTGATGACGCAACACCACGATGCGGCCGATGTCGATCTCTAGGTCGATCTCTATGTCGAACATCTCCAGACCGGTACTGTTGTTTCATTCCTGCCAAGGTATGGCTGAAAATTCGGCTTCTCGCCATCGTGCTCCTTCTCGTCGGACTCTTCCTCGTCATCATCTTTCCTCTTCCTGGAATGATTCTCTTTCAAATAGCCGTCACTCTCCTGACCTTATCAGCTTTATTCGTGTTCATGGACATCGGGAGAGGAGCCCTGGCCAACTGTTGGTGTGATGATGTGGAAAGACCACGCACTCAACCGGACAGAGTTCGCACTATCGAAGTCACTGCTAATCATACTGGGTAAGAGCAGCTGATTGTTTGCGATTTATCTTGTAAACCAAACCTGGCCCCATTTCACAAAACTTCTCAACAGTGACAAATGATAGTTTTTGTTATAAGCTACTAAAACCCTTGTTTCTGATTGGTTATCAGCAGATTTGTTACTGATTCTTGTAATTTGTCATTGAAAAAAGGCTTTGTGAAACGGCTCCCAGATATCTTTCTAATAATATTTTATTTGTGTATCGTTTGGGCAAGGAAGGATCAAGCCAGAGTAAAGCACTTATATCTCCATCACGGATGATACATGCATGTAATCCTATCTCTATGAATAATCGCTCTACTATAATTGAAAAAAAAATCATCAAAAACAATCATTCAACCTTCGGGTAAGACAGCGATTACAACCCGAAATTATTTTGAAATGCGTTAATAAATAAAAGGTGTTCTTAGAAATGAGGGATATCGATTATCCATGACTGTTTTTTTTAAAGAAGAGGTCCATTGTGCATTTACTTGAGATCGAATGACTTGAAGAGGGGTTGACAAGCATAAATCAATATACAAAAGATGTAATATATAGATTTGCCACAACGCATGTTGCAAGAATCTTTGAAGGCGTCTCTTCAGATAAGTTTGGTCCTGTATAATGATATATTGTAAAGCAGCCTTATCATCATGATCATCGGCTCGTTGTTTGAACAATCCTTTGTGTTAAGTAAGGTGCAAGGGTGGCAATCCTGGAAATATATATATATATATATATATATATATATATATATATATATATATATATATATATATATATATATATATAAATTTTTTGGTGGGGGGGGGGGGCGTTGAGGGACACTGACTTTAACATATTAAAGAGAAGGTTGAGTTCTGGGAAGAGGTGAAAAATAATTTGTGAGCATTACTCATTCTTATTATGCAAGTGTGGAAGAACATTAGTTAAGACATGTTCCCTGAAAAGCATGGCTCTTTAAATGCCTTCATATTCTAAATATGCATGTAACATCGTAAAAATCGGGGGCCGGCTTTTTACGCCACGCGTTCGTGTAGTCCCATATACATCTTTCTGTGCAAGTGTTTGTAACTTTACCAAGACTTGGCCAAATTTCTTATCATTTTGATGATTCCAGAACCTTGCAATACACACAAATTCTTACATGTATATGCTAGATGATCAACCTTTTCTGGTCGGTTCCACACCGTTTCTTTCACAATGCAATCGCATGACCAGAACTCAACTTCATCTTTAAGTTATCATTTTTTTGAAAGTTTAGGTCGTTTTAGAATGTCAGGTAAGTGAATTAAGGATATTTTTAATTTGATATGGTGTCGGACAACTGTTGGTATCTCTTGAAATATTTTAGGTACAATGCGTTGATGAGCAAAGGTTTGGTAATTAAAGTATTTGATAACTATAGTATCAGTAATCTTTTGTAAAACTTTGTAAATGTTTACTAAACGATGACCATGATAGGGTTATTTACCAATTCAGAGTCAATGCAAGCGCGGGAAGATAACGATAAAATGACTGGAAAAACATGCCCTTCAGTTATTCATCCAGCATATGCAGTACATGCAAAAGAAATCGCGAAGAAACCAAAATATAATGGCGATGGGAGAGCCATTTATACACAGCGTTTGGCCAACCCGGTTCGAGTTGGATACAATATGGCGACTACTGCTTTGTTGGGCAAGCACAAAACAGAATCTATGCCATGTTGTGACCCAGTGAAACCAAATTGGCCAAACTCTGTATATAGATGGCTCTGGGCAATGGTTATGTGCACCTCCCCCATTGGTGGTTATCCGTTCAAGATTTATGACGTTTTATTATTTCACACTTTGTGTTAAGTTTTATTTAAGGTATTGTAGACAAGTCGGTGACAATTTTTTCGTTTTTTCTTTTGGCCTAGCTTTGAAGACTACGACAACCCCGCCTTTACCGCGGGCGACTACCCTCCCGACTACGCATCCGCCATCGCTTCATCACCGGCCCCTGTAGACACCGGACATCGACGACATCCAAATATTACCATCAACATCGAGTCATCCGACCAGGGAACTGCAGGCAATGTCGCCTTCGATCCGGCCGTCAGCCCCAGCTCACTGTTCTCTTTCAATGAACCTTATTCTCCACGGTCATTACCTCCATCATATGATGACGTCATAAAGGAAGACAGCGATAGACAGCAAGAAGGGCACCAGGATGATGCTAGTCCAGGACCGAGTTCTTCTTGAGAGTAATCTTCAACTTAAAGCCCCACTGCACTACTTATAGCTACTTGCGCCCTCTATATGGCAAACAATGCCTAATCGGTCACCATTGGTTATCCATGATCCTCTTTTTCTTATCTTAATTGAGAGCTGATTTGATGAGATAACCACCTGTCAGTGACCAAGCAGGAAGGTCTAATCCTTCCTGGCCAAACTAGTGCAGATAAGCTTTAAAACAATTATTCGACGAGCTGGGATGGCAGAAGATCGACAGGACTTCTCTCCACGTCTCACAACCAGAGCCCTGACAGATAAGATCAATACGGTGGAAAAACGATTAAACAGGTTGTCATCTAGAGGACTCGAAAGCCGGAGATGAGTAGCGACAGTCTGTAGGAATTTTCATCAATTTTCAGACGAATCATTTGAATTTTTAAGAGCCTTTTCTGTTGATAACATAAAGCATATATGATATGCATAATTTGAATACAAATATGCTATATAAATACATAATTTTGTATTATCATTATCAATGCAGAATATATTCTTTGAAGAGGTGATACAAGGGGAACGAGAAAATGATAAATCTTGGACAGGTCTTTGTTACAATGCAGAGAGGTGAGAACAAGAATTGATGATTAGATGGAGTTGGCGGTCCGTATTATAACCTCCTACCTCTGTCCCGGTCTGCACCTGACGGTTGGCTACCTGACCATAAAATAAAGAATCTATAATATTTGATGTCATCGTCATAATTATACAGATGCAAAAACATATACAATGTATGTACAATGTACAAAGTTTTATAAAGTGTATGTATTATTCCATAATGGTCGCAGGTATTTTATTCAATCACAAAACTAATATTTTCTATATTTGATGTACTCTAATGGCGATTGGTGTTAAGTTTAACTTGTTATAAGACAGGGTCCATGACCATATTGAAGTAGTGTCATGTTGTAGATCATAATCATTTCTTAAGCATTGTTCAATAACAGGTACATAATAAGGGTAAAAACAGGGTTAAATAATGTGTTGTAATATTGACCGAATAAATCACAGTTGTCGGTCAGACACGACTTCAGAAAAAAACGAGTTCAGGCAAATACCCGCAAAATAGAGAATAACGGAAAAATCATCCAAAGTCTATCTGCATGATAAAGATTTTTTTTTTAATTGCTGTGGATATATTTATTTGATATGTTTGCCATTTGAAAGGATATTAAGATGACTAAACCTTTATGGATTTTGAAAATAATTGAATTATAACGTTATTTTACAAACAAAAATCCATATCGAACAAGGTTGACTATTGACAGATTTCACCTTGCCGTTTGTACACCCATCCTCGCAGTGAACGGTGGGGGCTTTATATTCACTGAGCGGTATTCGCTGTTTTCCCAGTATTTGCATGTACTCGGTTTTCCAAAGTTGTGTCTGACTGTCTGACTGGTGGCAGGCGCGTACGCAGGGGGGGGGGGGGGGAGGGGGGTTAACCCCCCCCCCTTTGGTATTTTTATGTGTATAAACCCCCCTAAAAAAAACCAACCCCCCCCCTTTTTTTTTTTTTTTTTTGTTGTAATAATAAAAATTTAAAAAAAATTATTCCCATGGCTGACCTAAAAAAGGTGACCTTAACCCCCCCCCCTCCCAACGGAGCAAAATGTCAAATTTTCAAATTTCGAGACCAAAAAAAAGAAAAAAAGTGTCCTCTAACCCCCCCCCCCTTTTACAGCGACAGGCTGAGTCGATGCGAAATTTTCGGCCCGATTTAAAAATGTTAACCCCCCCCCCCTTGAAAAAATCCTGCGTACGCGCCTGACTGGTGGTGTTTATTATATTTATCTAACTTCATGATATTCATGAAGTACAAAATGAGCAGGGTTTCCTGCTGGAATGGGTTTATGACTTTACAGCAGGGTCTAGCAGATATCTACATCAGAAAGGAATAAAATGTTCATGCTGTCGAAAGATACAGGAGCGACCGTTCGGTTTTACGAAGATATTACGAAACCAAATGCCCATTATGTAAATATATTCTACAGATTTTTCATATCATTGGCCAAATCAACAAATATGCATAGTTTAAACCATTTGCTATCTGACTATGGGCGACAAATAAATTCATAAACGAAAAGGCAGCACACACAAAATGGAGTAAAAAAAAAAAAAAAAAAAAAAAAAATACAAATATCCATATAAAAACGCTGGACAAATTAAAACTAAAATGTAGTTGTCATTTTTTTTTTAAAGGTGGTAGTGATGGAAAAAAATATTTCAAGGAATCACATTAAAGCTTAGTATTAAATTGTATTTGTTAAACGATGAGGAAGTGTATTATACATGAGTCATGAGCGAGAAATGTTGTAAATTAATGTAGTCCAGTATTATCAAAGAGATACCAGCTACCTCTTTGGTATTATCAGTATACGTGGTCTCATGTTTGCAGGCGTGCGTTGTGTCAAAAAATTATACAGTGAATGTTATTTAAAAGCAAAGTTTTCGTAGGTTGGATTACATTTTGCTGCCGACAGTCCATTTTCACTCCATGGTTAAATAATCAAGATAAGACTTATTTTTAATTAGTCTTTCTAAACGAAAGGAAGATCCACTTTAAGATTTCAATAGTCATACTGGCTAACCTCAAATATGGTCATAAATTCACTGAAAAATAAAGACAACTACAAACATGCTTTTTTTATAAGAGACATTTTGAAAGGTTTAAATGATGATGCCTTGTATATACGATGGATAATAAACATGAATAATATATTCCTTCACTTTTAATTTGTTGTTCTCACTCTGTTCATCGAATAAAGGTTAGAGGGAAAAAGAGAGAGGAGCGAAGAGCGAGGCAGGGAGAGACAGGATGAGAGATAGAGAGAGAGAGAGAGAGAGAGGGGGGCAGGGAAAGTGAGAATGAGAGTGAGAGAGAGAGGGGGAGAGAAAGAGATAGAGAGAGAGAAGAGAAAGAGAAAGAGAATTAAAAAGAGAGACAGAGAGAGTGAAAAAGTGGGGGAGGATGGGGAAGAGAGAGAGATGAGAGACAGACAGGGACAGAGAAAGACAGAGACAGACAGAGACAGACACACAGAAATGCAGAAAGAGATATATTGACTTAAACTTACTCTGAGCTGAACTAGTTTGTCATGAGAGAGAGAGAGAGAGAGAGATAGAGAAAGAGAGAGAAGAGAGAGAGAGAGAGAGAGAGAGAGAGAGAGAGAGAGAGAGAGACTCTTTCTTCAGACACTATTTTTAAAACAATTTTTGATATCTTAATTGGATTTTCACTGTAGGTAGAGTAATTTGTTAATTCAGATACCATTGCGCTCCGCAACTGAAGTTTCATAGCACATAATTTAACCCGTTGAAATCACTGGATAATAAACAAAAGGTTTTCGAAAAAGGAAGGTACGTTGCCCGATGGTTTTAATGCTTTCTGAATTAATATTTATCAGAGAGAGAGAACAAAAAAAATGCAAGAAGGAAAAAATTCGAATCTCTTTAAACATATTCGATAATGACAATGTTAGTGACAATCCAAGAGTTTGAAGTTACAACCATACTACACCTCTTTAAAAAAGTTTGCATTTGAACTAAACTCCAAGGCTGACACGGGGTGGGATGATGATTTTCAAAAAACACTACTCAAACAAATAGGTCCAAAGATCATTCTAGTCCTATTTGCTCGAATAAGATTAAACGAGGTCTATGGACTATTTCAATAAATCTGTCTGTCGTTTGACGTTTATACAATTCTATCTTATATTTGTTGAATAAGACATTTACACGTTTTCATGCAGAAAACTGTGAGAGCTGATTTTTTGCATGGGAGGTGAATATGATGTAATGATTGACTTTACTTGGGGAAGTAGGCCCTACTGTTGTGTCTGGAACGTCTTTATGATGTAGCGATGTCGAAAGCTTTCCGATTTAAACCGAACCTTATATTCTACAGTTGAGATCTAGTTGAGGATAACGAACAGGTGAAAGAAACGTTTTTAGACGGACATTGATCATTTAAATGTTCCTGCAGTTTGACATGTTCGGATATCAATGTATCTTCTTTCAGAATATCTTGATTAAACTGAATTGAGAATGGCTGGACGAGATAACGCTGTATCGTTTTATGCAAGGAGCTATCTAGCTGCTGAGAGAGACTCATCAGTACGTAAATGCTGCTGTACAACCCTTCAATTCAAAGCTTCGTGCATCATCTTCTGTAGTACGGGACTTATCTTCGTGTCTGAGTATTGGCATATTGCTGGCTATCTGGTTTTCTTAGGTTCCATCGGAATCTTCACTGGAGCCTTCCTCATCTTACTCGACTTCACACTCTTCCTCCAGACCAAATCAGATCGACGTGGTCGACGGTTTGGACGAGGGGACGAGGAGGGTAGGAGAGATAGCTCGATATGGTGAGTCATCCAATCTAGTAGATATATATATCCATATGACAATCGGAGGGGGTTAAAGGCTTTACCCCCCCCCCCCCCCCCGTTCCTTCTAACTGAAGGTATTCGCGGGCAACGGTAAACTTATCATTCGGGTAGGAAGGTGGTCCGTATGATTGGCATAATTATCTTTTTTTTAATTCATTTATTTATTTATTTCTGCATGATTCAACAGTTTACATAGTATGATCATGACCATCACGGTAGTAAAAACTGGATTACGATCATTATACATTTGCAATTGTAAATAATACAGAAGCATACAGAGGTATGACAGTATAAGCTTTAATAATGCTTGAGGTATTGCATCTTACGATATATTTATAAAGTGGTAGAAGAGTTAAGCTAAGCTTCTACTAATAGTACTACGCTAAGCTACTATTGAACTACTACTAAACAACTAACAAGTAACAGATTAAAACTCAATTAAACAAATTAAATAACTGAAACATGGCATTATCCAATAGATACTATAACACAATAAAGTTATATTTGCAAGTTTTTAAGAATAGATAATAAAAAATACTAGAAAATTTAAAGTTACATTTTCCGTTTTGAAAAGAAAAGAAGAGAAAAATTATTGTCAGAGTCATCTTCTGGGTGCGCTCAGAAACAATCCAATCTACCTGGTAATCTTTGCTCAAGCACGCCATCTACGTACATTAAATTAGATAACACAGTTCAATAGTCCTAATGCTGGGTGTTGTTTGTAGGGAGACCAGCTTGGTACTTTAATCATGGAGGTAAGCAAATACAGAGGTACAGACAAACAAGAAAATTTGAAGACTGCGGAAGAAGAGGAAAAAAGAAGAAGGAGGAGGAGAAGAAGAAGAAGTATAAGTAGAAGAAGAAGAAGAAGGAGAAGAAGAAGACGTAGGAGGAGGAGAAGAAGAAGAAGTAGTAGTAGTAGTAGTATTAGTAGAAGAAGAATGAGAAGTAGAAGAAGAAGTTAAAATGGGAAGAAGATCGAAGAAGAAGAAGAAGAAGAAGAAGAAGAAGAAGAAGAAGAAGAAGAAGAAGAAGAAAGAAGAAGAAGAAGAAGAAGAAGAAGAAGAAGAAGAAGAAGAAGAAGAAGAGAAGAAGAAGAAGAAGAAGAAGAAGAAGAAGAAGAAGAAGAAGAAGAAGAAAGAAGAAGAAGAAGAAGAAGAAGAAGAAGAAGAAGAAGAGAAGAAGAAGAAGAAGAAGAAGAAGAAGAAGAAGAAGAAGAAAGAAGAATGATAACACAGTCATTTTAATTTATCTATCCACTTTAATATACTAAAGCGCTGTGTACAAGATTATATGATGTCCAAATTCTACAAGATTTACCCTTCAAACGATAATACCAATACTAACAATAGTCACGTGACAATGCTTGATAAGGTTTATCAAATCACGAGGGTTTTACTTGGAAAAACGCCCTCCAAATATTTGGATTTTTAGTTCCGCTAACTCCAAACCTCTTTCGTCATGATTGGGTATTACCAGAATGTCTTGATGGCATGTAAATAGGTATATGTATTTCAAACGCTGGTATTTAGAAGTGGACTTCAGAGTGACGAAATTATACTAAAATAAGACATATAAATTAAAAAAAATATAAATAAATAAAAGACCGAATAATTATGTCACTTTGATGCGCCTTTCATTCTTTTGCTGTGAATTGAATAGTAGAAATATTCAAATTTTTGCTAATTTTGGAAATGTTCTTTTTCTTCTTAATTTGCCCTGTTGTATTTCTAGATGCAACAATAGTAATATAGTTCATGAGCAATTATTCATTTCACTCTCCCATAATTTATGTTGCGTAAAATAAGAAAAAATGAATCATATTGCATAATCACTTAAAAAAAGAGGATTTAATTGTGAGTGAATAAATATGTTTGTTTTATTCAACGTTCATCATCACGAACATTATAACCTTGGATTCGTCTATAGTCTTATTATATTCATTGATTCAGTATTTGCTTTTTGTTGTTGTTGCTATTTGATGTAAATACCTATATTATCATGTTCTACTTGCCAGAAATAAACAAGAAAGCCCCCACATAGACTGATCAATTACAAAAAAAATGGATAAATTATTACTTTCAATCATGTAGTAGGGTCATAATATATAATGGTAGTTTTTCTTTTTCTTTTTTTTTTGCTTCCTCACAGGACAACATCGGTACATGAAAGAGGTCGCACCCTATCCTTCGCCTCTGCTCCGCCTGACTACCACACAACCATCAGCCAACCAGATAGCTTCCCATTATACCTACAAGATGGAGTCCCTGTGACGTCATTACCTGTTACCGTGGAGATGGATGATGATGATGGGGGATGTGAGAATGAAGTCGAGATCGAGGAGGAAGATGATAAACTACCATCGTATGCAGAGATCATGGGAGAAAGCCAGTCCCCGTCGATGAATTGATTATGACGACACATTCCGGATATTACATGGGGCATAATTAAAGACCTATTGTTTTTTAATAATTCTTACAAACTTTGAAATGCCTTTGAATTTCACTTTGTCTTATTAATCTGTAAATTATTACTATGCTTTCTATTAAAATATAAAATATATGACATTTAACAATATCGTATTCATGTGGAATTTGTTGTCTTTAAATGTTTATTCACCGAATATTGAATACATTTACGGAGAGAAAAGGGAGAAATAGAGAAGGAGAGAGAAAGGAAGAGGGTAAATATGAATACTAGAAAATGTGAAAGATGAAAAAAGCATGTAGGGAAGAAGGGAGAGATGGGAAGAGAAAGAAAGATTGAGAGAGGGGCATATTATAGAGAGAGAGAGAGAAAGAGAGAGAGAAAGAGAGAGAGAGAGAGAGGGAAAGAGAGAGAAAGAGAGAGAGAGAGAGAGGGAGAGAGATTATAAATTCATACCAGACCACAAATCAACTTCCGTGTTAGTTAATGCTTCGCCTTCTCTTCAAGTGTTTCTTTTCTTGCCGATATTCATGTTATCTGTACTGCCCTTTCTCCCCGAATCTAAATGCACCCATCAGTGTCTCTGCTAACATGTCTAATCTCCCCCCCCCCCCTCCTCTCTCTCTCTCTCTCTCTCTCTCTCTCTCTCTTTCTTTTTTTCCTTCTCTCTCTTTTCTTTGTATTGCCATCGTTTGTTCGCTTTTTTTCTTCCTCTTCTGCTCTGTGTCGTTATTTTGTTTCTTTTAACTTCCGTCATTTGATTACACACTGTGTGGAATTGAAATGTAAAATATTACCACTAATAATCGCACATGTAGAGAGATCGATATTGATTTATTAAACGATATGGATATAAAAAATATATATTTACATATTTTACAATTTGATAGTATTTAAAGAGTACAAGCTATGTAAATGATAATCAAATTATCATATTCATGTGATACAGGTCCAGATAAATTAAACACAGTCAATTAAAAAAAGCTGAGGTCAGCATGTCAAATTAACATTGATGAAACCACGGGCATTTCACCCTCATATACGTGTTTAAGCTTTCATTTAAATTAAACAAAATCGTCAAATTATATTCAAATTCCAAATACCTATATAAATATATATATAATCGGATAGATTATGGTTTATATATGTGGCATAAGCTATCCGTATTTGGTATTTATATTATCAGTCTAAATAGAGAGTGAAATTCTTCTATGTTTCTGATAAATACTTGTGCTTATCAACTAAGTGGTCACGATGATTAGGATGAATATGCAAATAATATAAAGAATAATGTATAAAAAAATAATCTGTTCATACAACATAACTATAAAATGAATTTGCTGTTGTTTTCCGGGGGCGCTATACAAACCTGAATCTACTACTACTACTACTACTACTACTACTACTACTACTACTACTACTACTACTACTACGGAAATGAACAGCGTATGTTAGTCTAGGTTGTCCTTTATTTTGTCTAAAATGAATTGCCCCTCCTGCCTTTCATATAATCTTAGGCATACATTGTGCGAACAGACCAAAACAGAGATTTAAAATTAATTGCATACTAATGAAAATCTAATGAGAATCCTTTCTTTATGTTATCCAATCTGTGGACTAAAACATGTGGATTTTTCGTGATATTATTTTCATTGATAATTCTCAGCTCAATAAACATCTTACTGTATAACATAACACATTTCAAACTAAAAAAACATATCCTAATAATTTTTGATAAATCCAATTATTATTAATGATAACAGTAATGGTACATTACGCACATACCCATTACCTAAGTGATGCTTGAAGCATCTATAGTAGAGACTATTCAGCTGAAAATGCGCTACTAACGTACATCCACTCCTGTGAGTTGCAAAGACATTGACTATGTTAAAGGTATTATGTCCAATCTGCAGGCCAAAAAATGAAAAGGTTAAATTCCAACGGCATTTGATAGACAATACTAATCTAGAACTTCCCTCAAAACGAAAGGGCTTAAAATGGCTTTTAGTGGGGAAAAAAATGACCATTAGTTGTTGAATCGACTTGAGGGATTGCAATCACCTATGTAATAGTCTGATTGTCAGACCCTTTTACCGAATGATCGTAAGTTTTGTGATTGCACATAGATTCAATCAGTTTTTATGTTGACCATTATACTTTTTATAGGACGTACACATAACATTTTCATAATTCCTGCAAAGTTCTACAGAATTTGATGTTGGCTGCAAAAGGGACATAGTATCTTTAACCAACAACTTCCCATCGTTGGCATATGGTTAGATAATGAGTTAAAGAGATGAATTGAGAAGACACAATCGTAGATAATTAAGTGTTTTCCGAGTTCGTTTATTAACAAGTACAATATAGGTTATCAAACGTTTCTAACTCTGAATTCAAATAGAAAGGAAGCATTTAAAGTAGGTTACGGCAAGAAGCTGAGTCTTTTGTAGATCTCTTGGTTTCACATATACATGTACATAACTTGTTATTCCCGACTCTAAATTGGAATCCACTCAGTTCATATAATTATATATTAATGTTTTTTACTGTTAACTTCATTTAACCACTTCCGGGTTTGAACAAGTAATTCAAATGATTAGTTCCTAGTTCGATGAGGTGTTTTCTAGCGATGTCATGACGGGTAAGCTAGTCGCTCTCAACCGCAAAGCATGCTCAGGTGATGAGTACGTGATCGGAGATGAGGTCGATGTGAGATCACTGTTTGATAAAGCCGTTGAAGTGTCTGGTAATCTCACTGCTGTGTCGCTAACAGGTGATTGCGACGACGACGACGATGAGGTATGCGAGTAAAGTGACGGCATGGAAGACGCTGAGGCTAATGTTCGTCGATCTTCCTCAATGACGTCTTGGTAAGTTGGAAGCGGTGGTGTCGAGATGCATCGTCGACGGGTTCGTAGCGGGAACATGATCGGTAGCTCGGTCACCGTATCCTCGTCGTCTTCTTCAGAGTCTGATAGATCGATTTCGTAATCGTTAACACGAGAAGGGAGAGGTGTGAGTGGAGGAGGGGGAGTGAGAGGAGGAGGAGGAGGAGGGAGGCCGAGGGGAAGTGGGGGTTCGAATGGCGGTGGACCAAGCTCAATTGTTTCATCTAGAGGTATGGGGTTAGTAGGCGTATAGACAGGCGGTGGTGATGGAGGCGGGAAGGGCCACTCTGAAGACATCGGGCATATCCTGTGGGGGAGCAAAATAAGACAAGTTGTGAAGACCTATAGAGTCTCTAGTCTTAAACAATAATTCGTGAGAATTGATTAAGAAAATGTTCAATACCATGTTTTCCATTTTCAATCGTCATTTCATGTATCATTTGATTCTTTTTTCTTTTTGAAACTTTTTTAAAAACTATTTTTTTTTAAATTAAAATTAAAATTACCGGTGCGCGATAGTGTGCAGGCATGTACCACCTCCCTGTTTGTACTTTGAGAAAGTGGCAATCCACACTTTATAAGCCAGTTTAGGGTTGCAGTCTGAGCATGAGCAGATAAAGGTCATGTATACCAAAAAGGTAAAACCCACAGAGATGAATACTGGATATGCGCTCATGAAAGTTTTGTAACATTATTCATTTATTCATTTATTCATTTATTCATTTATGCACCAACGGTACACTCTGAGATACGTAAGTGGAAGTATTCTTTTCAAGAGGGCAAACAAAAGGTATTCATGAAGCACATCTAGGACTTTGGCAGTTATTATTCTAAGATGCTCAAAGTGGAACTTCTCCATGTGTAAAAGATCTGTGGATATGTGGGCTCATTTGTACCATGTGCTATCTGTAAACTCCCTTATTGCTCTAACGGCTGTGAAGTATTTCACCTATTTGAAACCCTACGATGTTAAACTGCATGGTAACAATCATATTATAGTGTTTTTCTTGGCAGAATAATTCAGATTTACCAAGCCTCCTGAATGAATGTGCTCAGATGTTTTGTTCAGATTATATACTTCTGCCCACCCCACATGGTTGAATAATCACCGTTGTGTACAAGGTGTAAGGAAAAATATTCGAACTTTCCGACATTTAATAATTTGAAAGTTAAAACTCGTATCAAATTCAAGTTTGCACAATGTAGAGTTGAAGGAAGCCCAAACCATTTGGGGTAACTTTTATCAAATTTAAATTATATTCTTGAAATATTTCATTCTAGATTTTGAGTAAGATTTTACTCGATGCGATACAGATAACATTGTGCATCGCAGCTTTGCGGCTGTCATTCCAGAGATCCTTTTGTAAAAAAGAGTCACGGAACTTGATGGCAAGAGGTTACAGTTAAGGTAACCAATAATATGGTCGTGTTGGGAATTTATCACTGATACACAAAACATAAATCCAGCCCGTTTCTTCAATAAAGTAAATGTCAAACGTTGCTAAAAATAGAACATCCCAAAAATACAATTTGGCATCATACATCACTAAATAATGCATGATGATATGAGATGTTAATGTCAGAACCTATGAACCTTGTGAGATGTTAATGTTCATAGGGTCAAAATAGTGTTGTTGTTGTTGTTGTTGTTGTTGTTGTTTTGTTTTTGTTTGTCACCTAGCCCAAGCATGTAATCAACATTCATTTCCCTTTGTATTTTCTTTCAAGTGAAATGGAATATTCATAACAACTGAGAAACGCTCGTTTCCCATATTAAACCCACTTTATTGACTTGCGCGTTCAGTGTTTGATTGATCATTACGTAACAATTACAATAAGAAGTATTGATGGGTTTGACTAAAATTCGATAAGAAAGGGACAGCATCTAGTTAAAGTTCTTAGAAACTTATCACGCTTCCAAGGCCAAACAAATACATCCTGCTAGTTCCTATTTTTAAGATCTTTATTCTTTAGGCATTATCTTCCTGTACACATATTTGGCTTGTTCATTTACCATCTTTGAAGAAGAAAAAAAATATGTAGTCTTTTGTAGAACCTGATCTTTGTGATAGACTACATAGCCCTTTGAGGATAACCCGAAGAAGGAGAAGAAGAGGAACTTGGCTTTTTACGTGTTTTCCCCTCGCTACCGGGGGGGGGGGTACTCACATATCAGGACATACGGGTGTACCGCTCTAAACTTCCTAAACATGGGTCCCACTTTTAACCAAAATACCATTAAAAATGGGTCCGTTCTTTCAAAATTTGAAAAAATTTCGCGACACCCGAAAATTGTGGAAAATGGGTCTTCTTTTGAGAAAAAAAATGACCCCTAAAAATAGGTACGGGTTTCGAGGCTTGAGCGGCACATCCCCGTCCAAACAAAATCTGAGTTACCCCCCCCCCCCCCCCCCGGGCCCCTCGCTATATAGACCAAGATGCATTTATAAGTTAATACGAATTTCATTTAGCTAAATATGCCTGTCTCTTGATATAATGCTTGACAGGCGCGGATCCAGGGGGGGGGCCGAGTGTGCCTTGGCCCCCCCCCCCCCCGCTCAAAAAAAAAAAAAAGAGAGAGAGAGAAGAAAGGAAAAGAAGGGAAAGGGAAAGAGGAGAGAAAGGGAAAGAGAGAAGAGGAAGAAGAAAAGAAAAGGGGTAAGAAAAAGATCGGAGGGCCGAAAGGGCGTTGCCTCCCAGGCTGTTGCCCCCCCCCCCAATCACAAAAATAAGAGAGAAGGAAGGAAAGGGAAAGAAAAGAGAAAAAGGGGAGATACTGGCGAACTGATAGGGGGTAGGGGGCTTGTGGGAAATCAAATTTAAACGTGGTTTATTTCTAATTCCATAATGGTAGATTACAAATAATGCTGAAATGACATAATTTCAGAGATTTTTCCTCACTTTTTAGTAAATTATACGTTTTTATGTGACAAATTCCTAAATTTACAGCCAGGCAAGAAATGTGATTCTTGAAATTCCTACATGTCAGGGCCCGAGGAACGGCGGGGATCGAGAGCCTCGAGCCCCCCCCCCCCCCACACACACTTTTTTTTGAAAAGGTATATTAAAGAAAAATAAAAAAAGAAAGAGAGCAAGAAAGAAAAAAGAGTTAACTGCCAGTGTCAAAAAATAATGAGGCATCAAAATATGCTCATCTGACCGTGATTAAATGCCTAAAGCCCCCAAGCTTCCGGGGGCTCTGCTGGCCCCTGGATTCCACCTAGGGCCCTAAGGCGGGCCCTTAGATGCTCATCTGACGGTAATCTAATGTCTAAAACTCCTGAGCCTCCGGTGGCTCCACCGCCTCGACCCCACCAGGGGCCCTAAGGCGGGCCCCTGAATGCTTATCTGACCGTAATTTATAGCCCCTGAGCTTCTGGGTCGGACAAGTTATCAAAATGTGTTTATCTGACCGCAGGCGCGTAGCCAGGGGGGGGGGGGCTGTGGGGGCGGTCCCCGAAAATTGCCGTCAAAATAAAAAAGAGAGGAGAGAAAAGAAAAAGGGCGTAGGAATAAAAAGGAGCAGACAGAGAACATCTTTGAAATTCAGACAAGGATTAAGAGTAGAGAACGGTACAACGCATCGTTTTCTTTCTCTAATGATTTAATAAAACGTCAAAGCTTCCTCACTTCGCGCAGGAGGGGAGGGGGGAACTGAATTCAGACAAGGATTAAGAGTCGAGAACGGTACAGCGAATCATCTTCTTTCTCTCACAATCTTATGAAACGTCCAAAATTCCGCGCTTTGCGCGGTAGGGGAAAAACTGAATTCAGACGAGGATTATTATCGAGAACAGTATAACGGATCGTCTTCTTTCTCTAATGATTTTAATAAAACCTAAAAGCTTCCGCGCTTCGCGCGGGAGGGGGAGAAACTAAATTCAGACGAGAATTATTTTCGAGAACGGTACAACGAATCGTCTTCTTTCTCTAATGATTTAAATGAAACTTAAAGCTTCCGCGCTTCGCGCGGGAGGGGGGGGGGAACGAATTTAGACAAGGATTAAGAGTCGAGAGCGGTACAACGAATCGTCGTTTTTCTCTAATGATTTAATGAAACTTAAAAGCTTCCGCGCTTCGCGCGGGAGGAGGGAGCCTAAATTCAGACGAGGATTAAGAGTCGAGAACTCTACAGCGAATCGTCTTGTTTCTCTAATGATTTAATGAAACGTTAAAGCTTCCGCACTTCGCGCAGGAGGGGAGGGGGGAAACTGAATTCAGACAAGGATTAAGAGTCGAGAACGGTACAGCGAATCATATTCTTTTTCTCATAATCTTATGAAACGTTAAAAATTCCGTGCTTCGCGCGGTAGGGGAAAAACTGAATTCAGACTAGGATTCAGAATCGAGAAAGGTAATACGAATCGTCTTGTTTCTCTAATGAGAAACAAGACGCGCGGGAGTGGGGGGGGGGGGGAATAAAATTTAGACGAGGATTATTTTTGAGAACGGTACAACGAATCGTCTTCTTTCTCTAATGCTTTTAATGAAACTTAAAAGCTTCAGCGCTTCGCGCGGGAGGGGGGGGGGACCTGAATTCAGACGAGGATTTAGAGTCGAGAACTGTACGACGAATCGTCGTTTTTCTCTAATGATTTAATGAATCGCAAAAGCTTCCGCGCGGGAGGGAGAGGGGAACCTGAATTCAGACGAGGATTTAGAGTCGAGAACTGTACGACGAATCGTCTTTTTTCTCTAATGGTTTAATGAATCGTAAAAGCTCCAGCGCTTTGCGCGGGCGGGGAAAAACTGAATTTAGACGAGGATTATTTTCGAAAACGGTACAACGAAACGTCTTCTTTTTCTAATAATTCAATGAAACGTCAAGAGGGAGGGGGAACTCGCCCCTCCCTGCACCCACCCCCCCCCCCTCCCCGCATTACGTCACTGCTGGTCACCATTACGTACCAATATTTGGCTCGCATAATTTCAAATTTGGGCCCCCCCCCCCTAAGAAATCCTGGATCCGCGCCTGATGCTTGATATCTTATTTTCTCCTTCTCTCTCCCTTTAGCTATCGTCCTGATGAGCTAGCTAGTTCACGCTTATATTTATCATGCATTCTATGATTATCAAATGGATATATCTATATTATTGAAGCTTGATGTTAGAAATGTTGTAATGACTAATATTATCTTCATAATCATCGAAAAATTAAGGATATCACAAATTCACCAGTCGATGTTTGCTCAATTATATCATTCTTCATGTTACAAATTAATATCATTATATATATTTTCTTACCAAATATCATGTGATGTTCCATTCTCCATGGCTTGATTTGACGTAGAGTGACTAGGATTACGTCCAGGGGGTCCATCTCCTAGACGACCTCCGCCACCGCTCTCCTGCTGACCATTACCCTTCTTACATTTATTATTGATAACGCGATCGACGACGAGCGTAACGAGTCCTAGGAAGATGGTGCAAACGCCGACGACGATGAGGGGTATTTGTGGGAAGATAGCATACGATAAGAGCAGCAGTACTCCTACCCCTATCACTGATAGAGCTTTCGCCCATAAGTTCTGGGTAGCTAGCTTGTATTCTCTGCTCCGTCGCCTCCCGCCCGTGAAACCGGGATACCTTACACGGTCCGTAATAATGCTCTCCTGAGCCATGACTATATATGATAATATACTCAAGTCAGAAATCACATTTTAACTCATCAATCAAACGGAATATCACTTTCTTTGAATGTTTGCAAGACGAGCTTGTGTCTTCGTTTCAGAAAGAACAAAGTCCTTGATTAAATCACAATATAGTACCTCTGTGGTATTTTTCCTGTTCATAAAGCCGTCGATGCTAGCAGTTATCGATGATTTGATGAGATGATATTAGTCTCCTTTCACGTTTCCTCAGGATGCACATGGGAGTCAAGTTCAAATCGCTGTAAACAAACTCGTCTCATAATCCATAGTGTAATTCATATAATGGTAGCAACCGATGAAGCATATACTTGCTACACACAAAACAAGGGAAGTAGAAATACAATCAGAAGGATACTGAAACCTAGTTTAGAGTTCTGTTCAAATCTGTTTTTGTATAACTTTTATTTTATTACTCTTTACTGATCACGACCTGGTAGCCATATCACCAGCAATCTCTGTTTTGAACCAAATTCGGGTGGTTACATCATGTTTATAGGCCCAATCGTACGGGCCATGGCGTAGTTTGATCGTGAAAAGCTAACAGTTTTAAGGCCAGAAAAAGCCGCCAGATTGGTTCTTAAAATCCAGGATACAAATGAGACGATGATTGGTCAAAACACCGTGTTGATGGTCGTTTGCATATTAATGCAATCAACCTGTTCTTCCCCCCATCTCATGCAGTTACGTACAACGTTGGCCTGATAGTTTTAATCAACAATCGTCATATTGCGCAAATTCTTTTATCGATGTATGTATCCACGTCATAATCAGCTTTCAATGAAGGACCGAGAGAGATAAGAGGCGTTTGAGTTACAGCGCACTTTGATCTTTATTCTGATATTATATTATATTCATTTCATGCACACAAAAAGCAGTAACAAAACATGGGGCCCGCAGAGGGTTGTAGTAGTGCCAGTGCAGGGTACGAGATTAGTACAAATATAACTCCCTTTTGAGTTGACCTGTTCATAGAGATGCACTCATGCATAGATAAAAAGAGGGAGGATAATAATACCTTTACAGCTACGTTTGTATGGCTTTCCATTCAAACATTATGCCTATTGTCACTCATTGGTATAAATGCAAACATATGCATTTGGAGACTGGAGTAGTTATTTTACTTTCTGGAAACGTGTAGATCATACCATACTGAACATGCCTCGATGTTACTGTTGATTGTATGACTCCATGGTCGTTATGTGCTATTTGTGCTGATAAGAAAGTACTTAGCACAGATATCACAAACTTGATAAAGCACTTGAGATATTTAATGACCAGTCGGTCTGTTTTAGGTCTTATCAGACGACATGACAACTATTAGAATAAAACATTTTGCTCAATTTGAAGATACAGGTATGAAGGTCAAACAAATTGCCAAGAAAAAGTCCCTATAGTTGTTAAAGCCCTTCTAAAGTGTTGGGAGCCCTCAATTCAGCAAAAGAGGATGTCATTAAAGAAACACTACTGCAAAGATTACCCCCCAAAAAAAATTGTTTGAAGACAAATATTGATGGAAAATTACATAATTTGGGTTTTTTGTTTTACGCAGAAAACATAATTTTGTTTTCTCTTATCAATATTCGACTTAAACACAATTTCCCTTGCAGAAATGTGTCTTCAATGACACCCTCTTTCGCATTATGATACAATTTAAGTGAAATGTTGACATCAAATGTTTAGGGCTCCCAACACTTTAGAGGGACTTTAATCACAATCATCATTATTGAATTATCTTCTGGTTACATTCTCTGTAAATCGCAAAACTGTGTTCATACAAGATCTTGACTAGGCTCTAAACGATTTTTATTGGGGGCCTTTTGTGCGCAAGTGTCGAGTTTGAAATAAAAGATGAAGTCAGGAAATGCCGACTAAAATGCCAAATTTAGCATACCAATCAAATTAATTGTATATCATAGTGTATGGACATTTATCTTAGAGTAGATTATGCTTTTTTGCTATTATTTGGTTCTGACATCAACCAATGACGTAGTTAATGGGAGAACATGAAACTCATATGATACCATCCCTCCAATTCCCTCTTGATGGTATTGTTTGCTCTTTAGAATTTCATCCATCTATAGAGGTTAGTGACTCCCTCCCCCTCCCCTCTTATAACATCATGTAGGCCTACCCATCAGTGGCTAGACCCACGTTATACCACTGACAGTAATAATAAATTATCTCACTTGAACTACAGTACTTCAGGATATAAATTATATTTGTCATCAATATTATCCAGATTACAATCAGAGTGGGTTGGCTAGACAAATAGTCTATCGAGGATTAAGAGAGATAAACAAAAGGGGTTTTTGAATGGTGGAGAAAAGGCACCTCTCCACATCTCTCTCTCTCTCTCTCTCTCTCTCTCTCTCTATCTTTCTCTCTCGTTGTCTCTCTCTCTCTCTTTCTCTCTCTCTCTCTTTCTCTTTCTCTCTCTCTCTCTCAAGCAAGATTTCTTTTTTTAATCACCGAATTAAAATAAATAAAGAAACAAAAACAAGTCAAAGTCTTTTACAACTAACCATTCAACACATCTAAATCAATCCTAGAAATTGACAACTTGTTGTGTATTACACAAATCGTCGCTGTTTTCACGAAGTGACGGTAGTGAAAAAAAATTGCATTCACTTTGCGTTACGATTTTCCTCACTACCGTCACTTCGTGAAAATATGCTGTGAAACGAAAGTAGCATCAAACATTTACACATTTAGTGTTATTAAATTTGTACAACGACCCAGGGACGTTGTTCAAAGCCAGGCGCGGATCCAGGGGGGGGGGGCCGAGCGTGCCTTGGCCCCCCCCCCCCCCCCGCAAAAAAAAAAAAAAAAAAGGAGAGAGAGAAAAGGAAAAGAAGGGAAAGAGGAGAGAAAGGGGAAAAAAGAAGAGGAAGAAGAAAAGAAAAGAGGGAAGTAGGAGATCGGGAAGGGGAGGACTTGCCTCCCCCTTCCCCCCCCCCCCCCCCCAATACAAAAATAAAAGAGAAGGAAGGAAAGGGAAAGAAAAAAGATAAAGAGGAGATAAAGGGAAGGACAAAATAGGAAGAAGAAAAGAAAAGAAGGGGGATATCAGTTGCAATTTTCCCGCCAACAAGTTGTGGATCGAGGGGGGGGGGGGCAAAAGACCGTAGCCTCCCCCCTCCCGTCCCCGCTAAAGAAGAGAGAAGGAAGGAAAAGGAAAAGAGGAGAGCTAAAAGGGAACAAAAAGAGGAAGAAAAAAAGAAAAGGGAGAAAAGAAGCGGAGATCAGTTGCGGTTAATCCCGCCAACAATGTGTGGAGCGGGTTGGGGACCAAAATGACCGTGCCCCTCCCCCCAGCAAACCTAAAAGAGAGATAAGGAAGGGAAGGGAAAGTGAAAGAGGAGAGAAAGGGAAAGGGAAAAAAAAGAGAAGGAAGAAAGGTAAGGGATATCAGTTGCAATTTTCCCGCCAACAAGGTGTAGATCGGAGGGGGGGGGGGGGGGCACTGGCATACTGATAGGGGAGGGGGGGGGGGGGTTGGAGAAATATTATTTAAACGTGGTTTATTTATAATTCCATAACGGTGGTTAACAGATAATGCTGAAATGAGATAATTTTCCTCACTTGATGCGTTTGTTGGAAAATGACAAATTCCTAAATTTACAGCCAGGCGAGAAAATGCTTCTTGAGATGCCTACATATCAGGGCGCGCGGAACGGCGGGGATCGGGATCCTCGAGCCCCTCCCCCACACTTTCTTTGAAAAAGTATATTAAAGAGAAATAGAAAGGAAAAGGGGGCGAGAAAGAAAAAATAGTTAACTGCCAGTGTCACATTATAATGGGGTATCAAAATATGCTTATCTGACCATGATTAAAATTAATGCCTAAAATCCTAAGGGCTCTGCCCCCTGGATTCCACCTAGGGCCCTAAGGCGGGCCCTTAGATGCTCATATGACGGTCATTTAATGCCTAAAACCCCTGATTTCTGGGGGCTCTGCCCCCTGGACCCCACGCCAAATAGTGTCCTGCTAGTGTCACAAATAATAAGGTATCAAAAATGCTCATCTGACCGTAATTAAACACCTAAAACCCCTGAGCTTCTGGGGGATCTGCCCCCTGGACCCAACCAAGAGCCCTTAGGCGGGCCCCTCGATACTCATCTGACCGTAATTGAGTGCCTAAAACCCTTGAGACTCCGGGGCTCCGCCCCCTAAACCCCAAGCCAATTAGTGACCTGCCATTGTAACAATTAGGTATCAAAAATGCTCATCTGACCGTAATTAAACGCCTAAAACCCCTGAGCTTCCGGGGCGGACAAGGTATCAACATATGTTCATCTGACAGCAGGCGCGTAGCCAGGGGGCGGTGGGGTGGTCCCCCCCCAATAAACCCCGGCCAAAAAAGAGAGGAGTGCAAAGGAAGAGAACGTAGGAAGAAAAGGGAATAGACAAAGAACATATTTGAAATTCAGACAAGGATTAAGAGTCGAGAACGGTACAACGAATCGTCTTTTTTCTCTAATGAATTAATGAAACGACAAAGCTTCCGCGCTACGCGCGCGGGGGGGAGGGCAGGGGGAACTTAATTCAGACGAGAATAATTTTCGGGAACGGTACAACGAATCGTCTTCTTTCTGTAATAATTTAATGAAACGTCGAAGCTTCCGCGCTTCGCGCGGAGGGGGGGGAGGGGGGAATTGATTTAGACAAGGATTAAGAGTCGAGATCGGTACAACTAATCTTCCTCTTTCTCTAATGATTTAATGAAAAGTAAAAGCTTCCGCGCTTCGCGCGGGTGGGGAAACTAAATTATTTTCGAGAGCGGAACAACGAATCGTCTTCATTCTCTAAAAATTTAATGAAACGTCGAAGCGGGGGGAAATCTGAATTTAGACAGGATAGAAAGGCTTAAGAGTCGAGAACGGTACAACGAATCGTCTTCTTTCTTTAATGATTTAATGAAACGTAAAAGCTTCCGCGCTTCGCGTGGGAGGGGGGAAACTGAATTTAGACAAGGATTAAAAGTCATAACGGTACAACGAATCGTCTTATTTCGCTAATGATTTAATTAAACGTAAAAGCTGTATTCAGACGAAGATTATTTTCGAGAACGGTACAACGAATCGTCTTCTTTCTCTAATGATTTAATGAAACGTACAAGCTTCCGCGCTTTGCGCGGGAGGGAGGAGGGGAAAACTGAATTTAGATGAGGATTAAGAGTCGAGAACGGTGCAACGAATCGTCTTCTTTCTCTAATGATTAAATGAAACGTAAAAGCTTCCGAGCTTTGCGCTGGAGAGGGGGATGAATTAAGACGAGGATTAAAGATAAACTCCAGTACTGGTAAAAAAAAAAAAATTAATTCTCACAGAATCAAACGAAACTTACACTGAATGTTCAAGATTACAAATAAATGACATGTGCCAAACAATTTTGGCAAGAAAATGTATACTGGCTGAGTAATGAGCATAGAAAGACAAGGAAACCAAGGTAGTACCATCCCCGACACCATGTGTGTTGTCCCATATATAGCTTTCTATGTGAGTGTTTGTTACTTTACTAAGACTCGGTCAAATTTATTATGATTTTGATGACTCCAGAACCTTGCAGTGCACATCAATACTTACATGCTACATGATCAACTGTTTCTGACCCTTTCACACCTTTTCTTTCACAATGCAATCGCATTACCAGTACTAAAGTTTATCTTTAAGAGTAAAAAACTGTACAACGAATCGTCTTCTTTTTCTAATGATTTAATGAAACGTAAAAGCTTCCGCGCTTCGCGCGGGAGGGGAAAAACTATTTCCAGACGAGTAGGCACGTACGGAAGAGGGGGGGGGGGGAGGGGGTTAGGGGGTTGACCCTACCCCCTTCGGTTTTTTAAGTGCGTATTTTTGAGCAACCCCCCCCCCCCCTTTTCTGTGATTTTTTTTTTTTTTTTTTTTTTTTAAATAAAAAAAATATGCCAATGGCTGACCTAAAAAAGGTGACCTCACCCCCCCCCCAACGGAACAAAATGTCAAATTTTCAAATTTCGAGACCCCCCCCCCCCCCCCCCAAAAAAAGGGTCCTCTTTCCCCCCCCCCCCCGCTTATTTATTATTTAGCGGCTGGCTGAGTCGTTACGATTTTTTTTCGGACCCCCCCCCCCCCCAAAAAAAAAGTGTGCCCCCCTCCCCCCCCCCCCCCCCCCCCCCCCCCCTAAGAAATCCTGGATCCGCGCCTGTTCAAAGCCGCTTTGGTTGGATCCATTATCCGTCAAAGAGGGAGACAATTAAAGTGGTAAGAATTCCCCAGTTGGATTGAAACCCATCATGCATGAATAATTAATTCCGTTTCCTTCGTAATTCGCTTCCACACCTTGTCCAGATTCAGTCCGTTCGTTCTTTTTATCCCCCATACACAGCGCGGTCTCTCCAGTGATCGCGCAATCCCCAAATTTTCGTCCACACGAACCAGGACCCAGATTTAGAGGAATGGCTAGGTCTACTTTCAACGTTGAGGGTGTGTTATTTTATCAGCTGATTGGGTGCGCTAAACGAAAACGGTACAGAGGCTGGACTATTCCACACCCTGCCTCTAAATTCGTCCCGTATCACTTAGGTTTCTCGAGCATGAATTTTAATAGCAAGTGAATTAAATTTATTAGCGTAATTTTTTTGTAAGAATCGTAAGAATTTTGTATTTTTAACACTTTGGGAGAAAAAAATACAACTAATCTGACAAGAGCTTATAGCTGTAAAACATGGTTAGTAACGATTCAACAAGATTATTCAATATTATGCCTCATTTCTTTGGCTAGTGATAATTCATTGAACAGTCGAATCGTATCAGAACAATACTATTACCCTAGATTGATACTCCCGTAGTTATAAATCCCGGACAATTATTAAATCATTTAGAGAGCTACCGAAAAGTGATTATAGCCTAATTAATACTACCCTCTACATTTGCCACACTCCACCCAGGTGAAGTAAATGGGTACCTGGTAGGAATTTATTCCTTGAAATGCAGCGCGCGTAACAGCTGCACTGCTAAAGCCAGGGTAATTATGCTGCATTAATGTAGAGCGCTTAGAGACTTCTGACAAAGTAAGTGTTAGGCGCTACATAAGCACTGTAATTATTATTATTATTATTATTACTAAGGGCTAGATGTTTAGGGTTATTGGCCGAGTTAAATTATTAATAATAATATATACCCATTCATATAGCGCAGATACTATGATAAAACTCTACTGCGCTTAAAGTGACTCGGTAATATTGTTGAAGGTTGATAAAACAAAAACTGCCTAATTTTTGTGCAATGCCACCTACGACATTTTTACGGGCTACGGGCTTACGATTTTTTTCAAATTTGTTTAACTTCTCGCGAAACAAAATCGTAAGGGCTGCGGAGCCCGTGAATCCGTACGAAAATCTCACGGTCGCCTCCTGTCTCCGCACAGAGGCCGCATGGAAAAGGGGATACAGGCAGGATACGGGCTCCGTAGACTAATCGCAGGCCAAATGTAATCCACTAAACCTTGGTGGAGAGATCTATGAATCGCCAAAGGACATTAATGCCTCGACGGGATTCGAACCGCGAACCATGTGATCCACAGTCCGGTGACGTATCTACTAGACCAAGTCCTCTATTGTCCGGAGATGGCGGTCTAGCAAATAAAAGGGCAGTTTTTACTGTTATCCAATAAAGTTTTCGGTTAACCATTCAGTAATATATTGGTTATCTAATCATAATGTTATATGATGGTAGAGAGAGAGAGAGAGAGAAGGGACCGAAGTCCAATGATAAGGAGAGGTCGTACTAAACTAAACACAGTTAGCAAACATGGGGTCGGTTTCACGTGTAGGTTCAGAACCATAATAGATCCAATTTTCGATGACTGCTTTACTTGGAGTAGTACTATAAAGAAACAAGTCATAGAGTCATATATGCTTGCGTGTCACCTCATTATTAATTTTTCAAAACAGTAATTATTGTGAAGAAGTTCTTTTTGAATACATTGCCTAACAGTAAACATACATTATTATTATTATTATTATTATTATTATTATTATTGATTTTTTTCTTGGGGGGAGGGAGCTCACAAAGCAACACATTTTGCATAAATTATAATCCTTCTTGCTTAAAGAAGACCAGTGTATCACTTTACCCATTCCTTTTTGTAAAGGTATGTAAAACATAAGCATTATCTTTGTATATGCATTAATAACGAGGGTCAAAAGGAACCTCAAAATTCCTTTTACTTTTTAAAATGTAAATGTATGGATATATATATATATATCTTCAATATAGAGTAACAGAGAGAGGGAGAGACCGTGGTTAATAATCATTTCCTAGCTTCATTGTAGCTTAATTACAGCATTGTGAGACTCTCGTCTTTTCTGAACTTGAGATTTAAAAAAAAAACCTGCTGAAGGTTTTATTAGGGGTTAAGCTGAATTACACAATACTGGACATTGTTTTGTTAAGCCCATCGAGCACTACACGATACAATTGTGGGGAGAATTTACAGCATTTTATATAAAAATTCAGACACGTACAATTTTATCTGATTTGTCATGTGATTAATAAAATATCAAATTTAGGGGATTTCAAGTTTCCTGGAAGGAGAAAAAGCTAAATCGGACCAGAATCACGATTGTCTACGATGTGAAGCCGATTCGGCTCTCATTCTGACAAAAAGAGTTAAAGATAAACTTGAGTTCTGGTAATGCGATTGCATTGTGAAAGAAAAGGTGTGGAATGGATCAGAAAAGTTGATCATATAGCATGTAAGTAATGGTGTGTAATGCAAGGTTCTGGAGTCTTCAAAATCATCATAAATTTGGCAGAGTCTTGGTACAGTAACAATCACTTACACAGAAAGATGTATATGGGACAACACACATGGTGTCGGGGCTAGTACTACCCTGATTTCCTTATCTTTCTATGCTCATTACTCAGCCAGTATACATTTTCTTCCAAAATTGTTTGGCACATGACATTTATTTGTAACCTTGAACATTCAATGTAAGTTTCGTTAGATTCTGTGAGAATTCATTTTCTTTTTTTACCAGAACTCAAGTACATCTTTAAGTACGCTAAAATTCTGTATCATTCTTTAGAACATTACTGAAATCAGGAGGATAGTGGTTGCCTAAATTTCAATATCTTAATGCAACCGCCCTTTCTATGAAAATCGGATCGCAGGAGGAACATGAAGTGTGAACCAGGCTTAACGAAACTTGTCATGGTATAGATTTCTGATAAATGCATTTCATATATGATATCATAAACTGGCCTTGATAAACCTGGAAGAAATGAAGAAGACTTCCTGATCTAAATATAAACCGAACCGTAACCGAATACGAGGAAACGGGGTCGGTTGCAAAGTCAACATGGAGACAACAATATGTTATCACTATATGTAAGATGAGAAGGAATGGGCAAGTCTCCTGAATTTTCTCCATTTCATAAGCTTCAAATCTAATAGACCGATTGGTGTATTGTGATGTGGTTCATCACATCTCATGTACTGACCTAGGATTAATAAGTCAACTGATTACTTCTAGAAGATGCGTTTTACCAAGAACAGTCACGGACGGAGTCTCTGCTGCACATTGATTTGACGATTGGATAGACCTCTGTGATTTTCTTAGTCGTTGTGTAAAGATCATGGATACATTGTCAGGTGCTCTCTGGTCGTGCTGGTTGTCATTGTTCTCGATGTGGGGCAGATAATGAATGTCAACTTGTCAAGGATACTTGGGTTGTTGTAGGCTCTCTATTTCACTAATAGTACAACAGACATATTGGAAGGGATACATCATCATCTCATCACTGAGCACTATCAAATCCTTTGGATTTTACAAGATGGACCATAAGAGAGAAAACCAACTTATAACTGAATAGACTCACTGGCCTGCTGTGTCGCCACGATTGAGAAGAATTGGTTAAACAATATGGATTGATAAAGTGGGTATCCTAATAAATATTGTACATGTATATCCGGAACTATGCATATCGCACAATGACAGAATAAAGCTCAATTTATTTACACATTATCCAAAATGGATCCCATGCATATTCGCAGCACGATCTGTTAGAGTAGTATCCTCTCTCCATTCTACATCTAATTCGAGGGAAAGAATATTCCAATCAAATCGGGATCATGCCTCTGCGTGATTCACGTACGATGCAAGGCATGTCCTACAGACAGTCCCCCGCAGAAACACTTAGTGGATGTCGTCATCTCCGCTGTAAAGCATTCCTGGTCACCGTCCTTGGCGTACTCCTGGTCGCATCTTTCCCCGCAACCTACTCCTCAGCCATGCTCATCGTCGGCGTATTTCTCATCCTCCTCGGCTCAGCTCTCGCTTTCATGTACTACGTCGCCAGGGATTTGGGAAAGGAAAACACGGCAGCTGGACAGGGCGTGAATCGTAGCTGGAACCGTATCCGTCGACAACGACTTCAACGACGTCGTCGTAGGAACTCAGCAACCAGGAGATCGGCTAATACTAATCCGACATCGGGAGAACATGATCATGAGGATACTGCTCCTCCGCCGGCATATGAGACTAGTATCAGTGTTGAAGAGCTTATGCGGTAAGTTTCTCACGTTTTCGCTTTCTATTTCCATGTCATTTAGGAATTAAACAAAAAATACGAATAGAAACTACAAGCTGCTGCAATAATTTTCATGATAAATTGACTATATCAGTATAAAGGTGAAACAGATTTTTACCTGGTTCAATCCCTGTCTTATAATCGTCACGAAACTAGTTCTAATACTATAAACAGATTACGAAGTTTTGTAGTTATTTTTTTTTCTTTCAACTTACTGAGTTTCTTTATTGGCATGACACCCTTACAAAGGATATCATTCCACTTCTTAATTCTAACTCCATCCAGGGACTTGGGATACTAACTAACAAGTCCCTGCTCCATCCATGACGACAGTGGCGACAATTCACCGATGTATTGCCGGATGCTGCTTGTATTGCAAATAAAAGAAACATAACGAAATAATTGTTCGAGATTGTTTGACCGCCATTTCCTAGGGGAATAACAAATTGTTTCTTTTCACAACAGTGATGATCACTCTCATAGTCATACCCTTGGGATGTTTCTGGACCTCTCCATGGCCTTTGACACAATCGACCATCAAATTCTATTATACAAACTTTCACACTATGGTATACGTGGAAGGGCCTTGGAGTGGTTCGAAAGCTACCTCAGGGGTAGGAATCAATACGTATCCATAAATGGAGCAGACTCAGCCTTTCAACAGTTAATTTGTGGAGTGCCACAAGAATCCCTTCTGGGGCCTCTTCTATTTATATTGTATATGAATGACTTTCAAAACTCATCCAATTTTTTGTCGTTTATATTATTTGCTGATGATTCTTCTGTGTTTTTCTCACACAAAAACCCCAATACACTACTTGAAACCGTAAATCTTGAAATGAAACTTGTTGAAGAGTGGATTTGTGCCAACAAACTTTCCTTGAACTTAAATAAAACTCAATGTATGCTCTTCAGCAACTCTATTTCGGGATTGCCTGGCAATTTTTACATCAAAGAAACAATCATAAATTTAGTTGATTCGTCAAAATGCCTTGGTTTTATCATTGACAATAAACTTTCTTGGAAAAAACAATACTTATATTTAAGTAAAACTCTATCAAGGAACATTGGAATAATCAATAAATTAAAAATGTCTTTTCCTAAATATATTTTGAAAAGTTTGTACTCGACGCTTATCTTGCCTTATCTTTACTATGGCATACTTGCATGGGGAAATCCGTTTAATTACCAGTTGGACAAATTATTGATACTTCAAAAACGCGTCATACGAATAATCTGCCACACTAATAGGTTAAGCCACACTAATAGTTTATTTTTAGAAAACAAAATATTGAAAGTTCATGACCTGTATAATTTCTTTTTAGGCTGTTTTATGTTTCGATTAAATTCTAACGAACCTCCTCATGCCATCACGTCGACATTCAAAAAGAATCAACAACTTCATAATGATCCAACCCGACAGTCTTCCTTTTTTCACTTACACAAACTGAGAACTTTACTAAAACAAAAAACTTTGATTTATACTGGTCCTGTGTACTGGAACTCCTTAGACATTTCGCTCAAACAGCTGCCAAGTTTAATTACTTTTAAATATCACTTGAAATTTAAACTTCTACTCCAGTATGAAAATGAGTAAGGTCATCATGATAGAGACCATCGCTATTATCAACACTTGTTGGCTGGCTGCACCACACTCCCGTTTTTGTGTTTTTGTGTTGTTTTTTTTTTTTTTATATATTATGTAACAAATGTATTATGTAAAGGGAACCTTAATTACAAGCATTATGCTTCCAAGGTTTCCTCCTCATTACTGCAGATAATTGTTAGCATCATATGTATTTAATGACTTGCCATTACATTGTTTTTATCACTGTTGTATCAATCGAATATTATGTACATGTTTTGTTACCTTGTATATGCCTTACTTTGTAAATTATTTTCATATGCAGTTAATGTGGAAATAAAACCTAAATAAAAAAAATATATATTCAAAACTATTCTAACGAAGATTTTGAAAGTGGGCTATCTGTTTTACATGTATGTTTCTTGTAACTTTACATTTTCCCCTTTCATATTTTAACAATGGTACTGTTAAAATATGTCGCAATTAACTTCTTAATGACTTTCGATTCAGAGTTTTTGTTAGTATGATATTCACTAACCACAAACTTATTATATGAAACTTAAATTAGGAGTTAGAAATAATAAAATGAAAGTAGATGATTACATTAACAATACGTCTTTGATGAGATTTCTTTTGTGCTGTGGATGTTAATGTACAATAATACAGGAAATGCCTAATGTAGCAGTCATTAATCTGCCACTTGTCAAAACTATTATAATGCATTTATTACCAGTGCAAGTATGTAACATAAAGTTAAGTAGTGTTTAATGCATTTATTCATTCATTATTAAGGTTATTATTGGTAATTCATCAAATATCTGTAGGGCCTACGACAGTAATGTAAGCCTATAATTTCATTCTTTTCCTTCTTAATGCCTTAATAATTCTCTTCATAAATATATTGCTGTATGCGTTTGATTGATTTATTACTCCTAAAGTAAAAAATAATATTATAAAGTTCATACACTGTAAGAGTTCTTAACAGACCGTAAAGCAAACATAAAGATGCCTGAGTGGTTTCCCGATTTCTTCACCTCCCCCCCCCCCCCCCAAAAAAAAAAACTCTTACGAGGCAGAAGTATAATAGGAATGCCAGTTTTGCTCTCGTAAACCCTCTTGTGTAATTGTTTATCTTTGTTTGTTATAACCTATTATCTTTAAAGATATAAAAGGGAAAAGAGTGCAATTATATTCATACTAAAATCTCTTTCAGATGAATTCATATTTACCCTTTAACTTTTGAGAGCCACAACCATTAAAGAAATGAAGAAGAAAAAACATCAAATAGTACACAGACCTCGTCTCACCCCACAGCTCAAATATTTGTGAACATCACCCAGCCTAGATTTAGAACTGTTTTCTTGTAAACTTGATTCGGTTTGCAGACCTCGGCTTCGATAATTCAATTTGAATTGATAATGTCACCGGCCACAAAACGCATTACATCTTTCCTCTTCTTCATATTTGATTCGTCTTTCATGAATCAGCGACGCGCACGTCCCAAATCTTATCATTTTTGCATCTTTTTTTCTTCTTCTCGGTTTGTTCTGCCAAATTGCCCACCTATAATTCCCTCCAATTTCTATTCATTGTAGTTCGAGTTTGATGACTTTTACAGGAGAGCATACACAGTCAAAGTGTTTCATTTTCCGAGAAACATTAATGTTTTTGCATGTTTCCATGGAGAGGTTTAACAAAACTATCGCTTGTTACAATCGAGGGCGGTGGAGGCGTGCCACCTATGAGCAACACATTGAGAAAAAAATGTCGAGAAAAATTTCGGACCGATAATGTGTTCTATATCCATTTTCCCCTCTTTTGAATTAATATTCAAGTCATGTCTCTTTTAAGTGTCAAGATATTTGTTGTAATAGTTTCTTTTCTAAGAGAATTTCATTCATTTTTACATTATTATTTTTTTGTTTTCATGGGTTTTTATTCATCTCTCTCATAAAGAAAAATTGTACATTATTTATAACATTGTATACAAAAAAACAAAATAATTTTAACATAGGTCTTAATAAATTTGCCAATGAACTTTTACATTTACAAACAAAAGTTACACATTTACAGATGAAAAATATTCACATAAACAAAATTATATTTTCACCAAAAAAAAATAAATAAAAAAATAACAACTATTTTCTCGACCAGTTTGATTATAAATCTCAAATTATTTCTTTTCCACAATATTCTGTTAACCTATATTCCTCTTCAATTTCCTTTAGAGACAAACAAAATTAAAGATATAAAAAGAGATAGAGCTAGAAAACACCTACTACCCCCGCCCCACACAACATTTAAACACATAACAAGTACAACAGTATACAAAACACACACCAACATAGAACAAACAAACAAACAAAAGTAAAAGAAAAAGAAAAGAAGAGAAAAAAGAAGAAGAAAACAAATATATAGACGAATTGGATTGCAGTATGTCGAATGATAATACGATTTTTGTTCATGCAGTTATCATTACCTCTCAATAGCTTCGACAAATTTGCAGATATGTTTTACTCCTTACTCTTGTTAAATTTTCATTTCGGAATTAACATCATTTCATTACTTCGTCTGTCAGTGCCATTGTACCACTGTGTATACCCCCGGTTCAAATTTAAAAGTATCGATGCAATACTGTATTTGTTTAACAATATGAATAATCATAACATCGATTCTAATACTCATAGAAAAGTGATTAACTGAAAACACTCAAGATGATGTCCTTTTAATAGCATGGTTATGATAAACGAAGTTGATCATAGGCTGTCAGTTTCCATTCGATTTGGGCATTGTACGGCAACATGCCTGAATGATATTGGCGTGATTACCAGGTTAGGCAATAATGTTTTCCTTTCACCTGTCTGTTTGCAGTTGCCCGGAACCCTCTGGTTGGACCTTTCTACCCTCCGATCCACCTCCAGTATACTTTCCACCAATCACAGCTCTCGACTCAAATCACTCTCACACGGCGACAGATGATCATCCCGAAACTGACCAATCACAATCAGCATTGCCCATCTATAGCATCAGTCGTGAGCTGAGTTACACACTACCGACGTACGAGCAAGCATTAGATGAAACTCATACTCATGGGGCTATGAATGAGAACGATGATGATAATGGTACACGCCTCTCTAACCAAGATACGGTTGTTGTTGAACTGGATGATGACCACGAGATAGACACAGTACAACCTACATTTTTAGTATGTGAAACAAGTGTGTCTAATTCTGACAGTATACAACAGTTACTTAATATCGGGTCTGCACAGGGTTACCGTGAAAGTGTTGATACTATAACCCAGGTCTTAATATAGCTTGAAATTATACATACATTTACACAATGTATATTCATGTATTATAAAAGGAAACTAATGTGACCTTTTTGTTATAGGGCCTAATCATTAAATTAGTAATGTGTGTTTGACTACCATGTGGAGCCGTATTTCGCAAGGGGAGCTGACGTCTTTCGCCTTCATTTTTTTAATTTCCAGCTTCGAATTTTGAGAGCGAGTAAAGCGACCGAGCTAAAAGAATTATTGTAAAGGCATTGTATCTCCATCAAAACGCCCAAGACAATTATTATACAAATACATATTAATATGTCATCTTGCTATACATCTGAGTGATAGGGATAATCGTCATTGGCAAGCGCAGACTGTCTTATAAAATGTCAATCAATATGGATGAATATATGGAGGAGGAAAGATTAGTAGATGAGGAACTGTAACTCAATAATGTCATTCGTACCAAAAGTATGAGATGGAATATGGCTACGTATATGCTTATTTGCATGTTAAATCGTAGAATTATATATAGGTCACATGTTTATACAAAAACGATGTTGAAAAGGAACTCTGTACAGAAAAATAGAGGAAACGGAGAAGGAAAATAAGAAGGAAATACCAGCCCTTTGGTTCTACTGAAACATACATGTACAACCCATACATGCCATGGTAGTTTGCAATTGAGGGGTGGGGGGGGGGGGGTGGGGGTAGTGAGCACAATTTTTTTTTTTTGGCCCTCGAAAATTAAAAAATTTGCCCCCCCCCCCCCTTGAGCGCCAGGGGGGGGGGGCCATCGCCCCATAAAGGTAAAAATCATGTCATTTTACGAGTTTTTTTTCGCAGGGGGGGGGGGCAGGTCCCCCCCCCGCCCCCCCCCCCTGGATCCGCCACTGTGTGACACTATGATTTATTCTTGATAAGTGATGTTCATATCTTCTCAGAACTTTATTGATCAATAGATAGATTCATAGTAACTGAACAATAAAGATGGTAGTGAGCACATTTTTTTTTTTTTGGCCCTCGAAAATTTAAGAATTTGCCCCCCCCTCCTGGCGCTAAAGGGGGGGGGGCAAAATAAAAATTCGCAAGGGGGGGGGCAGACCCCCCGCGCCCCCCCCCCCTGGATCCGCCACTGTGTGACACTATGATTTATTTTTGATAAGTGATGTTCATATCTTCTCAGAACTTTATTGATCAATAGATAGATTCATAGTAACTGAACAATAAAGATGGAAGAAAAAATAATCCAAATTATTGGCAACCGTGTTTCATCATTAATATATTGAACTATGCGTATACAACTTTAATTTATTATATTCCTCAGATATAGATGTGTTGTATGGTAGCTAAGTACTTAAAATCGATCGCTTAAAGGTAGTATGTCCCATTTGTGTCGGAAAATAATGACCGTTAGTTGTCTTAACGAATTCAGCGAGCGCAGACCATAATTGTACCAAATGGTGGTACATTTTGTGCTGCGCAAAGAATCAATCGGCTTAATTAATTTGGCAGTCACAAGAAGTGGGTTATTGATGTAGAAAAATGTCCATGTACCTACAGCTCATTTTATGTATGTTATTACCAAAGAAAAAAAGTAGTTAGTCAGTCACTCAATGTAGTGTCTGACAGTGGAGTCTAGAAGGCAAACGGGATTCCTTGCATAATTTGAATACTAGGGCACTTCTAACGTTAAAATTTCACAGATAGGACATACGTGACATTTTTACACTTCCTGCAAAGTTCTACAGAACTTGATGTTGGCTGCAAAAGGGATACACTACCTTTAAGAATAATCATGTGTGATACCAAAATCAATATTAATTATGATGACATGGTCTCCTATTTAATGTCTATTTCTGTACTTATATGACACAATTCCAACAAAGTATTTAAAACATTCAGGATTCAATTGATAATGCGCACCTTTATTTTGATATTTTTATTCAATGATAAATCGATACAAATATGACATGTTACTCAAGTATATTGGTACCTCGATGATGATATAAAAGAACCCTGATGTACTCTAAAATAAAATAAAATACCATATATATATAACGATTGTGCAATAAAATGTAATTTGTACACACATTCATCAATGTATAACAACTCTTGTACACAAACAAAGATATCTATTGGTACAATACTGAATATGATGTTGATAAGGTCCTATATTTTAACTATTGATAACCATCAAAGATTGCTGTCAAATATTTCAGCCTTTATCTGTTAACCTCCTCGAAAGGTAGAATGGATTTTCACGGGTATTGTGCAAGTATAGAGATTATAGGAGCCATATAGTACAGTGAATCAGCACAATAGAGCCTACTTCAAATCGCCAGGCCGAGGGCATTGCTAAAGTCAATGACAAAGGCCAGGAATAGATATGTAGCTCTGTCATTATCTAGATAATACTGAGCTCATGCTTCTGTTGCTTTTGGGAAGGGGGAGGGGGAGGGGGAGGGGGAGGGGGAGGGGAGTGGAGGGGGAGTGGGAGGGGACGGGGAGGGGGTAATTCAAAGTCGTACATGGGATGGGGGCATTTTATTTTGGCATGTAGCGTAACTGACGTTTAATAGGGTAAAGCACGTTTGAATCTTAAAGGACCATCGGTACATAATTCGTCCTTGTTTTCACGAAGTGACGGTAGTGAGGAAAATCGTAACGCAAAGTGAATGCAATTTTTTTTCACTACCGTCACTTCGTGAAAACAGCGACGAATTATGTGATGTATGCCACAATGAAGCAATAAAATATAATTACTATTGATGTAATTCTTCAACATTTCATTATAAACAATACATGTGTTACGTACATTTGGGTTAATGGGTTTAATTTGAAGGTATATATACATGTAGGTATGTTCTTGAGCCAGAGATGAGAGATGTTGCATAATGATAATTTTATTTCAAATATATTATTTTATACTAGTAAATGAATATGCTAATTATGTGCGCACGCAGTATTGGTCGCCATTTTCAAGGAGCGGTCAATGAACACGACAGTAACAATGCCAGTAGTAAACTTTTTAAATTTAAGTGATCGTTTGTTTGATTGTCGAGTGGAGACCGATCACCTATATCAACTTAGAACCTTGTTGTCATAACTGTAGGTAAACATATGTACCCCTTCATATACACCCCTTTGCACACATCACACACAAAAACGATGTGATAGGAATACCTTGTCTCAGCTGTAATAACATGCATATGATAAACCACCTCGTACGCCCCCTAACTCATCAAATGTTATAAAGATTAAATATTTACCTTTTTTCACAAATTAATATTCTATATTGAAAGACCGTATGTGAAAGACAACATCATCTAACATAGTATAGAGTACAGCAATTACCACAAGCAGCATATCAAACATTAACTAGGCCTGTTGGTTTCCTTATGTATGTTCATTTACATTACATCTATCTTACTATACAACAATGACTACAAACAAACTGAACAAAACAGTATAATAAGAAATTTTGGGAACATAAATGAAACGCCCTCAGTGTCTGGGAGTGATACATAGAGACTTAAAGAATAAATATAAAAATAACAAGATACAAGTGTGATAAAACTGTGATAAACAATGCAATCAAATGCTGCTTTGTTTTTAACAAATACGTTGAATACAAAAATATAATTATATATAAAGAAGCAGTTACAACAATGAAATAAATTGCATAGTGTAAACAGAATAAACATCCTCTTCAAAGTAAAACAATATATGACAACTTTGACAACTATCAAAGTATAAGATCAATATACATTTTAAATTATTTGTTAATCAGAGTTTGTGGACACCCTAAATGTTGGGAAAGTCTATTAGGTGACAAATGAACTTAAACAATATTTTAGGTAACTCATGTGACCAACTTCTTCACAAACAGAAACTACGTTCTAATATAATTTAGAACTGGCAAAACATTTGTGTGCGTGATTTACATAATTATATACGGTATATATCATCCCAAGCGACTATTCGCACATTTTATATACTAATATTTCATTGTGCTTCTAATAAAATTTGTTTTTATACAATACCGTACCCCAGATAATAAAAATGAGAAATATACAATGGAGTATTTTTTACATACGCACAGCATATTTTGATACTTTTTTTTAAACATTAACATAGTTAAATACATTATTAACATAGGCGTACCCGTCAGGTTTACTAGCAATTCCAACGTGGGTTGGAGGGGGTTGTAGGGGGGGGGGGGGCTGCGAACGTCACGTTCCCGAACGTCAACTTTCCAATGTCAAATGACATTGATGCTACATTAATATTCTAACGAAGCGAGTGAGACATTTTGACTCTTTATCAACATTTACAATGTCATTTAGTTTAAACAATACACTTGATAGGATCGAACAATTACAGATAGATGAAATCATTGATAGAATATGAGGTGGCGATGTCGGAATACTGATAAATTCAAAATCCCTGGCCTGTGGCACCAGCCAGCCCCCACCCCCGCCACGTACGACTATATGTTTATCTACATGATCTTTTTTAAAGAAAAATGTTACATCATATTATGTAACTGAACACCACTTGTATAAATATCATTTATAATCACACAAGAATTGTGAATTCAATATATAAGAGTCTTTTGAAATGTGCAGGAAAAACTGACAAATCAGTAAATCAGTGATTATTATGATGTATGCAAAAGCAGTAGGTGGGTCAATAAGATTTGTAATGAGGAATACTTTCCTTAATGAATTGAAGGGGGAACAAAATTAATTTCCACCTCCACACACAAGTCATGATGTATTTCCAAAAAGACCCTATTGGTCTACAAAAACCTTCAGTAAATAAAAAATGCATACATAATATTATGGTTGAATAGATAAGGACTGAATAATAATTCACCAAGACAAGACAAATAGAAATGCTTGCATTCTGACCTTAGATTTTCTACAATGATTAAAAAAAATTGCAAACATGTTACATACTAGCGAACACCATTTAAGTTGTTATAATATCAATATCAATATCAATATCAATATCAATATCAATATCGGCAACAGATACGTTGTTGTTATCTTATTCTATAAAGTAACTGAGCATACTGAGATAGGCTGATTATCTATACAATTATATACATTGGTAGATTCATGCCTTTCACCCTTTTATTAAAGAGCAGCAGAACTAAGATCATTTTGGGTTTTGAAGAAAAAAACACCTACGTCTCCTCTCGCGTCCAGTTCCGAAAGCAGTGTTTATAATTTAAAAAAAACAACATAAACAGGTAGAGAAAATTTCGGGATTTTCAAAAAGTTTGCCCACCCCCTCCCTCTCTGGTAATCCTGGATCCCCTGCCTGATATTAATGTCCTAATGATCTAAAATATTCAAGTAGAAATAAAATAATAATATAAAAATTGCCAGTTTTTATATGAGTGACATTATCTCTCGGACAGACAGAAGAACAAAGATTAGAAATATACCAACATCCCATGAAAGTAATTTTGTAATGAAATATACTTAAGAACTGCAAGAATGATGTTCCGATACAGAAGTTCCCCTACGTCATAGAATAAAAACATATCACACGGCGTGGTTTTCGTTACAATATATCTTAAACTCTTTATATGAGAGTATATAAAAAATAATACCACGGTCAGCCGTCTATTTGTGATGTTTATTTCTACAGTTTAATGTCTTGTTCTCTGCCTTAATTCACTCTCTCTCTCTCTCTCTCTCTCTCTCTCTCTGTTTCTCCCCCCCTCTCTCTCTCTCTCTCTCTCTCTGTTTCACTCTCTATCACACAGATACTGGAACGTTTAAATGCTCTGCGAGAAATTCGCATTCATGAATTTATTTTATTTCGTTTCGTTGGGGAGGGGGGGGGGGGTAAGGTCAGCTTTATTGGGTCACCCACTATCAATTTAAAAAAAAAATTATTATTATTATTATTTTTAATCTAAAGGGGGGGGGGGTCCTCCAAAATACACACATAAAAATGTTAAAGGGGGGTTCAACCACCCCCCCCCCCCCCACCCCCGCTGCGTATGCGCCTGATGCGGATCCTCACCAACCATTCAGGGACAATCCTAGTAGACATGTTAATCTTCTGGTGAGTATAAATGATAATCATTTGATGATGAACTGAAAAGGGTAGTTAGATCAGCTGATGATCATCATTCAGTCGTCACTGCAGCACAGTTTTGGTGATCGTCATTCAGTAATGTGATAAACAGTTTTAGTATGTATGATAGATGATGTCTCTCAAAATTTATTTGTTGTACAAATGACTGGTTCACCAAAGCCGTCATTAAAGTTTGACAGATCACCATTGATAATGATGTGCTGATGCCTTGCTTCAAATGCCAATCACTCGGTGATCAATACATACCATAGTCATTCAGCGACGTACTAAAAGGGGTTGCGAAGGCAAGCGGTGTTGGGACCCCATTGGCTACAGGACTGGGGTCAGCATTCATGGGTAGCGTTTCTCCAAGATTCCCGTCAATGACATGTACGTCAGGTTCAAGTGGTTGCTCGTTGTAATCACCCCCAACAAGAGGCAAGTCTGTCATGGGGATGGCCTCTAAATTAGCTGGACGATCGAGCGTGCTCCTCTGAAGAGATTGTTGCCAAACGGGATGCACGTCACCGACAACAGGTGCAGGGGTATCATCATATTCTTCCATAGAATAGCACCTATGACAGGCGAAGATGAATCCAACAATGATCAGCAACAACCCAAAGACCACACCTGCCAGCAGGAGACCGCTGTTTGGCCAGGCATCGTTGAGAACGGTAATAGCTATAAACGCCGCCACAAAGCCACTCATAACAACGAAACCAGCGAGCACAAGACCAATCCCACAACATAAATTTTTTCTCTCCTTTCCTTTCTCTCGTCGCTGTTTTGGTTTCCTGGGTGGGTTGCGGTGGATCGGTTTAGCCGTCGTTGGGTAACTTGGAATCAAAGTAGGCACAACTCTAGGTTGTTGAATACCATTGGGATGTGTAAGACCATTCCTTTGGTTAACGTTCGGACCTCCATTGGCTTGTCTACGACCACTGCTATACTGTTGAACTCCGATAAGACCACCATTCGGCTGTCTACGACTACCACCGTTCTGTACAGGGTATGCTTGCTGTTGCTGTTGCTGTGGAATGAGACCCAGCCTCTTGAATGCCTGCTGCTCAGTCATGGCAGGTTGTTGTCTTTGCCGCTGTTGTGGAGATGGGACTTGATGAGGCGGATTCTGTTCCCGTTGGTTAGTCGGTACTTCCCCTACTTGCCCAATAAATTGTTCGAACTCTAATAATGAGTTAGTACGTCTGAATGAACTGGTATCTCTGTATCTGTCCATTAGACTCAACCCTCTCGAGGGTTCTCTCGTCGTGTCTCGATCAGGATGAACCTGGTGTTGATGGATACCCTGGTGTTGATGGATATCCTGCTGGAAAGCTGGCTCGTGGAGCGGGTAATCACGAGTACGTTCTTCGTTCTCAGGAAGAATAGGAAGAAACTGGTTTTCTGGTGTCAGTTCCTCGGGAGACAGGAACCCTCGACTGGCACGATGGTTTAGATTTTGTGTGACTTCTTTCCGAGCCACGTTCTTGGGTTGACGATCATTTCGGGGAAAGGTTCCGAATTCACGTCCGGTTGGGATTGGACTGATTTCCATGAAGGGAGAATTATTTGTATCGTATCTTTTAAAGCGGTCAAGGTTTCGTTGTGAGTTCTGCTGTCCTGGGCGACCGTTACTTGCTGATGAGAAGGGCCAGTGGGTGAAAGGCTGTTCAAGTGCCATGGTCAGGGTGGGATGTGTGACTGATACGTTTGTAAAGTCCTGGTGCAAAACTTCAGGTTTGTTTATAGACGAGATGGAAATCCAAAATAATCACCTCCACCTGAATGTAAAAAGAATAAAGGAGAAAGCCTATTAGATATCATTACTCAATCTTAAACAAACAAGTATATAATGCATACGATGTAAGAAAATGAATAAATAAAATAATGAATACAATTTAAAAATCACTGGTTAATAAATGCCCAACGTAAAGGCAATCAATTGTTTAAAAAAAGATAAATATATTTGCTCAACTCGGGTAAAATTGTGTCCAATAACAAGTTCTGAAATTTTTCCTCATAAGGGGTAGCAAAATACTGAAATTCGGCAAAAAATGAACATGAAATTATCCAACAATCATATTGCCCTAAGAATTGGCACTTTATTAAAGCCAATACTTTAAAGAAATCCATGCTATACAGGCTCATAGCTGTAATTGAATTGAATGGGCCTGGGGGATCTGATTGCTATGTGATTGAACCCTGATCACCAATGGCTTGCCACTGTTCAATGTTTAAGAATGTGGTGGTAGAGGCCCCCCCCCCCCCCTCCTCTTCCCCTTATAAAAGAAAATCCACCAACGTATCACAATGAATCTACTAAAAGTGAAACCATACAGGATTCTCTTAGGCTTCGTTGGTATCATAAACACAGCATAGACCAGTCAATAATTGGTTATCCATGTTGTTGTTTTTGTTGTTGATATGATCCAAGCAGTGTTACAAAATAATATGCAATTAAACACATTATAATGATACAATCTAAGCCGTGCTATGTCAAAACTGAAACGCAACCAAAACGGGGCAAAAAACTACCAGGGAAAAATACTAACTCACGTATTGAATGAATCATGAATGTACACATTTCTATCCAAAATAGATTGGGCTACAAAAGCAAGACGAAGTAAACTTGAATAGCTAGGAAGGCCACATAGAAATTAGCACAATTTAAATATTCCAGATGGAAATAGGGGAGAGGCCTCCCGTTAGTGCGGTATGACCCTTATAGGGATGAAAACAGCATTGCAACAATGGATATGGCATTGCCTATTCGACTATGATGGATCACTGAATAAGAGTTCAAAGGTAAATCATTTGATCTTGTTTTCCAGCGGTAAATAACCTTACAATAAATAGATTTTTCAGTTAAAAACATAAAACCTTGGCTCAAATCTCGTCCTTCAAATTGCAGGGGATGCATGCTTTGCAGTAAACAAATAATATTAAGTACGACATGACTGATCAGTAGGAAGATTCAATTTGTGCTAAATATATTTTTTAGGATTTTGTTTCACGTTAAGTCGCATTTATTTTGTTTGTTCCATCAACACTCTCTTTTAGATATATATATTATTATTATTGTTATGTTATTATTGAATGTTTTATGATAAATACTTATAACGCAGAACTAGAGCTGAATTAAGTTCAGTTTAAAATAAAATCACATGAAATACGTAGCAATATCAAAACAATTATTACATAAAGCTTACGAGAATACATTCAAAGACAAAATTAATGATATATAACATAATTTTAAAAACTAGGTATAACCCAATAAACAAAATCACGTGAAAATCACGTCAATATCAAGGTATCGACTTGAGGAGAGTTACGTTCTTCAAACACCGGACATTTACGTAAATGTGTTAATACGTTTTTTGCATTAGGTAACTTAAAACACACGTACACTAAATCACGCAATTGTCACTGCAATATCACCATTATAATAACGTGATTATCCCTACCTTGGAGACCATGGTTTGTAAACCTAATACTCCCGTGTTTGTTTGGTTATGAAATTACATCTTCATACACGAATTTATCGTGTCACAGAAACACGTGAAGCGTTAGTGATAGTTTTAGTCAAAATATCTGCGTGAAATTCACGTGAATATTACGAGGCTGACTTGGGATGAATCATGTTCTTCATTCACGTGAAATTTACGTCGAAGAGGAAGTATGTTACTGTAACCCGCGTTCAACCCAATAATTACGCAAATGTTACACAATAAATGAACCAAAATAATGACGTTCTCATCCCGTTTCTGAACATCGTGTCTTGGATCTTCCATAATTACGTCAAGGCGCGCCGGAAGCAGTTTGGGATTAGAGGGGGTTGGGTGGAGGGGGGGGGGGGGGGGGGGTTGCAAACATCCCAGAAGAGAAAGCTAGTTGCAACTGGTCCAGTTGATGAACCATTTAATGCCAACTGGTAACCCTGGAAATTGAAATGGGCTAAATGATCCAGTTGATCCAGGCCAGTTATAATTCAACTGGTCTAGCTGAGCCATTAGAACCATTTGGTAAAACTTCCAACCAGTTGAACAGCAACAATACTTCAATACTGGTACGTCTGTATTTCCAATGTAAGGGCATTGGTAATAAGTAGACTTACATAATTGAATTAATGGAGAAAAAAACTCGTATACTTGTACTTTATTGAAATTATTTTAGTTCACAGTTAATGTTTCCCTTATTCATGTTTAACTATTTATACGAAGTAGCGAAATGTCCTAATAACTGGTAATTTATATTTGTAGTATTTTCGAAATGAATTGCATATAACTAAATCATCAGTAATTAAGAAATATGCTGTAAATTCAGATAAATTGTTTAAAAAACATAGATCTGCACGCACCCTATATTCAATATGCAAATGAATTGGTGTCAGCTGGGTCAACTCAAAATATGCCAACGCTCAGTCATCAACTGGTGCAACTGGAAATATGCACACTCCAGTTATCAACTGGTGCAATGAAAATATGCCAACAGTCAGTTATCAACTTGTGAACAAAGAAATATGCCAACAGTCACGGGATTATCACCGCGGAACTTAAATGGTAACTGTGAAACCATCAAGACACCCAAGAATAACTCATTTTCACACATGGAAAACACGGAATACCCAGCTTATATTAATAATCCGTTTGAGTCACGCGATCATCACCGCGGAACTGCTGGCAACTTTGACTACGATTTAAATAGGTGTTTTAAGACACCCAATCATGACTTATTTTTCACACCTAAAAGTCACGTATGCCCAGCTTATATTAATAATCCGTTTGAGTCACGAGATCATCTCCGCGGAACTTATGGCAACTTTGACTTCCATTTAAATAGGTGTTTTAATACACCTAATAATGACTAATTTTTCACACCTAAATATCACGGATTCACAGCTTAGATTAGTAATCAGTTTTAACTACGTGATCATCACCAAGAAAGTTATGGTAACTTTGAAACCATTTAAATAGGTGTTTTAAGACACCTAATAATGACTAATTTTTCACACCTAAAAGTCACGTATGACAAGCTTTAGATCAATAATCCGTTTGAGTCACGAGATCATCACCGCGGAACTTATGGCAACTTTGACTACCATTTAAAAAGGTGTTTTAAAACACTTAATAATACTAATTTTCACACCTACATATCACGTTTTCACAGCTTAGATTAGTAATCAGCTTGAGCCACGTGATCATAACCAAGAAATTTATGGTAACTTTGAAACCTTTTAAAGAGGTGTGTAAGACACCTCAGAATTACTAGTTGAATATAACCAGAGATTCACGGACAGAACAATAAGACGATTAGCCGGTGTAAGTAACGTGATTATTACCATCAACCTTGGATAACCTGTGAAACCAATCAATAAAGGTGTTTACAAGACCAAATAATTACGTATTTATCGCCACCATCGGTTAACTGACAAAAAACTCGTTGCTTGGTCAAGTGGTTATTTGGTCATAAACACTTGATTTACAGAGGTAAGTGGAATCACGTTGCTCCAGTCGCGTGATAAACTGGTGGTTTTTAGGTTAGATGAAAACGTGAACAGGAGTACCTTTTTTGTTTAAATGAAGGCACGTGTCGATAACGTTTAAATCTAGTTCAAAAGGCACTATACTTTAAAATCACTTAAAATACACTCCCAAAAGAGGTTACTTTTTGGTGTTCTGTTTATTGGGAATCAACACTTTTATCAAAGTTAAGACATACAGCTGTTATATCGTATCTTTTACTGAGAGTAATGCTTCTGTAAAGAAGAAAGATATATAATGAGAATGTCGTATTTCAAGGGTGGTAATAAAGGATAACATTTATTATCATAAATTCATCGGAATGTTTGAATTGTGGATGGCATATTTGTGGTTTGAGAGGTTGAAATGCGGTCCACCGTTATAACACAACGCCCATGACTACGCCCTAATCTTTACAAAATAATGTTTGTTTGGGAAAATCCGGGAGTGATAATTTTTTTAAAAAGAGAACTGAGCTGGTCTTCGACATACAGAAATTAATGGTTTAAGGGGATGTGGTAGTCTGTTTCCACGTGCAGTAGGTCACAATTCGCTAACACCAGACTTGGTGGAAATACTATTAATGGCTGTACAAGTCTGCACACAGTAAACCCGTGGTCCCATCGTCTATCGTCTCTCGGAGGGTCTTCGGGTGAGGGAAATGTAAGATTATGACTTTTCCATATGGCGCGATTGGTGGAAATTGCAAAGTATAACATAAGGCCTGTTGGTCATCAACCAGAAGGCTAATCATGGTGATTGACAACACCTGTTATTGGGTAAAAACCCAAATGGTGTCGAATTCTCCATGAGAGTCCATTACTATGAGTCTTTAAAAAAATAACTAGAGTTAAGTTTCAAATATGTTTAAATTTAGTAAAATATGATAAACCAATGTCTACTGCTGCCACTAAATGGTATAGATGATGAGGAACGGCCAATTCTACATGATAGATATTCATCCTTCATGTCGTGAGGTATATTCATGATAGACAATAAAGTAAGACCGATTCAAGATGATAGCAAGAGTAAATTTCGTTTTAGAAATATTATTTAAGTCGCACTTTAATCCTCTAATTGCAAAATCAAGAAAGTAAGTTAGCTTGTTGAAGATGTATATGAATAATGTGAGGAAATTGTTTGATATATGGTCCAATTTCTCAACAAAGGTATTTTTTTCTTCAGATCGATGAAAACTGCCCACTGATATTTAAAAGCAAACAATCACAGTTACAGTTTGATAAACTATTACAATATATTTATCCAAGCTTCTATTACTGCAAGAGAACAACAACATTTTACGACACTTCCTCCTCCTCTTCTTTCAGAATTAGGCTTCGACATAATTTTGTTTTATATGACTCATCTGTAAATTAGCAGAGATATTGGAACAATAAAACTAAATCAGATACCCTTTTTCTCATGCGATGAATCTCAGAGTCTTAAATGATGTTAGTGATTTTCATCACACGCTGACGTAAGTTCCATTATACATTTTATGACGCACTCCGTATATGCCATGTATTTTATGATTAGAAGAGGTGCTGGATTTCGGAAGTTTCCACAATAATTCAAGCTTTCATGAAAGCATATTTTCATCTTTTCATCGAAGATTATTCTTAAATATCGCATACAGTTAAGAAGTGTATAAAATCAAATACTTCAGAATTATATATGTGTACATGTACCACATTTCATGAATTCGCAGTCTTTTACAATAAAATTCCTCTCCTTCCGAGTTTGTTAAAGGTAAAGACCAGTTATGGTCATGCGATTGCATTGTGAAAAAAACGTTGTAGAATCGATCAGAAAAGGTTGATCATCTAGCATCTAGCATCTGCAAGGTTCTGGAATCATCAAAATGATAAGAAATTTGGCCCATTCTTCGTAAAGTTACAAGCCCTATACACAGAAAGATGTATATGGGACTACCCTATATCTCTCACAGACCATGAGAGAAACAAATTTACCAAATATATGAATTAGTAGGCGGTTTCCCGGCAAATTTGTTATCATCATGTATTATCCAAACGTATTCTTTCACATGAATGGTAATAAGAGCTTCCATTTTATTTTTTGAAATTGGGGCGTTTCCAATACTGGTCTTTACCTTTAAGCCTCCGTGATTGATCAGCAGTGTGCAACACTAATGAAATGTACTGTACTTTTTTTAATCTGTCTACTGTCGTTAGCCCCATTCCATATATAAATGTATTTCATTATCGATAGCGTTTATGTTTGTAATTCTTAATTTTTTGTAAAATTATTTCATACCCGGCAACTAAACTGTTATCATTGTTGTCATTTGTTAACAGAATCAGAATCTAAAACGAAGCATAGGTCCTAATTCAGATCACATTGCTTGCAATCTTAATCTAAATGGTGTACAATGAATATCAATTCTGTGTTTTCACCAAGAGAAATAGTTCTTTATGTTATATACAGTTGATCTGTATATAGTTCATATTCAAGTTCAAGTTTATTTATTCCATTTTACAGAAAATATAGACGTACATAAATTATGAAATATAAAATTATACAATGCAATTGTAGTATAAATGAGCACATGTCAATGATTCTCAATTCATATAATAGATAAAGTAGAATGTGAGGAACCTATTAAAAAGCAATAAATGGACTCATGAGAGAACTAAACAAAAACCTGAATAAAGATACCATTATAGAATAAGGAAATACTTTGTAGAACTTCTGTTAATTTTAGTAAGTAATAATGGTGATAATGGTGAAAACTACGCAAAACCACGAGAGATTTATGTCAAGTTCTCGTGGTAGCTATACAACATACTTGGATAAAGGTATCATACCATGCAAAAACAATTTAGAATTAATTAAGATCAGTGCGTCTAAGCTGTAGGTTATAAGGTCATCTGTCTATAAAGGGCAATGTACTGTTACCCAATGGTAGTATTGACTATACAGATACACTATGTTTAAATCATCAACAACAAGATATTAAAACATTGATTCATAAACAACATACTCACCAGAATGACTGTGTTAATCCCCGTAATATGATGTGATGTTACAACGATGATTCATCCCTGGTGCACAAGTCCATCACAGGATGATTGCTAGGCGTGTACGTATAAAACGCAAACATGGGTTACGCCCGAATCTACAAATGGCGCCAAACACTGCTACATGTAGTTCATAAACACTGGCAGAAATCCTCTTTTAACTGTCAAAACTTCATTTAATATGTGTTAACCTTGTTCTGCTTCTTCTCGGATGTTAGTAAAGTTGAGGAACTTTAGAGTAAAATGCTAATACTGCGCTCAGAATCCAGAGGGTGCGACTCGACCGGAAATGGTTAACTTGGTGAAGTTCACAAAAACTTTTTTGCTATCCGCTGCGGGCCCATAGATTGTATTGATATTATTATTACACGGTGTTTGCCTCTATGCCTGTGGTGTATTGTGGGAACGATCTGGTAGCAATACAACAACCTCCTCCCAAATACATATTTACTTTCTGTTCAAAGGCAGTACGGCGTGAGACAACGCAAATCCAACGTGCAACGATATAGCGCAGGAGGCCAAGATTGAATAGCCCAAAACCCAATGAACTGAAAAGTAGACTATAGAAGATATGTATTCATAACGAGTTATGACGAATGTCGGAATGCCATCGCTTTTCATCGCTATTCACCCCGCCTACTCTTCATTATTTATCGAACACACGGACAACCGTAAGAATTGACGAAGTGAGGCGACAAGGTACAAAGGTTCACAGGCAACAAGAGAGATATTGGGTGAAAACATGTACTTTTAGGCTAAAATAGATGTATTATGTGGGCTGGAATTTGAGCGGTTATAAAGGGAAACAACAAACTGATCACATGGCTAATAACTACTCAGGCCTACATGGTATGCGGCCAAATAATTTAATATTATGGTAGTTATGAATATATATGAGGATAATAAGTGCACCTCTGTGCTATTTAGTGCAATGTTGGGCGTATTGTTATGAGTTTTAGGGGCGTGGCAGCCTGGCATGTCTATTAATGAAATAGGGCGGTTTCCTCTCTACTAAAGTGGTCTTCTATATTGGCAGTACTGAAAATAACGTGTTATATCCAAAGCAACCTCGGCCACTGATCTTTACGGAGGGTGGGGGTCTGACCACCATACCGATGGAAGAAAACTTTACTATATTTGTTGTCGTTGATGCTGATTGTTTGCATGTTGTAACGTACAACCTTATTCCTTTTAACTATGTTAAGTTAAACGAAGAGAGAGACAGCAACGAGCGAGACCGATCTGCCTCCAAGTAATTAGATGATACAGACCATTGGAATACAGACATTACAGAACTGGACTCATGTCAGTCTAAAACAGAACGACGGAACGGAGAAAAATCCTCCTTGAACTAGAGATCTTTTTCACAACCACCACCAACATCACTACCACCGCTTTCTCCTCCACCACCACCATCTCCTCTACGACCACCTCTGCCTCCACCTCCTCCATCACAACCACCACTGCCAACATTAGTACTATCACCGGCACCTCCACTACCATCTCTACCATCACAACCACTACCACCACCTCATCGACCATCACCACCAACATCATTCTTCCCCCCTCCCCCCCCCCCCTCTCTCTCTCTCTCTCTCTCTCTCTCTCTTACCCTATCTCCTTTTTTCCTTTCCCCCTCTCTCTTCCCCCTCTCTTTGACTTCTTTATGTCTATTCCTATTCCTGGAAAGATCTATCATTCTTTTTCCCAGTTATTATGTACATGTTACACTCATTCCCTCTTTCTTTTTTTTTCCATTCTTATGTTAATCGACCGTCAACGTGACGGTACATTAGAATTTCACTTAAACCGTCCACTGAAGAAGAAAAAAAGCAACCACTAGTGACAATAATAATAATAAAAATAATAACAGTGGGTTCTTGTATAGCGCTAATGTCTGTCAGATTTGACACTCTTGGCGCTCCCGATTATGTGAAATACATTTTTATTGCATGATTGGATTGGCTTTCTGACAGAAATCAAACAGTGTACAAATTACAATTTTACAAAAATGGATTGATGGCAACATTGACAAGTACTGATCGTTTGTACAATGTATGAAAGCGATATAAAATGAGAACTTGTGAAAGATTGTCATAGTTAAAACAGGACGACACATTTCTCAATGTTGACAAAAGACTGTTAAAGACCCTCCATTGAACATATTCGACAGTCATTCGTATTCCAATATAAACGATAGTTCACCTGACATTCCTGAACAGCAATCTTCTTGACCACTACCCCCAAGCTGGTAAACTAACCTCTCAGACAACTATGTCGGAACAATTATCCCCCCCCCCTTCCGCCTCCTTCCAACGAAAACTAACTACTCGTAAGAAGTATTTATAAGAGGAAAATCGCGTTTACTGAAAACAAATCAGTTATCCAGGGGTAGTCGTTTGGGATGGTTGTCCTAGCGTTGGTAATACCGATACATTCATTGAATGATAAATCTGAGCACATCACAAAATATACATGTAACTAATGGGGCGTTATAAGAATGTTAAAATCAATTGCAAATCCCCCAAATCAAGCGTAAGTCTTGCGATTAATTGCAAATTTGCGACTGATCGCAACTCAACTTTCTTGCAACGCCCCTTTAGAGAGAAAGAAAGGGAGAGAGAGAGAGAGAGAGAGAGAGAGAGAGAGAGGGGGAGGGGGGAATAAAAACTAGATAACTTTAATCCTAACAAAATCCTAAGAAATTGAGGAGTCTAGTGCAAATTTTATTCATATAGAAGAGATAAAAGATACATGAAAACCTCGTCTACTATCTACATGGCTGTATTCCCTTATTAGTGTAATTTTACATTTTGCTGTATATTATTCTATTTCTAACACATGTCTATTTAGAAGTCGGAACTATTCAAATGGATAAACAGGATTATTCGCCATAAATGCAAAAATGACGTAAATTCAGTTTGTATAAATACAGTAGTTGATTAAAAAAAAAATATACCAGATTGATAAAAAGATACCATGTAATCGCCGAATTGCACATACACGACACAACAAATACGCCAAGTCAAAAATCATGGGGCAAACATTGTGATACACAGGCGATTTCACTTTTAGCCAGCTTTTTAAAAAAGTTTTCCAGATATTTGGCTACCATTGCTTTTAAAATATTGAATAATTCCTACTTAATGATGATCTGTAAAGAAAGACAGGCATCTTAATAACCCCACTTTGATTTAGTTGATGTACATTAAGATGATCATACAAACAAAAGCGAAAAATGCGGCCATATTATTTTTTTTTATCAAAGCAAAAATATATTCATAGATACGGCCTCCCACAATGTTTAAACAAAATATAAAAATCGTGGTAATGTACATAATGTACCTAATCAAATATCATTTGGTTTCATAACATAGTAAATGTAACTGCATACAAACAGTTATAAACTAAATTATTCATACCCTTACCAAGTTTTGTAATATTGTAAGCATGTAAAACATGGATTTGTCCCGATTTATGTTTCTTGAGATTGTGACACATTAAAGCTTATAGCTTAAAGTATTAACAAATGCCTTAATTAAACCAGTTCACCTTTCGTTCTTGAGTTACGAAAAACACAACAAACATCAAATTTACAAGGGGTATGAATAATTCAGATGTTAACTGTATTTGCATAAAAATTATGTTTATATATCTATAAGCATAATTATAAAAAAACGAAATATTTGCACCATGAAGAATTATCAATTACGAATGTGCAGACATGATTTTGTCAGTTAAAGCGTTTGTCTATTGGACGGAAGATCCTGTTCCCAAATCCAGCCTTACGAAAAAAAACGAGCATTGTGACAGCGTGACATTCCCCGCCTCCATACCCCCCCCCTACTCACTTGCCTACCGAATGATCACTGTAAATTACAAATTAAAGAAATAATACAACATTTGTATAAGATCAGCAGTAGCGATGTCCCTTTCAACACACTAACTATTTTGCCATTCTTATATAAACCTGGCCATCGTCTGTCAAAGTATTCTTGACTGGTTCTTTTGGTCTACATTTAGGTCGGAAAGCCATTACTAATGACACATGTTGACAATGTGCTGTATAGACACCACTCTAAACATGTAAACATTGTGTTTATTGACATATTTATTTAAAAAAAAAATATTCTGACCGTAGTGAAAATCACATGAATTGTTCTATGCAGTTTACAGTTTGTCTATACATCTACAACATGTACATGTATAATCAGTTGTGCTTTGAATAACGAGCTTTCTTCATTTTCTCTGTTTTTTTTTTTATAAAGGCAGGCTCTCTCCCTGGTCCTATGAAGAAAAAGAAAACAAATGAACAAAGAATACATCATTATTGTAGAAACAACTTGTAATGGGTAACGATTAAGGGCGTATATATATGGTTTAGCAATCTTATTCGACAAAGACATGGGACCTTGGTAAATGAACCCAACATAATGACAGGAAGATACTTCCATACGGCTATATTTGGAGAATCATAATGTAAATGACATCATAATTAGCCATGATGTAGTATAAAGGTGTATGATAGCCCCAGATTAGCAAGAAAATTAATTCCCTAAAATCACTGAAGAATACAAATGAAATGGAGGTGGTTGCTAAATTAAGAATGCACATTGCCCGTCCTTTACCCTTCAAGTATAGAAATATAATCTATCAAGCATTTTTCTGAACCCCCCTCCATTCCGCCCCCTCCCCCCCCCCCCCCCGCCCATGCTTTGCTGTAAATTCCTGCACGGCTATTCGCCACTGGTGTATAGTTATTTACATCAGCATTTCCATATGATTATTGATATTCGATATCAAATTATTGTTTGGGTTGGTTTCCCTGCAATTGGCCTTAGTGTGTTAAGTTTTTTTTTAATGGAAAGATATTTGGGGCTGTAGTATTAATGTAGTTGATTTGTATCCCCTACCTCTGTTGTATAAACCATCGTAGAAGGCTGCATGGTCACCCCATCTTGACTGAGGGTCATATCGTCTCCTCCCTGATGAGACGGCATCATCTCCTGATCGTGGTCATCATAAGCCGAGTTAGGTACCATTGTTTCGTCATCATGAGTGTAAACCATATTACCCACTCCAGCAATCTCCCCGGTCCCTTCCATGTCACCTCCGAATTCAAATAACTTCATCTTGTTTGCTTTATAGAAGCATAGATATGCAGTACTACCAATAAACACAATCAAAGCAATGATGAACACTGGGATACCGATGGTTAAGAGGTTGAAAGTCGGTGGAAAGTTGATCGCCCCCATGATCACCAGAGCAAGCCCAACGAAGAAAAGAGGGGCAGAGATGAGAAAAGCGATTTGGGCTGCTGACCAGGTGAGTTTAGTAGCATCTTGAGAGCTCGCTACAGAATCATCATCGTATTCAGCAAGGAGATCGAAGTCGTCCGGTAAGGCGTTGGCGATGCCACGTTCTTGTTTCACCGATTGCGATGGTTGCATGTGTCTGTCACCATTTTGAGCTGCCTGGTATGAATTATCATTTGTTTCTTCTGTTGGAAATGATTGTTGTTCTGAGTCCGGTAGACTTGGCAAGGAATCTGATTTGTTCAAGTCAGAGTCAATGTCTCTCGGCGACGACAACTCTTCGTCATCGCCCGGGGATTCGGCTGGATTCGTGTCAGTTTCATTCAACGACGAACCTTTATCATCGTTCTCGGGTTCCATGTGATGTTCGGTGCCAGTTTCTGTGGGTGTGTTATCATCATCCCCGTGTTCGTGCTCGAGATGATGCTCCGAATCAGTTTCTGTCAGCTCCAAATCCTCGTCATCGTGATGGGACTCCAAATCGTTCTCTTCTTCGTATTCTTCCACGTGATTTCCGGTGACAATGTCTGTGGGTGTGTTATCATCATTCTCGTGTTCGGGCTCCAAATGATGTTCCGAATCCATTTCTGTCAACCCCAAATCCTCGTCATCGTGATGAGGCTCTAAATCGTGCCCTTCCTCGCCTTGTGCTTCCTCGTCCATTTCAGGATAATGGTTATTGCATCAATAATTCCCGGTGGTCTAAATAGAATGAGAAAAAAGTGTTTGAGGTTAACAATTGTCGTTTCATACCTGTTATATACAGTTCAAATGTGATTTCGATTCCTCGAAAGACAGTTCATTCTGAGAATAATGATATGAGCATTATACAGTATGGCTTAAACAACCAAATAACTACACTCTGTCAGCGAATATTGTCATGTGCTACACAAAATCGATCGGTATATTATCCTAACAGAAAAGTGAAAACTCTAATGGTCTCGATTGTGGCAATGATGGTTGTCGGTTTAAAAAACAACACTATATGCTAATCTTTATAACCCGACAGAAGAGGCATGGACTTGTATTATGACAGCCTCAGCACTATCTTTCCCTCACTTTGGCGCCTTGATAGAAATTCATTGTAAAACCATTTCAATATATCATCGGCGTACCTCCCATTGGAGATGAGGGATATAATTAGCCCCCAAATATTCTTTGACATACAAACAAACAATGAAAAAGAAAGATTTATGACCTAAGTTCCTCATCGATGTTAATCACTATATGGAATATAATTGTCTTAATTATTGAAATAGTAATTATTGTTACTGTCACCATTACTCTCACGGTTGTCATTGTTTATTTCTTTTATCATCAATACTCATGTCACATCCCTTGTTAGGAGAATAATAACCAGTATATCGAAGCCCCTTATGAGAATGAAAATTGGAAAGAACAATACAGCAACACCTGTTGCTAGTAGTATCCCCTTGATAGGATCGGGGGTTTTAAATTATATTCGCTATCTTTGACATGCAATCGCTTTTCTCTCATGTAGCCTACATGTACATGTGTAAGTGCATAAATACTTTGATATATTAATTCTCGACAAATGTATCTCTGGTGTCATATAATACAAATCCTTTCGTTTTTGTTTCATCACACTGTCTGTTTACGTTTTCGTTTATGATTCCAGCATCATGAAAAAAACAATGTTCTTTCCGCTCAAATCTTGCAATTTTATTGTCATATTAGAGCAACTCTTATACAGTCAATATACACTAGTTATCAAGTGATTTGTTGCAGCACGTATTTTCGAACTAGATTCATTTTCACTCTTCATCCGTTACTTCCACTTTCTTCGTATATCCATCTTTTTCGTTCTTAAATGTGTACAGTGTAGTATATTCTTCAATAAGGTGAATCCGACACAATAATGTACAAGCCTATGTTTTAAGGATGCACGCCGTTTCGGTATTCCTTGTTGGAGGATTGTGAATGCTCTTTGCTTTACATATATCATTATGCAATTTAATACTTGAGTATGATTTTGCTATGGAAAACAGGGAAGAAAAGCAATGTTACTTTGAACTTGAACTCAAAGACAAGAGCTTAATATGATGAATATAATTTAAGCAGCAGTGAAGATAATAGACTGCCTATTTTGGAACTATATAGGGGCGTGGCAATTGTATATAGGCAATGACTGAATAAACAATAACTGAAACTATTCAATAATCAGTTCCCAAACAGTAGCTGATAATTATACAATAATGACATGGAAATCGAAGGCAAATTATAATGATAGGCCTATTATTTAAACAGATCTATTTATTACAATGATATCAAGACTCGTGGCTGATGGCACTGTTATATTCTACCATGCATATCTTCATTACGTTTGTCATCTCTTCCTTATGTCAGTAATTAAGCTGCCATCAGTATACTTACAGTAATAACATGGTACTATGTATAGCTGAATGTCGACATTCACATCTACAGTATATACAGAAAAAGAGCTAAAATACTCACCGGTAGAATGAGACGTAAATTGGATCGCAGTATATTATTATGGCCACTTTCAGGTGAATGTGATATAAATTCCAACAGTTTGAAGCATTGCAAATGAGACAACCTGTGTCTGATGTATTTCTACCCCACCTAACTATTGTTCAGCGTGCATGACTCGTTGTTGTATAGCGAAAGGTAAATATACTATTGTTATTTAATGAATAGAGTCTTACCCATGCATCTTATCAACACAAAAGATACAAGTTTGCATTTGAATTCTTTATAACAGAATCGAACATTAAGGGTACATTATAACATGGTATTGTTAGATTGGCTGTACATTTTTGTAAACGTGGGTACAGTATTACTGACTCTACCATATTCATATAATTAAATTCAATAACTCTTTTTGAAAGGCACGTCCATTGAGAGCTCAAATAACTGTTTTGTTAACTGTACCATATCCCGTGAATAATTGTAATTGCTTGTTTTGATTAGGCTAGTAATGAGATGATGTCACGGATGATTCCAGATAGGCCTACGAGGCAGACATCAAAAGAAGGATTGGAACTGCACGGAAGACTTGTTTCCAGCAAGAAAGATGACAATTGAACTTTTAATGAGACTTTTAAATTGCTACGTCTGGTCTGTTCTATTGTATGGAGCAAAAACGTGGACTCTATACTGTCTAATGAAGACTATGGAAAAGAAAATCACATCATTTGAAAATTGGGTTTACAGGACTATGGTGATAATATCATAGAAAAATACGAAAAGTAACAGATAAACACTGCATATAGCAGGGTTTAAACAAAATGGGAATGGATAAAGAAAGAAAGGCAAAGTACTTTGGCCACGTTAAAAGACATCAGAGCCTCATGAGAGATTTTTCAGAAGGAAAAGTAAAAGGTACTATTAGACTAAAAGGAAAACCTAGGACTAGCTGGGAGGGGAAGGTGGGAATGCGAAAATGGAGCTATATTTTACCGTTTTAAACATGACAATAATCCTTACTTTGAATCTGTCCAAGCGGGCAATTTGTTAACCTTGTTCGATTTAACCTCCCCTTATGCAATGGTACAAATAAAATCAATATTTAGAATCAATGATCCTCTATTGGAGTGGAATGAGACTGCAATAGTGTACTAGGATGGTAGAAAACAGAGATGACTGTGTGGACAAATGTCGCAATCAACCTCCAAACAGGGATAAAACACCTTGATAGATAAGAAAAACTTTACTGGCTTTGACTTTTGTTGTTAAGGGAGGCATGTGCAAGGTTCCATAAATTACGGTTCCATTTACAAAAGCGAAGCGTGGGCCCGGCCGTTGAGGGACACAGATGTCATGGGATGAGATTCGAAATTTGACATCGAGTGAGGGATGATGGGGTAATAGTGCGGTATGGTTTGTAATCCCGTAGAATTTTTTGCCAAAGTTGATTTTGTTGTTGTTGCTGTTTTGGCTTCAAAAGGGTCCCAATTGGCCAAAAATGATGGGGTTCAAATTTTCAGACCCCTCCTTAATTTCCTGGGGGGGGGGGGGGGTCCATATTGGGCGCCAAAATGGCTTATATAACGCGCAATAGGGAAATTTGGTGTTTTCGGGAAAATTTGAACCCCCATCAATTTCTGATAGCTTGGACTCCAATGAATCCAAAAATGCAACAACAACAAAACAAAAAAAAAATCAACTTTGGCACAAAAAACCTACGGGAACTGTTTCAGTGACATACCGTACCACACGATAAGTGGTTAGCATCTCCTCCCGATTTCCAATTCTTTCATTCTCTTTTCCCCTAATTTGCTTACCATTCGAGTCACGTCCCATTGAAAAATGGGAAAACTGTTTTGTCTGGTTGGTCGTAGATTTTTTTCGGCATTGTGCCCTCCCCCTTTCAAAAAATAGAATTCTGGATCCGCCCCTGCTATCAAGAAAGAGACACGCCCCTTTTTGGCGTGCATGGGTGCACAGTGTCATGAATATACACCGGAAATTGCTTGATTCATGATTTGATGAAAATATTCTTGTTTCGGGGAATTCTACAACAATAGGTATTCAAAAATGAATCATTTTAATAACTAGAAATATCTCAGAGTATTACAATCCTGCTATGATTAAGATTTCAAAAGAAACTTTATCTTCTATTATATCTCACAGGACAGCTTAGTTTCAAGAGATTTTGTATTATTTCTCACATAAGAGCTTAGTTTCAAGATATTGGGTCCACCCCACCCCCACTCTGTCTCTCTCTCTCTCTCTCGCACTACACTTACAATTTTTGTTATACTTTATCTATACACCTCTCTCCCTCCCTCTATTATTTTTCCTGTTCATCCCTCTGTTTAATCCCAATTATTTTTCAAATGTGATCAGCTTTCTCTCTCTCTCTCTCTCTCTCTCTCTCTGTCTCTCTCTATGTCATCTATTTTATATCTCCTCTATATCAATGCAGCAGAAGAAATTAACATTTTATAGTAAAATCTTGATATGACTAACGGTTGGGGACACACACTTTGTTATACTGAAATCTTGTTAGGTCTAACATACAAAGGGAATCACCAACATCACCTCGTTAGAACCACAATCCTATTGCTCAGACTAGCTTTATAAAAGTAAAACACTACTGTACAGGACATCAAATAGAAGAAAAGAATCATGTTCTAGAAAGTGACAGTTGAGTTTAATTGTCTTAGTAATCATCCTTCCATTCAGATCAAAACCAAATGAAACCACTTTCTTTGTTAACATGGTCTAGTATATTCATTGTCTTCTAAGATTAATGGTCGTTACAGATTTCTCAGATTAAATAAAAACATTTGAGTAATGACAACCATAGTTGAAAGGGATAAAAGGATTTATAAATGGTCATATGATATGCATGTGTCACCAAGATTTACAGACATATATAATGGTTTAATCTGGGAGTAAGCTTGAATGTCACACTCTCAAGGACGTGATGTAGTATCAAACAAAGGTTGCTTTGTGGATAAAGACTGAGAACTGACTCTACCACTAGAGTAGACCAACTTTCAATTACTTCCTCTATACGTTGATATTTCGTTTCATTTTCTTTTAAATAAATACAAGCAATCAAAGAAAACAATTCATTCAACGATTTGTTCTTCAATCCACCCCCCCCCACCCCCATAAAAGAAACCTAAGGTAGCATTGCAATGCATATTTTGAATCTCCATCTACAGAGTAGGTATGTACACTGTATTTAACTATTAAAATACCAGATACAAGTGTTATTGAAGGCTGAGAATGTATGGCTACATATACATATATAACCCTTTATATAACATAGATCATTTACTGTTTTGTGTGGAATTTTGATATATTGAAAACCTATTTCACAATAACGAAATTCCCTCCAAACCTGTGAATCAACTGCGAATACAGCATTTATTTATTATATTTGTGAAAAGCTTATAAGACAACTTAAAACAAAATTATGTTGTATGGTGTTAAAGGATGATTTTGTATACCATGGTAATATATTGTTTCCAATTTCTGTCTTGAAAGCAGGGAGACAAAAAATCTTGTACTTCTGGGCCATTTGTTTAAATTTGGACTAAATGATAGACGGACTCTAATTGAATAAACTCAATTTGGATAACTAACATTGCCAAATAAAATAACCAATATCTTATATTTACATGGACAAAATAGAATAAAGTCATCTTTATTATTTCCATTTTAATCTTCAAGGATTTACGTTTGTATACTTCCTCATACTCAAAAATGATACAAGTTCATGATATGTTATAATTCTGTAAATCATTTGCTAAAATTGTATGACTCCAACATGATAACTTCTGCTCTGACACGTATCATCACCAAGCAGATGGGACACAGACTGGTCTCCAGCTTCAAAGGAACCGTTCAGACACGATGACAGGGGGGTGTTTCACAAAGCCTTTTTCGATGACAAATCTGCTGATAACCAATCAGAAGCAAGGATTTCAGTAGCTTATAACAAAGACTGTCATTTGTTACTGATGACAAGTTTTGTGAAACGGGGCATAGGACATGTCGAATGGGGAGTGAAGGAAGCTATTTTCATCAGGGCCTTCAAACCCAATTAGTGCCCTTTAGGTCAGAAAGGTCAAGTCGGGTCACATCGCTGACGAAGGCTGTAGTTCAACAGCTGAAAATGTTTGTATTGAGATTGACAGCTTGACTCTCAAACATGATGACATAATCTTGGCATTTTCAAAATCGTCCAGTGTATTTTCTCAAGAGTCCATCTGTCCATCTGTCTGTCTCATCCAAGTGTCTCTATATATGTTGGCTTTAAGTTTGATATTCTGTCTTCAAGACTTTGTATTTGACCTTCACCTCCTGCCTTGCTGTTTGACCTTCATACGTTTCCTGACCCCTGTGAACTCTTCACTGTCTTCCTTTGAATCGCGACCTCTGCTGCGACCTCCTTTCTTCTTCTCATCAGAGTCTCTCATCTCCTATGAAAGGAAAGAAACCCAGAAGATGAATCACTAAAGATAAACTTAGTTCTGGTAAAAAAAGAAAATTAATTCTCACAGAATCAAACGAAACTTACACTGAATGTTCAAAATTACAAATAAATGTCATTTGCCAAACAATTTTGGTAGAAATTGTATACTGGCTGAGTAATGAGCATAGAAAATAAAGGAAATCAAGGGAAGTAGGCCCGACACCATTTGTGTAGTCCCATATATATCTTTATGTGTACAGTGCTTGTTACTTTACCAAGACTGGCCCAAATTTATTATGATTTTGATCTTCTTCTTATCGAGTCACTACACAAGTCCCGTCCAGTGGTCCACACAGGCTTTAGCACGGCAATTAACGGCTTCCAGGTCATCTTGGGTGCATGGCTCTGGCAGGAGTGGGCAGACTAGCAGGTGTTCCATTGTCTGTTCCTGGCCGCATTCACATGCCGTTTGTTCGTCTCCTAGACCCCACCTCTGCATTAGGACTCTGCATCGACCGTAGCCAGTTCTTAGGCGGTTGAGGCTAAGCCAGGTAGGCCAAGTCTCACTGGAGCCGGTTGCGAGGGATTCCTTCGGGCTGAGGGAGAGTTTATGTGGAGTGGTCTGAAGGTGGTTAGACCACAAAGTCATCCTTTGGTTGTGAGGACTTTGATGATTTTGATGACTCCAGAACCTTACAGTACTTACCAATACTTACATATTACATGATCAACTTTTTCTGATCCATTCCACACCTTTTCTTTCACAATGCAATCGCAAGACCAGAACTCAACTTTTTTTTTAATCATCATGAAGCACAGAATCATCACGAAAATGGATGAAATTGTTTTAGGAAACAACATCAAATCTGCTACAAAAGCATAATCACAAACTTACAACTAAAACGTTCAAAGGCAAAATCCCTGCATATTGCATTCACTGATAGGAGTTGAAAATTTTCACAAATGTATTTAGCACCTATAAAAGACTGAGGAAATAGATCAACTCAGAAATAACTTATTTTAGCATTTATTGTTTTTGGTTTCAGGATATTACATGTTCTCTCGAGGATGGAAGACCACCTACCATCTTAGCATATCTCTGAGCACATAGATCAACTCAGAAATAATTTTAGCATATATTGTTTTTTGGTTTCAGGATATTACATGTTCCCTTCGGATTGGAAGACCACCTACCATCTTAGCGTATCTCTGCGCCTCCGTGACCCTCTCCATCAACATCATCACCTCCTCCTCTTCCGTCTTGAAGAGAGGGAGCTTCTTATCAATCAGTTGCTCTATCCTCTGGTACAGCTCAACATCGTATCTATGACAACAAAGAACAAGTTCAGACTCGGAACCTAGCTATAGGGGACTGTACTCTTTGATAAAAGCTTGACAGAATACATAGTAAATGAAATAGAAGTAAATATCACCCAATCAACTTGTAAGTAGCTGTGCAAAGATTTAAAACAAAAAAAACTTTATTTTCATTATTGCAAAGGTGAAACTTTGATTAGACAATTTTATTGACATTCAATGCTTGGAAACATTCAAAGATTATCAAATACAAAACGCTTAAATACAGCCCCAGCAAAGCACCTGAAGAGCTCTCTCCGAATGCTGCTGAGATGTGTGACATTAATTTGTATTACTTTTTGTTAAACCTTAGGTGAACTGTAAAGAAAATATTGCAGCAATGACTATATCCGATCTGCACTCCTTTTCACAGGTTTAACTATGATTACAGTTTTTATTAACCTTAACATATTAGTTTTCAAAAAAGTGAAAACAATCTTTTAGATAACATTCAACATGGCAGTAAGGAGGCTAGCCGGGGTCCTTCCATCGCAAAAATGTAAAACTTAGTAGTTCAGCCATAGGTTTAATCACATCCTCAATAGTCAATACAACCCTCATTCATAATATAACCCAAGTACATTGAAGAAAAGTAAGTAAAAGGATTCATTTCTAAATCATCATTGTACCTATGATAGCTATATCATATCATTTTATACTCACTGAGTGACGAAAGTGATTGCCTTGCCTGCTCTCCCGGCTCTAGCTGTCCTTCCTACTCTGTGGATATAGTCCTGATTAAGACACAACACATATATGGAGTATGTTCATTTTTAAGTCATTTTACGAGGGGTGATTGGTAAATGTACATTCTTAGGTTTTTGGAACATTGTACACCAGAAACAAGAGAACATAGGACTTAAAATTCTTCACTAGGAAATATTTGTTTGAAGATGAGTGCCCATTATTACCAAACTAGCTTGAATTTTGTTGCTAGGGCCTTACAATTCTAATATCACAGACTTATACACTGACGTAAAGAACCTCAATAAATAGATAATGAACTTCAAATTGTAACAATATAAAAATAAAAAACTTTCTTAAATTTCTTTTTTTGTTGTTGTGAATATAGAAACATCTAATTTATTTCATAATTTGCTGTTCTTGGAGCAACAGCTTTATAAGTGCATCATACATGCAGTCAGATAAATTTTTCACCTTCTAGACATTCAGATAATATGACTGACTGTTCTGCATTCATGATAAGAATCCATTTTCATATATTTATGTAAACCTTTGGAATAAGAAGAAGTAACTAACACACAGAAGACTTGCTAAATGTATGTCAATTCCTACACAGCTTGACAAAAAGAAATCTCAATTCTAAAAGTGGACAAGTCCGTGAAATCAATAGTTATGTATGCTTCAAAACTGACCTTTGAATGAGTTGGAATGTCAAAGTTGATGACACAGTCTACATGGGGTATGTCAAGTCCTCTGAAAAGAAAAGACAAATAATCCAGCCGTTGCTCAAAAGAATTACAGATTAAGTTAAGTTAAGGTAGCAGCTGTATGACTTTTCAGTATTAGTTGCTTAATTCAAAGGTGGTATGATTTTAAATAAACTGCTAAGTAAGCCCACATATTCTGCAAAACAAGGCGAGTAGAATTCAAATTATAATTTCCTACATATTAGAGATCTAATCAACTCGGTGTAGTCCTATCTTTACATTGACAGTGAGTCCATAAATCTTCTTTACATACAATACTACATTAAACGAAAGCAAGGGATATTGTTGATTTTTTTTCTTCCAGATGAGTTTGTTGGGGTTCTTCTCTCCAACAGAGTATCATCGCTATATAAGAATGGTTTATTATTATTATCATCTCATATTACCTGCTTGCTACATCAGTAGCTATCAGAATAGATCTGCTCTTTGACTTGAACTTGTTTAGTGTGCCAAGCCTCTTAGACTGCAATGAAAAACAGAGAGATAAAATAACAAATTTGCAGCATACAATCTCCGGATATAAAACTCAAGATTAATAATGAAGCTGAGTGCAAACAATGATTTCAAATCGGTAAAACCCACATGCGATGTCAATTTTTGCTTGTTTTGAAAATCGTATTTTATTGAGGAAAGTCGTACGAAATATGCTAAAATTGTATTGGTTGGCAGCTCTGTTTATGGTATCAAAAGTTCCCACTTTAAGTTGTTTAAGGAAAGCACTTGCTAAGACTAATTCATTGGTATTATTGTTGTGGATATTTATTTTTTGATTGATAGGGCATGCTTAGTCTCGTCACTTGCTATCCGGACAGCGTACACTGGGTAGTTAAATTTTAAACAATCACAATTAAACATGTTTCTTAACATGATATAAAGGTTCCAAAGTAAGAAGCTTAGTTCGAGGAAAAAGTTAAAACATTAAAGACTGGCTTTTTAAGAACTTAATACAGTGAAACCTGTCTATAAAGACCACCAAGTGAGACAAGAAAAGTGGTCTTTATAGGCAGGCGGTCTTTATTTACAAGTGCCTATAGTACATTTTTCAAAGAGAAACTATTTTGTAGGAAACAAACAAATGTGGTCTTTGTAGACAGGTGGTCACTAAAGCAGGTTTTATTGTACTCCTCATGAACATACCTGACTCAGCTGTCCATGTAGAGGTATAGCTGTGAGACCTAGATTCCTGAGAAGCAATGCTACTCTCTGTGTGTTGTTACATGTACTGCAGAAGACCATGAAGGAATTCCCAGCAAATTCATTCAAGATGGACACAAGGTAGCAATCCTGCACGGGAGAAAAAATAAGCAACATGAATGGTGAGTTTATTTTTCAGGGTTACACCATGTAATTCTTTCAAAGGAATTAAGAGCCCTAGAGAAGATTGGTGATCCCCACTACGAGCTTGTGAAACTCGACCTTTGGATCAGTATGCTCTCATTGTCTTCAGGAGAAAGGTTATATGGTGTAATCCTGAAAACTTTACCTACAATTCGGTATCTCCCCCATGAAAAGTATTGCTGTTACTTCACACAAAATAATCAACATCTGGATTACTAGGCGTGAGATAACTTGCGGTGGAGACAGTGAAAAATCAGCATTATACCTAAGTCAAATTTGGATTCAAGTGGTTAAGAAACTGACATTATGAATCACTCTCACTATTCTTCTTGTTTTGAGTAATGGAATCATGAAATCATTCCATATGGTGGCCTAAATGTCAGAACAATTCACCATTAGTGAACAGTCACATGACCTTCCAAAAGTCACATGACCTTACAACAATCACATGATCTGCTTCAAAACAAGAAACTATCAGCAGACTAGCTGTTAAGAAGGCTGTGCTTCTGTCACAGTAAGTTGTCAGGGATATGACATAGACAAAATTCATTCATAAGGAACATGATTCTTTTTTTTACTGTCATTCTTTCCCCAACATATATCAACAAGTCAAATCAAGCAAACTGTTTGACTGTAAAACCCAAATCAAGCTGAGACCCCCTTTTGATTTTGGAACTGATATTGAAGAACAAGAAAGAAAACAAAGTAACTAACCCATTGACTATTGATTTCCTTAAATTCCCTAGGATTAACAAAGGAGCCACCCAGTTCCAGTACGCAATGGGTTTAAGTGAAGGTTGGTCATTTACCTTGTACTTGGCTGGGATGAATATGTAGCTCTGCTGGAGTTTGCTGACTGTCTGGTATTTGGTTGAAACTTCGACCTTGACTGGGTCTTGGAGGGACGCCCTCTGGAGCTTCGCGACCTATAATGTCAAATGAAATGCATGTTCATTGAAACATCAGTGTATACTGGACAAAGAGTGTAAGGGGTCATGAAGAAACAATGACAGGGCATGGATAACTAGACTTCGTAAACAGGTCTTTAAAAAAAATCACATGGTTATTGTTTTGGCAGCTTAGCAAAATGTAGTGGTTTGCAGAGAATAGGCCTGAGTCATCACGGGTTTTGCCGAACCCGGGTTTGACTTGAAAATTTCGGGCGGGGACCGGGTACCCGAAATTTTCACCACTGCACTGACACTAAAAATCGTGTGCATGCAGCGGCGGGAGTTAGACTAAGTTGCTGTTCTAATAATGCGACGAAAAGGACAGTTACTGCTTTCAAAACAATAAAATAATCAATTGAATTAAATTAAGATGCTTTAAAAAATAAATAGATATCGTTTCAGTTGACGGTAGGTGTTTTTATCGCTCTAAAATTGAGGCTGCTAGAAAGGAATCACGCTTCGTGGTACCGATCGAGTGCGTTCAGAAACGGAAGTGGAAATAGATCTATGACCCACTGAAGACAGAGCAAGAAAGTGCACACAGAAGACTAAAATGTTGATCAGACTATTGCAATTAAATCGTAATACTCAAGGCATTAATTTAATTGTCAAATTATATCCACAATATAATAATTTACCCTTGATAGTTTGAGGAAGGAAAATAAATTAAAGCTCTTGAAATAACATCGAAGTGCCTTTCGTTCGTTCTAAAAATGCGTGTATAACGGCAAGCAGAAGTTACGAGTCAAGCTTGATAATGATATGCATGTTTACATCCCTGCACCGTCATCCGACCTGATCGGAACAATAAGCATTAAACCGATTAAAAAACATCACTTAAGACTTTGAGGGACTCCAATTCAACAAAATTACCGTAAAATAGTTATTTGCTTTGACAAATAATACTATAGATATTCATATTATCTTACAGAAATAATGATATTTCATGAGCTACGTACTCGATATCGAGTTCAGCTAGCCATCATTTTGAAATGAGACGTAGTTGTCATGCAGTAGACTGTAGAGGGCAGTATGCAGCAGAGAGAGGAAAAAAGCGCGGGCCTGAGATCACGTGATATTCACGGGACTATTACGTGATTTTTTTCCCTCTCTGCGAGCTGCCGTATTCTGTCTACAGCTAGCCTGCTGCGCTGCAAGCATGACAACTACGTCTCATTACAAAATGATGGCTAGCTGAACTCGATATCGAGTACGTAGCTCATGAAATATCATTATTTCTGTAAGATATTATGAATATCTATAGTATTATTTGTCAAAGCAAATAACTATTTTACGGTAATTTTGTTGAATTGGAGTCCCTCAAAGTCTTAAGTGATGTTTTTTAATTTGTTCAATGCTTATTGTTCCGATCAGGTCGGATGACGGTGCAGGGATGTAAACATGCATATCAAGCTTGACTCGTAACTTCTGATTGCCGTTATACACGTATTTTTAAAACGAACGAAAGGCACTTCGATGTTATTTCAAGAGCTTTAATTTATTTTCCTTCATCAAACTATCAAGGGTAAACCATTATATTGTGGATATAATTTGACAATTAAATTAATGCCTTTAGTATTACGATTTAATTGCAATAGTCTGATCAACATTTTAGTCTTCTGTGTCGCACTTTCTCGCTCTGTCTTCAGTGGCATGGGTCATAGATCTATTTCCATTTTCGTTTCTGAACACACTCGATCGGTACCACGAAGCGTGATTCCTTTCTTGCAGCCTCAATTTTAGAGCGATAAAAACATCTACCGTCAACTAAAACAATATCCATTTATTTCTAAAGCATATTTATTTGATTATATTGAAATATAAGTTTGTGAATTGCATATTTTTAGTTCTATATTTCAAAATATCAGTGTGAAATTTAATTTTGAAAAACCCGAAACCCGAAAACCAAAAACCGGGTTTCAGCTCGACGGTCGGGGCCCGGGCGGGGACCCGTTTCGACTCAGGCCTACCCTAGCAGAGAAGCATCCAGATCTCAAAATGGATAGTTGTTGAATATTGTTAATTTCATCACATAACGGTAGAACCACATCATTACAATATGGGGCTAGTACAATAAAGGTATCCCCTTGTGTGAGCTCAGTATTACCTGATCTTTCATTCTGATAGTCAAACAAAAATTTGCATTCACTGGCATCTCTAACTATATCTTTTGCTTTCAAAATGAGTCCTTTCATGTCTCTATATTTTGCTAAGCTACCTTAGACGAGGTGTTTACACTACCTTCTTCGTCATAGTAGCCGAGTAGAGATAGGAGGGTGTTTACACTACCTTCTTTGTCATAGTAGCCGAGTAAAGATAGGTTCTTCTCTGCTTTGGAATGACCTTGAGGATCTTGTCAATCTCGGCCTCAAAATCCATGTTAAGAATCCGATCAGCTTCATCCATCACCTGTAATGAACAAATGTCAATCATTCATCCATCTGTGCATCTCTCCATCTATTATCTTTAATTCATCCATTCATATCATTTCATTCCTACCTTCCACACATTAGTAAATCAATCACGTAGTGTGGAGTGGGGTCATATTGTACTGGTTGGACACAACTGAAGGGGTTTACACACCACAACATACAGGTGTTAATGATCATTTAGAAGTGTAGTATTATCACAATTTCAGTATCCTAAGTTGGTAATGATAAAAAAGAGTTGGGAGTATTATTGTTTGGTCAGTATCTTACTTACCTTGTTTATGGTCAAATAGATTAGGAATATTTTTGTCCTGTCAGAATTAAAAATTATTTAATAATATGCAAATAGCTGGCAACTATTTGCCTGGATATCAAATAACTATATATTTCAATATAATAATATCTGTAATTATTGAATCAAGGTTGAGCATAATCATACCAAGTATTTGAGTCCTCTGAGATTGAAGCCTTTCGTGTTCTCCAGATGATCCACTAACCGACCAGGAGTGGCTGTATGGTAGGAGAAAAACATCAAACATGAAATGAAATGATATAGATACTAGTTGCTGCATGAAGAGATGTGGTGGTTGAATACCAAACAAATGAGTTAAAATGCTACTATACTGTAGGGATTGTAGCGATCATACAGATTAAAATGCTCCTAGAGGCTACTGCATGGATCGAAGGTGAAAAAACATTAACAAATCAAAATGAGCAATAAAAAACATCTTGAACTATTTATTCATGAACTCTTTATCTGTCAATGATAGTACACACCCTGAACTGCTACATTGTTTGGAGTATGTTATAAATTTGTTATAAATTTGTACCGTTTGTATGTGAACAAGATATGAACAAAAATGACTGTGGTATTTCCCTGTGTGTTTCATTGGGCAACCATAACTGGTGAAGGGTTAATAAGTATTTCATTAATGACCTTTAATGTTGTCAAAAATCTTAATATTGAAGACTATGTCATCTGCAAAAGTTCTCTCAATAAAATGTATCATTTCAACAATTCGTCTTCCCTGTGTAACAAGGAAAGTTTATAAAGGAGCAAGTTTTGTATGTTACTTACCAATCATAACATGAGGTTTCTTGGCCAGCTGCAGGGCTTGGGTCATCATGTCAATACCTCCTACAATCACAACTAAAATAACAAAAACAGAAACAGAATGGATTTCAGATTATTCTAGCTGTGCATTAGATACTGATATGTTCAGAGTTCTAATTGAAATTGCTGATTAGGTTCTAAAATCATATTAGTATAGTACTTTCTGCAACTCCGAGACAAGAAGACTTCTAGTCTACACAATGTGAGCAGAATAATGTGTAACATTACTGCACAGGCAATTCACTACAATTTTATTTTGGATGTAGCATTATGCCTCATTCGGATATGACGCACAAAAACGGTTATGGTTGTTTTACGATGATGCAAAGTGTAATATGTTTCACGTTTCCTATCTTACGACACTGAGCTCAGTAAATATGTGCTGGACTTTTGTTATTCAATTACACAGAAACACATTCTTGAGTTTTAATTTTTTTGACAGCGGTTAATCTGAACGAACCTTTATTGATTACACTTCTACTACAACCACTTATGCTACAGTGTACATACCACAAGATACTCCAATGGTAGAACCCAAGGCTTCAAACTGTTCTGCAATCTGATAGGCCAGTTCTCTGGTTGGAGTAAGGACGAGAGCAAACAACCTCTGAGGAGTCTCCAATAGGGCTTGCAGGATGGGCAAAGCAAAGGCTCCGGTCTTCCCCGACCCTGTCTCTGCTAGCCCAATCACATCTTTACCTGGTTCATCAAATCAAATCATATTTATTACAATCAGAAATCATAGGCAAAGAAAAGGTACCAGTCTTTACCAAGTCTCTCTCTCTCTCTCTCTCTCTCTCTGTTAGATAGACCAATTACATCTATTCTTTACCTGGTTCATCAAATCAAATCAAGTCAAATTAAATCATATTGATTATAATCAGAAATTATAGTGGTGGTAACAAAGGTACCCGTCTTCCCTGACCCTGTCTCTGACAGACCAATCACATCTTTACCTAAGGCCAAAAAAAAAAAATCATTTGGCCGCTCGTATTTTTTATTTATTTTTTAATTTTTTTTATTCAATTTTTATATTTTTTTATTCCTTTTTTTTTTAATAATTTTTTTTTTGGAGGGGAGCAATCTTAAATGCCAAACATACCATTTCATGCATTTGCAAGGATCACAATGCGTCCCGTTGCCAGTTTGGTCTTTTCAGTTTGCAATTAGGTATTTATTTAAACTTGCCATTTTGATTTTTCTATGTCAAAATGCCGTTCATTCAAATCAGGTTCTGAGCATTCTTAAACTCATTTTAAAGCCCATCTGTACTAGTTTACAGGAGGGATTAGACCACCCTGCAAGGTCAGTGGACAGGTGGTTATCTCATCAAATCAGCTCTCAGCTAACATAAGATAAAGAGGATCATGGGGACCGTCACCGATTAGGCATTGTTTGCTACATAGAGGGCGCAAGTAGCTATAAGTAGTACAATGGAGATTTAAAAGGTGATGTATTTCAAAGCCAACAATACTTTCTGTGTTGGTCTTGATATTCATTTTTTTGTTTTTTTGTTTGGCCTAATTCATCAAATTGTATTAAGTCAAGTCAATTTAAATCATACATTGTAAAATAACCTTGAAGATATTCTATAAGTGAGATGATGATAAGGTTGAACTGACCTTGTAATGCCACAGGAAGTGCCTCTGTCTGAATCTTGGATGGTGTCTTCCATTTTAGCTTGTCACAAGCCTCACACAACACATCAACAACACCCTGTAAAGACATGGTACAAAAAGAAAAGGTTTATACCAAGTCTCATTCCAGCAAAGCATAGTAGTCAATGCTAATGCGTTTTGACCTCTAGCTTTGCATACAGTACATGTGTGAATCAAACGGTCCACTATTTGAACTTTTAAAACGGAAAAGTTCAACTTCAACGTTGGTTATATGTTGAATCATGTATCATATTGGTACATGATTTTGATACTAAAATGGAAAGAAATTTTGTAAACTTAATTTTAAAGCCCTTTTTTCTCCTCCTTTTCCAGAGACGACTGCTTAGTTCCCTCCCCCTGATATTGCTAACGTCAAACTGCACAAGTTGCGGACACTCTTACCAGTTGCGCAATAACTGACAGGTGGCTGTCCTATCTCGCATGTGCAGATGACCTGTGTTAACATCTGACCGCATTCAACAGCAACAATAAACAACAAACGAAGCAATCGTTTTGAAAAAAACATCATAAAATTAGGAAATGACGAAACATAGCTACGGTAAATACGGTTGGCCAAATTGCCAAAAGTATGCTAAAAATATCTGCAAAACAAAGGAAATTTTCATCAACAAAACTAGTTAGTTTAATTTTTTTGTTACTTGTCATCAACATTGATTCATTAACAGTAGGGGCGCTGGTCCGAGAATAAGGATCGTCTGCATAAACGAGGATCATCTTCATAAACGCGGACCGATGTGTCCTAAAAAGTAAGGATCGTCTGCATTTTCGCAAACGTTTCATATTTTAGAAAGGCGCCGTTTGGCGATGTCAAAAATGGATTCTGCCATGATGTTCTTGATGCATTTTACATAGATTTTGTACAGAGACTTTCACATTAATATAAGCGATAAACCCACAACCCATATTTATGTAGACGGTGAACTCACAGATTATTTTCTTACATGGAATCCATTTTTTGCATTGCTAGCGAGCAGTTTGGTAACCCAAAACCAGCAGAAAAACATGTGCGCGAAAATACAGACGATAATTATTTTTGAGGACGCATTTTATCCGCGTTTATGAGGACGATCCGCATTCTCTGGCCAGCGCCCCTACCGATTTGTTTGTTGAACCGTTTGAGAGTAAACCTACAGCCAGTGCATACAGCAGATTTTACAAGACACTGTGTGTATGTTCTGCAGTACAGTGTTGCCCGTATTATTAAAATACACGGCAAACCCGGACTTTAGTGCCCCAGCTGAAAATCTCAGTTTATTATGGATTTAATATCAATAATATTAATTATGCTAATATATGCAAATATAAACATACCAAAACTTGATGATTTTTAATCATTTGACGTCATAAAAAGCAATTTTAAGCCAAAAATAGCAGCGAAGTAGGGGATCTCCTCTTTGCTTGATGCGAGATACTAGCGAACTGAAATAACCGAATAAAAACTATGGTGAACTAAAAAAAGAAAAGAAAAAATCAAACCACCTCTGAAATTACCTTTGAAATGTTTATTAATTTTTTCTTCCGATATGCGCACATGATAGGGGCAGGTTGGGATGGGATGGGGGGGGGGGGGTGCTCAATAGTCGCCAAATTTGGGGTAAAAGGGCAACTGGCCTTGGGGGGGGGGGCAGAATAAAGAAAAAAGCCACCCCGGAAAAAAATTAGAAAAATGATTACAAAGAAAAATAAGTAAATAATAAATTTAGCCCCCCCCCCAAGGCCAGTTGCCCTTTTACCCCAAATTTGGCGACTATTGAGCACCCCCCCCCCCCATCCCATCCCAACCTGCCCCTATCATGTGCGCATATCGGAAGAAAAAATTAATAAACATTTCAAAGGTAATTTCAGAGGTGGTTTGATTTTTTCTTTTCTTTTTTTAGTTCACCATAGTTTTTATTCGGTTATTTCAGTTCGCTAGTATCTCGCATCAAGCAAAGAGGAGATCCCCTACTTCGCTGCTATTTTTGGCTTAAAATTGCTTTTTATGACGTCAAATGATTAAAAATCATCAAGTTTTGGTATGTTTATATTTGCATATATTAGCATAATTAATATTATTGATATTAAATCCATAATAAACTGAGATTTTCAGCTGGGGCACTAAAGTCCGGGTTTGCCAAATACACAGCCAGCTCCAGGATAGCGAATGCTGTTATGTCACTGTGTATAACCGTGGCACACACGTGTACACGAAACACGAAACTCATGAGAGACACAATACAGGTTTCTTCAACGAGTGGGACTGTATGTAATAATACACTCGCACCATGGAACAAACAGAAAGCTCACAAAGCACACTTGCATTCTTGTCACTAAATAATATGAGTAACATGTCATTGTTTTTATCAATTACAAATGAAATGCTTTCTACTTACAAGTGACTTGAATGTAACATTTTCCTTCAACGTTTCTATTTTTTCTTCGTCAGACGATTTACTCGTGGGAGCCGACATTTTCGGTAGAGGTTATTGTGAGGTTATTGTAATGTCTCAAAAAACGTCCAATCAAAAAGGAAAAAAGAAAATTTGCAAATCACACTTGCTTGACTGCAGTAACTGCAACATACCGAAACATTTTGTCTGGCCAGTCAATACTCTTTGATATTGATATCAGGGCTAAAACTGAAATAACCGGCTATCTGATTCACATTACTCAACTCCTACTCCCACGTACTGAACTTAATTTGGATGAAATAATTACTTCTTTTTATACCATTCTCAAGAGGGATTATATAACCGTAATTACAGGATGTCTTCCATGTTAAATACAAATCATTCAGTCGCTAATCACTATATTGCAGGTACCGTTATGTCAATTTTAATAGCGTCGACAGCTAGCACATAAGTTATAAGAGTAAAACAATATTGAATGACGAAGAAAAAAAAGAAAAAAGGAGAAGCGTAGAGAAATGGAAAGGGAGAAGGGCAAGGGTGTCGATTTGTATCCGTGGTTGGGGGGGGGGGGGGATGATAGGTGCCAAAATATTTTCGGCAAATGATCAAAGCAACCAAGGGGTAGAAACGTGTGACAGGTTGCACCACCTCTCCTAGTGCGTGGCCAGGATTTAATTATGGGGGGGGGGGGGGGCGGTAGTGAGCACGCAAAGCGTGCGAATCACTTACAGTGCTCGCCAAGCGCGCTCCCTAGAGGGTTGTGTGCAGGAGTGAGGAGTTTCCCCCCTCCCCCACGAAGCGCGGAAGCTTTGAGGTTTCATTAAATTATTAGAGAAAGACGACGATTCGTTGGACCGTGGCGACTCTTAAGTTTTGTTTGAATCAAGTTCCCCTTCCTCCGCGCGTAGCGCGGAAGCTATGACGTTTCATTAGATTATTAAAGAAAGAAAACGATTCGATGTACCATTCTCGACTCTTAATCCCTGTTTGAATCAAGTTCCCCTTTCTCCACGCGTAGCGCGGAAGCTATGACGTTTCATTAGATTATTAAAGAAAGAAGACGATTCGATGAACCATTCTCGACTCTTAATCCTTGTTTGAATTAAGTTCCCTTTCCTCCGCGCGTAGCGCGGAAGCTTTCACATTTCATTAAATTATTAGAGAAGGTATATGATTCGTTATATCGATTCCTTGTCTGAATTCAGTTTCCCCCCTCCTGCGCGAAGCGCGGAAGCTTTGACGTTTCATTTGATTATTACTCTTAATCCACGTCTGAAATCAATTTCGCCCATCCCGCGCGTAGCGCGGAAGCTTTCACGTTTCATTAAATTATTAGAAAAAGAAGACGATTCGTTGTATCGTGTACTTTGACGTTTCATTTAAATAACTGTTAATCCTAGTCTGAATTTAGTTGCCCCCCTCCCGCGCAAAGCGTGGAAGCCTTTCCATTTCACTTAAAGGTAAAGACCAGTTATGGTCATGCAATTGCATTGTGAAAGAAACGTTGTGGAATCGATCAGAAAAGGTTGATCATCTAGCATCTAGCATCTGCAAGGTTCTGGAATCATCAAAATGATAAGAAATTTGGCCCATTCTTCGTAAAGTTACAAGCACTATACACAGAAAGATGTATATGGGACTACCCTATATCTCTCACAGACCATGAGAGAAACAAATTTACCAAATATATGAATTAGTTTCCCGGCAAATTTTGTATCATCATGTATTAGTCAAAACATATTCTTTCACATGATTGGTAATGAGAGCTTCCATTTCATTTTTTGAAATTGGGGCGTTTCCAATACTGGTCTTTACCTTTAATTATTAGAAAAAGAAGACGATTCGTTGTACTGTTCTTTATATTAATCCTTGTCTGAATTCAGTTGTGACATATTAATCTTTCACCACAAAAGAAAAAAATGTTTTAGGGAATATCAGGAAATGAAATGAGTGAGAAAAAAAATGAAAAGAAAGATACAATGACGTGAATTTTAAAAAGGGTGAACGGAAACAACACAACAACTAGTGAACTATCTTTCTCCTTGTCTCCGATCTCATCACGAATCCGACACAGAGTTCATCTATGTTAACACTGTCCAGGATTGTCTGATGTGCATTGTAGATTGCTACTTTTGCGCTTCACGCTTAACATTTAGCTCGTTGCTTTTTGACGCTACGTCTTTGCATTTGGCGCACTGCATTTATATGATGCTGTTAGTTGGACAAATAATTGAATAAATTCATCAATTCCTGAGCCGTATGAGCGAGAATTCAATTTATTCTTGTCTCATATACGGTTGTCTCATTTACTTCGTATAATGTATGCATTATGAAAATGAGATAGCAAAATGTGTATATTGATGGTCATTTTGCGAGTAATAACCATTAACTACTCTCATCGGGCTCTCATCATTACTTTTTCTCTTCATTTTTTAGATTTTTTTTATGGTGAATTATTGGGGGGATGATTTTACAGGCCATCCCCCTAATCCCCCCCCCCCCCGGGATCGACACCCATGGAGAAGGGGGAAAGCAGTGACTGTTTAAGGGTGTAATGAATACAAACACTACTAAAGATAAGTATCCAAAACTGAATATACCACCCCCCCCCCCCCCCCCCAAAAAAAAAAAAAAAAAACAAACAAAACAAAACAAAACAAAAACAAAACAAAAACAAAACAAAAAAAAACAACAAAAAAAAAAAGGAAAAAACAAATCAAGGTCAAGTTTGATTAAGGTTTGCGTCATCTTGCGCTGATCTAGGAATTCACAGTGTCATTTTGACCGTTTCTGTTTAGGTAGTTTAACAAAATAGCTAACCTTTGGATAAAGAAAAAAAATAACACAAGGCTAAAATATTCAGTTCTACCTCGTTATCAACTGCATGATATGGAACAGTTACCACAGACTCAAATAAAAATAACTTATTAGTTTATATACACAGTCACTGTGTTTATAAACTAATAAGTTAATATTATTTGAGTATATAATAATATTATAACATCCAATTTGCTTCTTCCTCTAGTATAATGCAACATCTCATTTTTTTTTAATGTTTATAGTTTACACTGACAATTTGGTCAGGCCTATATAGGTTTCTTGTTCAAAATTGCACACACACACATACACGCACTCTCTCTCACACACACACACACACACACACTCTCTCTCTCTCTCTCTCTCTCTCTCTCTCTCTCTCTCTCACTCACCCACTCAATCCTTCCATCAGTTGAGTTTATTAACCCTCAGCATAGAGTTACCAACTCCATGCCCTTCTCTCTCTCTCTCTCACTCACCCACTCAATCCTTCCATCCGTTGAGTTTATTAACCCTCAACCGTGGAGTTACCAACTCGATGCCCTCGACCAGCTCAATCTTTACAAAGTGGAAGATAGACAAGACTGGTTAGTGACCGACTGACCGTGCATGCGTAATCATAATACCAAACATAAACAACTCGATACTTAGAAGGACTATTGTAATAAGGAAAAGATTATCCATTAGTCGCAGGTGGAACTATCAAAGTTGGATTTACTTCGAAACAGTGCAATGATAAAACCGACCAATGATTGCGGAAATCCGACGATCTTTTTTTAGGTTCGGAAACAATGTACATGTACCCAATCTGTTTATAAAATCTGACCATAGAGATCTGACATGGCTTCCTGTTAACAATATTTTAGCTATAGATAGGTAAACAAAAATATACAGATAGTTTAATTATGGCGTGATTAAGTGAACATAAATCAAAACGTTTTGGGGTTCAATTTCATTAGTCTTGATTCGTTACATTATATCTAAAACATGGTGAACTCTTATTTTTCTGAAGTTAGATCACAGTGTACTTTTTATATTTTTTCTTCTTCACCCGTAGTGATATCCGTAATATTCGATGCGCACCACCCTTCTCCCCTCCCTCTCTCTCTCTCTCTCTCTCTCTCTCTCTCTCTCTCTCTCTCTCTCTCTCTCTCTCCCTTCCCCCTCTCTCTCGCTCTCTCTCTCTCTCCCCCCTCTCTCTCTCTTTCCCCTTAGTCTCTTTTACCATCTGTCTCTTCTTCTATCTCTCTCTTTTTCTCCCTCAAAGTCTGTTCAAAATTAAAACGCAAGACAAACAATAATTCCTGCATGTTTTGTACTATTATTCCATAACTTTAACAATAGACTTTCGAATCCCATCTTCACAACTTGCTGCTGGTCTCTTTTGAAAACTCAAGCACACTTGCGTTATTTTATTGCCTGAACTTATCTTTAAAGAGGTAGCAGGCGACTAAATCAGGCGATTGGATAACCCGGCTCGATTGATGAAGGAAAGAAAGTATAATCTGTTTAACTGCAAACATCAATCAAGAAAAATAATGTAACCATTACAATTGATTGTGGTTCACTTTGACAAGGTATTTCAAATTATTACATTCCTTTAGTGCCGGTAGGTTTATAAGACTCTTGAAAGCGGACTTGGGTGGTTTAGAAACTAAACAATCGTAAAAAATGTTAATAAATCCTGACAAAATGAATGGTTCATAACATTAGTCAATTTTGTCATCAAATAAAAGAAATTTCCATGAAGCTTTTTAGTCTAAAAAATATTGTCACAAGCCAAAAAAAAATTTGGTCTTAAAACTTATCTGCCGTAGTTTACAGGAGGGATTAAACCGCTCTACAAGGTCACTGGACAGGTGGTTATCTCATCAACTCAGCTCTCAGTTAACATAAGAAAAAGAGGATCATGGGGGACCAATGGTCACCGATTAGGCATTGTTTGTTATATAGAGGGTGCAAGTAGCTACCAGTAGTGCAGTGGGCCTTTAATGTTTGATATTCATCTCAGGGCTGAAACCGGTATATGACTGCCTGATTCACACTACTCCCACTGACCTTGGAAAATAACTATTTTTTATGCCATTCTCAATCGGAATTTGGAGTGATGATAGTACTCACATGATGCTTTTCATGTTACAAATGCAATTCAATTCCATGAAGTGATTTAAAGAGAAAGATATTTCATGTAATTTCATTTTCAAGATCCGGAACAAACCATTTTGGATTGTTAAACTTTGGACTATATAATTATCGTCAATAGGAACAATCATCTATTCACACGTCAAAAATATAATCATATCGTAATTTCTACCTATTCTCATAAGTCGTGCAATTTTCACCTTTCTTAGAAATAATATGTTAAAGATAGTCCTGGCAGGGGTGAAAAAACTAAATATTGCGTGCTGTCATATTCTTTGTATGCCTATTATAATTATGTGATAGCAGGCTGGTGGTCTATGTGTGAAATGGGTCGTTCTATGTGCTCATAATTAACTCAAGTAGGACTAGAAATCAAAAATTTTCCACATTACTTGTACTCAACAATTTCTTTAAAGCAGTGTATATATGAATAGAAGGTCACTTCAGAATGTTTAATGGGGTTTAATGTGATGCAATTTGATCTATTACGAAGGAATTCGTTGTCCGCAGTAATAATGGTAATAATAGTCATGACACAAGCCGACCATATCTTATTGGTTGTGACGTGGTTAAATAGATCGTTTGATATTCTAGACCTCATTATAACTGAGGACTGTTAGTTCAATGAAAATATTTATTTGAAATTAAAAATTGTCCTGAAAATGACGGATGGATGGAACAAGCAGCGATGCAGTGAGTAGATTTGTTAGATGTCAAACTTTTCACTAATTAAGGAGGACTCGCACTAGCTGCACCGGTGTAACATAATGCCAGCATGATCATCGCCTCGGGTGCTGTAAGTCACCAATTTCCATTGAAGCCGTATTATTTTCCAAAGTTAAAATAGAAATAAAGAAGATTGTTATTATGTCAACATGTTGATAGCATGAACATGAGTTGGATCGGTAACGCTAATTCTGTAAAACAAATTTTACATCATTATATTGCTGTAGCCTATATACCACATACTTATGTTATGACCACAAGGGGCCACAAGGCTCGATTTCCTTTAAAGTGGTCTGATACATCTTTGTAGTCATAATAAATCATCTGAATGGAATTCAACCCAATGATGCGTGAGTAAAATTATAGGGTATCTATTATGGCAATGGAAACTTTTGAATACGTTTGGATTTAATATGAAATTGAATAGAGAGTGCGTCAGGACATTACAATCTTCATGTTGTCTACAAACCTCATTTTGAGGATTTCATTTAAACGAATCATTCAACTGAAAGATTTTGTTTCAAGAAATCTTCCTTGTAATAATGATCCGTTGTAACATACAGAAGAAACATGTTTAATATGCCGCTCGACCTTTTTTAATTTACCCTCTATCTAGAATCTATCTATCTATCTTTTTAGCTCTATCCTTATCCATCTATATCCATATAGGTATATCTATCTAAATTACCATGGGCCCATTATTCATTTCATTTTCTTTTCAATTTTCTTTTTTTGTGTGTATATCATTGTTTAATCAACGCGAGCTAACTTACGATAGGCTAGCTAAGTCATTTGTTTCAAGATATTCAGAAATGTTTATTTCTTATGTCTTTATTTTGATAAGTGGAACAAAATGTCTTAACCTTGATAATATCATCTGAATCATGATGTTCGTTCACCCCATACTGGGACTTAAAGGGTCTATTCTTGTCACTTGTGGTCTGGCAAACAGGATGAGATATGACTCAACGTGTTTCGTTTATCCTCACAGTCAGACAGTTTATCATTGCCTTGAACTCAGCCAGTGGTCTACTTTCTTCTCAGGCGCTTGGCTTTTATAATTAAAAAAGTTCATTTTACGACATCTGTAATAATCAATCCTAGATTTTAAACCATCAACTATAATTTGTTTTAAAGCTATTTATATGCTCAAGGTAGGATTCCAGGGATTTTAGACTTATGGTCTATGTCACGTCTGAAATTAAAAAAAGACTGATAACTTTATACGCGCTTGAGTAAAGACTAAGTGTTACTGAGCGTCGACTCCTTGATGTCATGAGTTCGCCTGACCGAATCACCTTTGTCCAATCACGCAGGGGATACACTAGAATTGGCGCCCTTGGTCGCGAGATACGTAAAAGACAATCATTCTCTAATTGTGTCAACTCAACCGCGGTGTCACTTTATGGGTTTCCTAGATGGAACGGACGGCAAGGGAGCAGTAGTAGACCGATGAGTTTTGTCTCCTTGAGTATACCACTCATGCAGAAGTGAATACTATCAGCTAAACCGCTGGTCATTATAGCTCAGTAAACTGTCCGGAGTCTCGGAGAGAAGGAACGTGATATCACCGAAGAGTACGACTTTACTCTACGAAGAGGACTGTACTCATTGGAAGAAGAAGAAGAATAAACTTGTGTAATATTTTACCAATAAGTTTGAAATGACTATGCAGCCGTGCATATACTTGGTTTAAAGTGATTCTGACACTTCAATGCCGTCCCAATTGTTGATAACAAATTGGCCGTTGATGATGTATACCCGCATTAATGTACCCTGGCAGTGAAGAGAGGAAGCTCCTGGTAAAAAAATCATTAGACCTGACATTTATAAAACTCAGCTAACAAACTCGTGCCAACAACTATAATGTGTTATTGGTTGGAAATACCCTGTTCCGTGTAGCTCCATGTGTACAGGAATTGGAATTCATGCTTATATGGTCGACTGCATTAATAGAAGAGCGTTGGTATTTCTAGCACACTAGAACGAGCTGCTCAAACATTAACTTCTGGTGATTGTGTATATACGTGATGTAAATACACGGATTCGAATGTGCTTAGTGTTTTAATTCGTATTATGTTGTGCCCTATGTGCAGGGTTATTGACACAGTCTGTAAACATGAGTCAGTAACAAGGTGACAAGCTGATACCAAAATAGAGAGAAGGGATTCTCAAACTGGTAACAGGAACAGGAACAACTTGGAGCCGTTTTCTATACGATCACGATAATTATTCGGCTCGAATAAAGTACACAATTTCAATAGGAATGACTGTTCTTCATTGAAGATTTTTATCTGATCGCATTTTAGGCCTACCCTCGATCCCTATGTTGAGGAACACTGTGATAATTCTGTTAACTGCATACCAGTGAAATTTGTTTAATTTTACATTGAGAATCATCGTTATTATATCGAAGCCGTTTTGATCGGGAGATTATAAACCTTTATCACTGACGTCGATACAATTTTGTTCATTCTGCTCAGTTGAATTTATGATAATCTTCAGAACGTCGTTCTTCTGTAGGATACATTTCGTCTAGATAATTAAGTTTCGGAATCCTCCTAATTGGGTGTAGCACTTGCTTATACTTCATCAAGAAGAGGGTCTAACTCTTTAGCGGAGTGACAGTTATCGTGAACCTCTCGTATGAAGATAATCTCTGCAGTCATCATCGTATCTAAATGGAATACTTTTGTTACACCTTAGTACTCTTTCGAAGATGAGAGTCTGGACTGTGATTTAGCCACTGACTGATCAGCATTGACAGGTTACAATCAGTCGAGCACCTTCATTCCTGAATACCCATACATGTGGTATATAGGAGACTGCAGCTGGTGAGAGCGAAAAGAGTCTTCTGATTAATAATTCATTGATCTTATCGACGAGTGTTGATTTGTAAACCATCACCATCATGGATGCTGGCAAGGATATCAAATGTGTGATTGTTGGAGACGGGTAAGCATTTTTTTTTTTTTTTTTTTTACAAAGATTGCCTTTCATCTTCGAGTGAAAATGAAAGAAAGAAAAAAAAGATGGGAGGGGCAAAACCCTGCTCCATGGTACTATAATAGTTCACTTATTCAATAATTATGATGGGAACGATTTTGATCATTATTCTACTAAAACACTGTAAATCACCATTACTAGATGTAATATATCTTGGCTTCGAGGGCAAATACATGTACATCTCAGCCAGACTGCCATATTGTTCTAATATAAAACTTCTTGCTTCGTAAGCCTAAATTGGAACCTTGCCCATAAATATAATGTACCTCGTGTATATTTCCTTATGTTGGTCCGGAAACATTAAATAACATCCAATGGGCCCAAAACTCCCCTTTAATATTATTACGCCCGCTTATAATTATGTACCTCGCCTACACCTCATCTATAATGTCTTTAGTAGAATACAGTCATGATTTGCAGACGACCCCGTTATTGATTGAAGTATCATAGATCATCGATTAACTACTGGGCCGCGAATGAAAGGCAAAGAGTCATTTCATTCGAATCATGTTAATTAGCTGGAATGATTGCATTTCATTTTGATTAGATTCCAAGACCTTAAATAATGTGGAGTCAGTATTATGTATTTTTTAAAATTACATCTAGGTCACTTATATTGATGGAAAATATATCATTTGACAATGGTTTACTAAAATAAGCAAATTAACATGATTAAAGGGCTATGTTATTGCAATCACCACACGTATCTAAAATCACAAAGCTTGCTAAATACTTAAAAAATAGAGAGAATTTAAGTGCATTAATCATCATCATGATTATAAGAAATACTGCTTCAAATTTAGCATCCTGTGTATAAAATGTATTCAGAGTTATGTTTAGATAAACTTAGGGTATAGTTGGCAGTAAGCCATGGATCTATAATGCTGACCCATTATTGAAGTTCACCCAAGATTTCATGGGAGTTACGATATACCCAAGGGTCACAGTACATAGAGTGTGGCAATAAACCAAATAAGATTGCTAAGACTTTAATGTGATTTGAATGTATATAATGTGAGCCATTTAAATCCTTTTACTCTTGGGGCTGATGAAACTAGCTTTATAGATCGGAAGCATATCTATATCTACTCGATACGTTATTTCATGTTGCACTAAAAGTGCAATCAAGAATAAGTTTAAGTATTCGGGCATTTTATTTCAATCCTCTTTTTCTCTAAGTTTGTCTTATTCAATAACGTTTACGACTCCAAAGTGAACAAAATGCAAATATAGACGAGGAGGTTTAGCTTCCATCTGTATTTCACGGTTTCTTTAATCCGAATGAAATTCACTAGATGTTGATTGGGAGAAGGATGCGGATTAAACATTTGGGATGTAGAGATGGTGGGGCAAACCGAATTTTTTTTCTCTTAACGAGTGTCCTTTCATCATGTAGGATTTTTTTTTTTTTTTTTTTTTTTTTTGGGGGGGGGGGGGGGCGGTCCTCCATGCACCCTTCTCCCACTACTCTCACACTATTAACTAGATCCATTTGATATACATCTGGTATGGTCATGGTAATAGTCAACCACATTAAAGATTCTCCAATAACCTTGTAGTACCATCATACAAGCGAGAGAATAAGCTAGAGTGTGCTTCGGAACACTTCCAGTGGTAGATAGTCACACGCTCCAAACATTATTTGAAAGGTCAAAGAAAGATATTCGCTATCATATGGGTCTTCCATCATCAATTAACCTTTCTATTTCATTTTAATCGACAAAATTCGATCGACAAGATTCATCAGTCGCACATGTTTTAGAATAGGGACTTTTAGATTTGCACGAAGAGAACGTGGACTGCGACGTGTGACATCCTTTTAAGGCAATGTGACGTCCTTTTAAGGCACTGGCAGTGACGTCACATTGCCTTAAAAGGGTGTCACACGAGCAGTCCACGTTCTCGTCGTGCCAATCTAAAAGTCCCTTATACTAGATTGATGAGACAGAACGAATACCTGTCTAACTGCATGGCAGAGAAGGTCGCATGGGTCTAGACAGATTACTAACCTTCTTTGTCTCTCAATGAGAGATTTATCTATTTATTTATTCAATTCAGTCTTCTATATACAATGCAGGATAACCCTTCAATAACGATTAAAGATCTTCCAAGGGACATGGTCTGTACGACATTAGGGACTTTTAGATTTGCGTGGACTGATACGTGTGACGTCCATTCAAGACAGTGCATTACAAGAACGTCGATTGTAGCATATACATATTGTCTTCGTGCGAATCTAAAAGTCCCTATTAAAGTCATGATACAACCTAGCATATATGTTAACATTATCATAAAATGAAATCCATTTATGGCCTTAAGTACCTTTATTTGCCCTCCATGTCCCGGCTCTAAATGTTTTATTTAATTCAGTATAAAGACGAACCGTAAAAAATAACAAACAGATAAACAATCAAACAAACAAACAAACACAGAAACAATAATAATTTTTTTGTCTGCATCATTATTCCGTCATGAAATTCTTATTACAACCAGCACAGCAGTAATGTCATGAAACTGTTTTCTTGTTCATTCATAATTGTTGTTGATTTTAACCAGGGAGCTTAAGTCACAGCTCCCTGATTTAACCACATTATTCTTGATTTCTCTTCTTCTTGTTTATATTTCACTCCAGATTCGTGGGTAAAACCTGTCTGCTGATTTCATTCACTACCAGTAACTTTCCCGGGGAATATGCTCCCACAGTGTGAGTATAAACTGATTCCATCTTGTTTAGTCTCAAGGGCACCATGATATAGCCGGCGAGACTTTTCTAATAAGCATTACGTACATTATTATAATTACTGTCAAATAAATGGCACGCTTCTTTGAATATGGGCAATTTAAATCGTGCAGAGTGATAGTCTGATTTGGGTCTATTTGTGTATTGCATCGTCGGCTACAACAAATATATACTCCGGTAATTCGGTTACAATATTGTATTATGTCTGGTATGATTTGAAAACGTTCGAAAAGTAACCGGCTCAGTCGCAAAGAAACAATGTCAATAGATAAATCATTATTTGTAGTAAAATATATATTTAAACAAAAAAATAATAATCACGCCTCGAAACCTTCGTCAACGACTCTCTGATTCCCAACTGACTTCTCTTATTTTCAATGAGTTTACATTTGTCTTTTAACATAATTGCTATGTATTCATTTAATTCTTTGCATGTATTTGCTTGTTCTTTCTCAAACATAATTATTGCTGAGAGTCGAAAGGATGTTAAATGGTGTGATGTAAAATGAAGTTAACGCCCCTCTGGCTCTCAAAAGACGTTTACCGTGATGAGATAAAGTGGATTCGTTCCAATAAACAGAGCAATCACATATAATTACCCTCGGGGTGTGGGTTTATCATTAGATCATATGAAAATGAGCATTTTGATGCATGAGATCTACAACCCATTTGCTATTATCCTAATTGCACTCATCACTGTACACAATGTCATAATGTAACAATCCCAGTATCATAATTGCGGAAAGGTATGTTTGGTTTGTGAGCTGATACCACATGATCTGTATATATCATAATCTTCTGTAATTTCAGTCTTCCATTAATTATGCTTGTTCAGTGGCGTTGATACAGGGGGGGGGGGGGGCTTCGAATGGTCAAAAAAAGAGGCGAGAGCGAGAGGAGAGATGAAGGGAATAGCAAAAAAAGAACGTGAGATAATATAAGGAGATAGATTGCTTGAAAACGCTCTTCAAAATATGTGTGCACTATTATAGTAATGTGGGGATAACAAGATAAGTCTTCAATGAAATCAGTGGTAAGAGGTGCATTAAACGATTATCAAAAAATGCTTTTGGGGGTGCGATCTGCGTCCTTGATGTTGCGTACATCAGAGAAGAAAAAGAAATGGAGATAGGAGTGAAAGATAGAAGACACACGCGAAAAAAAAAAGACAGAGGGATTGCAATATGGAAGTAAAGTCCTGCCCCGGTGATTATTCCCCGTTTGCCTTCCTCAATCCAGGTGTATAGTAATGACTGAATGCTGACTGTGGGTGACCTCGATAGCTGCGAAGGAAATAACAAAGATGATAGAGGCATACATTGGACATTAATGTTTTAATACGCTACGAGTTGTATGTTAACTTTGACTCTTGACTCTATGCCTATCCGGTATAGATGCCACAACCAGAGCTGTTCTATGCTTATAATGTGTAGATTTTTTGTGCGACAGATGCTTGAGTGAGGGTGTGACTTGATGACCGACCTGCTCCATCTTACCACCTGCATGGCTGGATGCTGCTAAGAACAATATCGTAACGAATTCATGCAGGAAATTGAACGGAAGATGCTGCCTCTAATTATTGTCAACTCTTAAAGGGGCGACATGTCAACTCCATTTCAATTCCACTTTCCCATCTTCTTGCTCAGAATATCTTTTTTTTTCTTTCTAGTTCATAACATTAAGACAGCCTTTCTCTTCACCTACATCATTTCCATTTCCCCAATCCCCTATTTATAGCTATCTATTTATCTATCTGCCTATCTATTTATTTAATCTATATATATCTATCTATCTGTCCCTTGTTCTCTCTCTTGTTTTTTCTCTCTCTATTCCCCTTTATTTTTCTCCATTTTCTCCATTCAATTCCATCCCCGTCTCTTTTTTCTCTCTCCATCCTCTCTCTCTCTCTCTCTCTCTCTCTCTCTCTATATATATATATATCCCCCATCTTCTTGTTGAATAAACTTTGAATTTGAATTTGAATCTTTCTGATGACTTCTGTCATTTCATTAGTTATAAGAATTGAAAGGAAGGGAAAAGAGATTTTCTTTTCACTTTACAGGCTATAATATATAGCGCTCGTCATACAATCAATATCCCCATACATTGTATATCATGTATCCACCGGTACCTCGTAGAATTGCATTAAATCCCCATTAGATTTTTTGCTCTTTAATTATTGTGCTAAACATTATGCGACAATTGTGTGTATTTGGAGAGAGAAAAAAAAATCCTGATTACAAAGTCAATTTGAAGTACAAAAATGTTTTTAAATTTCGTCTTTCTTTTTGGTACATGATTGTAATAGACCTAATATAATATTTATATCTGACATGAAATAATATATTTGTATGCTCTCCATCGTTACTTAGATCATCAATTAATTATTCTTCATCTCTGTACATCGAGACGGATTCTTTTGAGCTGCTTTTAACCATCCATGCATAGTTACATGTATATCATATAATATTAATGTAATAATATTGGTTGTGTCATGCGATGCATTGTGGACCAGAACAGAGAATGAATGGATGGATACATTGTTATCACTTATTCTCCTGTAGCTAACTATATGTACAAGACTGCAGCATGGTTCATTTTCTTGCTCAAAGCGACATTGCCTCTCTTGTGCTGGGAAGAGAGGCAATTTTTTTTCTCATAGACTTTAAACGTTGAAAAACTTGGTAAGGGTATAAATAATTTAGTTGTTAACTTTACATTATATATGAATACAGCGGTTGAAACAAAATAAATAAATAAGTAGGAATATTGTAGGCATGAACATTTATAGATTTTTAAAATAATGATTATCAATAACAGGGATGAGATGCAAAGGTGCGTTGGAGAATAGTGAACGAGACATGACTTGTGTGACCATAATATTGTTAAATCACAGAACGTTAATATGTCCATACATGACGTTGTTCACCAAACAAAAAGAAACAACTAAAACACGAAACTTAACTCTTGAATTGAATGTTTCTTTTTCTAGATTCGATCATTATGCCATGAAGACTGTCGTAGATGAGACTCGTGTATCATTGAGTCTATGGGATACTGCTGGCCAGGATACATACGCACAGGTCAGGCCTCTGTCATATGCAAATGCTGTAAGTGTAAAATTATTTTAACCTTTTCTTACATCATAATTACAGAACACCCCAGAATATACTACCATACATGATTCTACACTTGTATGTTGCTTACTCCTCCTCAATCTCTCTCTCCCCCCCCCCCCCTCTCTCTCTCTCTTTCTCTTTTTTTTTCTATCTCTGTCTGTCTGTCTCTTTCTCTTGTTGTCTCTGTGTCTTTCTCTCTCTCTCTCTCTCTCTCTCTCTCTCTCTCATCCCTTTATGCACATGCAATCAACGGTTTATCATCCCAACAAAACGTGCATCAGAGATTGATAAAGCATATTTCATGGATAATGGACATACTACTTGTTACGCCTGTGTTGTCATAGAAACCTAGATTGAAATGATAGGATTCTAAAAATATCATTGTTTTAAGCAGTAAAGTGCTGCATGGATTTAGGTTGGTTATACGTACTTCGTATCTCCTTTGATCCTGCCAGAGTGCGCTGCTTTAGAGTCCATTAATGAAATACACTATGCTTAGCCTCATCTAAATCACTGTCAATTTACATAATATACCAGTCACCGCTATACCATAGACGGAATTACGTCCCTTTTCATGATGATTCAGTTTACTTTCATTAGATTGCGTGTATCTCATTTTAACCCTATAATCAGATAATAAAATGGGAATCGACCGTTCATTAACCTGACCTACTTGGATATTAAGAGCAATGAATGATCATATTCGTGTTCATTAAAATTTAATGCCATAATGAAATTATAGTCAATTTTTATTTTATGAGATGACTTTATAAGATTCTAAAAACACATAATTATAATGACAAGTGTGTCCCCTTAAATATGTGTTATTTTATTGTTGTAAGCATCATCAGAGTATTTTTGTTATGACATTCAATCTGTTTATTGTAAGCGCCTTGAGTACCATCTCGGTGGATAATTTTGTTGCGCATTGTAAAATGTCTATAATTATGATGATGATAATTATTGTTATTATTGTAGTAGTAGTAGGAGAAGTAATAGTAGAAATATCAGTAGTAGTAGTGGTAGTGGTAGTGGTAGTGGTAGTATAGTAGTAGTAGTAGTAGTAGTAGGAGAAGTATAGTAGAAATATCAGTAGTAGTAGTGGTAGTGGTAGTGGTAGTGGTAGTATAGTAGTAGTAGTAGTGGTGGTGGTAGTAGTGGTGGTAGTGGTAGTGGTAGTGGTGGTGGTATCATTATCATCATTTCAGTTGGTATGTGAATGCGGCTTACCCATTTCCTCGTTCTTTCTCATTTATTATTTTAACATGTTTATCGGATGTAACCCGGATACACTAATTTGAACTAAACCTATACATAAACAGACTTCTGCTATGTGAACTGTTATTGTACCACTTCCGGAAACACACCACGGAAAAGAGTGAATGTTACCCCTTTACTACATGTCTTTGAATCAATATGAGCTTGAAAATTAAATATCTAAGCTTGCTCCATAATCAATCACACACAAACAGATAACGGCCTGTAAAGTATTGTCCAATATCCTATATAAAGACTGGTGTCCAATATCGTATTTTAATATCCTGTAGACTGGTGTCCAATTGCAATCACGTGAAAACAATATTTTTTTCCTGGTAGGACAGAAGACCCCATAGTTTAAATCAACTCTATTATTTTGCTTACAAATCATTTTAATCGAAAACATTGATGTCATCACCATTACAACTTCATCGTTATCATCACTATTTTGAGAGCATCTTTGGGCTAGAATATAAATGTAAGAACGGACCAGTATTTGTTTAAATAGCATCTGTAGGTCCTTGATACAAGATACTGTTCATTTCTCTTCAAAATTGTTGAAGTAGGTAATATAGTCGCCTAGCCCTCCGTCACGTTTTCGGCATAAATTGAATACATGGTATATGCACATTTTTCATAGTAGAATATTTTACATTTACCCCTCATAATCAGGGGCGTACGCAGGGGGGGGGGGGGGGGGTTTGGGGGGTTCAAACCCCCCCCCCTTTGGTATTTTAATGTATGTAAACCCCCCCCTAAAAAAACCTAAAACCCCCCCCCCCCCTTTGTTTGTTTGTTTTTGTTTTTTTTGTTTTTTTTTATTATTAAAAAAAATAAAATAAAAAAAAAAAAAATTATCCCCACGGCTAACCTAAATAAGATGACCTTACCCCCCCCCCCCCAACGAAGAAAAATGTCAAATTTTGAAATTTTGAGACCAAAAAAAAAAAAAATGTCCGCTTACCCCCCCCCCCCCCCCCCCCCCCCCCCCCCCCCCCCCCCCCCCCCCCACTTAGCGACTTTTCGCCCGGCTGAGTCGTTGCGATTTTTTTTTAACCTCCAAAAAAAAAAAAAAAGTTGTCCGCTTACCCCCCCCCCCCCCCCCCCCCCCCCCCCCCCCCCCCCCCCCCCAACCACCCACTGAGCGACTTTTAGGCTGGCTTGAGTCGTTGCAATTTTTTTTGACCTCCAAAAAAAAAAAAAAAAATGTGTCCGCTAAACCCCCCCCCCCCCCCCCCCCCCCCCCCCCCCCCCCCCCCCCCCCCCCCCCCCCAACTGAGCGACTTTTCGGCCGGCGCGATTTTCAAATTTTCGGGAGCAAAATATTTTAAAACCCCCCCCCCCCCCCCTTGAAAAAATCCTGCGTACGCCCCTGCTCATAATAATTCGTCGGCGTTATTACGAACTGACAAATCCGTCATAATTTATATAATACTGTACGGATCCGTATTGTGACCCCCATTATACCTAGAAATGATGGATATGCAACCTTCTACGGTCATAAACGAGTTTATTACAAATACTCAACCTCGGAGCGATTATCAGTCATTAGTGTTTATATTCTTGACCAGTGGGCAATCAGATGAGAAACATAATGGGCCGTAACCGCCATTATGGCCCCGATCAAGGTTTCTGGATACACCTCGGCTCGTTTATCTTTCTCTTTCCAAATTTCTTTGAATTCTTATTGAAGTGATGAAGGAAAAGTGAGTGTCTTCAAAGTATAGCGTTTATGTCCTTCGCACTTGTCGTGGTATAGTGGTTCGTGGTACGGTGGTTCATTCCACTTGGCTCTCAATCCCAGGGTTGAGGGTTCCAATTCCAACTCGGTAGTAGCCACATTGATCACCCCCCCCCCCATGCTTCATCCATGTGTCATAGTACATGTATCTGGCAATGCTGGGGTGAAAATAATTGCATGGCCTACGAGATGTGCCATGGGAAAATTGATTGGCTTCTTAATACAATGTTATACCCAAGAAGAGTCTCAGATTCCTGGTCCTAACAACGTTTTCGTTTTGGGAATTATTATTGAAGCCCCGCTTGTTCAATTCAATGTGATTAAAAGAACTGCATTTTAACTTTATATGAATATTTCTTTACTGTACACAAAGCATTGTTTTTTATAAATTGAGTCATATTTCAAACTCGTAGCCTATTCCTCTATTCAACTTCTTCTTTATTTTCTTCTTTTTTTTCGGGGGGGGGGGGAGGAGGGGAGCAAGGTGTGAACCTTTCTTCAAACTTACATCACAAAATAATGATGTACACTTTATTTGAGATACGAGGCGGATGATTGGAAGGGGGTCGAACTGTGTTCTCTTCAGTGGTATATACAGTATGTAATCGAGGTCGCACACTTCTTCTGGAAATAGAAATCAATAGAACTTAAACATTAAACTGGTTCTATGTCATCTGGGTTGCCCCTTTTCGGGGGCTTTAGCCCCCCCCCCCCCCCCACCCACTGTCCCTTATTTATGTTTATTAATAATGATCTTGTATACTGTCTTAGCCTACCTGACCAATTTTGTAGGTATCTTGTAAATTTGGAAAGTATGATAACTCCTTCTTATCACGAATTATTCTTTCTTTTGTTTGCAGGACGTATTTCTGGTCTGTTTTTCAACGGTTAACATGGATTCACGTGATAATGTCTCACTGAAATGGGTCCCTGAGGTCCGTGTACACCAACCAAACACACCCATTATCATAGTCGGTACGAAGACTGATCTTAGAGACGACAAGGAAACAATAGATGCTCTTCAGAAACAAAAACATAGACCTGTCACCACTGAAGAGGTATGCCCCCTAAAATTCATGTATCCATAATAGTACAACTGTATGAATCTTACCGTCTTCGAATTATCCTGAAATGTTGTAACTTGCAAAATGCTGATAGCCAAGTTTTCGCCAGCACAAAATAGCGCTCTGACCATGCGGACCGACAATATTCAAGAATTAAAGACCCAATTTGCGTGATTCTAAAAAGGCTGTAAATAAAGGGTTAAATTTGGACTATGATTGGGATGTTGATATCATGTAGGCGTACAAACTTATGATCTTGATTTAAAATAGTGTTTTCTTTCACGTTTACTATGGTTACAGGGCGTACTGATATCCAAGAGTGTGATGGCTTTAGCATACACGGAGTGCTCAGCAAAAAGCCAAGATGGTGTCATCGAGGTATTCAACCAAGCAGTCAGAGCATCACTCAATCCAAACATATTCAAGAAAAAGAAAAAAAGATGCACTTTACTCTAATTGGTAGAATACTTTAGTTAAATGAAATCAATTTTGTACATAATTATATTTGACTTGAAATGCAACGATGATATGAAATATATTTATTCATTAATGTAAGTCTAATGTCAGCTTTTGATTACTATTCTGTACTGTTAATTAGCGTGAAGGGAGATTTATTTTCCACCAATTTCCACCTCTCTCTCTCTCTCTCCCTCTCTATTTCTCCCTCTCTATTTCTCCATCTATGTCTCTTCTTCCTCAACCTTTCTTACTTGAATAGCTCCTTCTCTAAATGTACGTTGTTTTTATTAAATTGAAAAGAAACAAATAGTAACTCACACTGAAAGTACATAATGATGATATTCTATATAGTGGAGCAGCGAATTAAATGTTAATTTTCTATTTCATCTGAATTTTTTTCTCAGATATAAGACATTTAAAGCAAGGAAATGATTACACAGGATACATATCGGTAAAACGTACTATGAAATGCAAACTGGACTCTTATATTGAATGTAAAATATTTTGAGGGATGCTCAATGGGTAAACTATAAGAAGTTGATTGTTAATGCAAGGTTCAACATAATGTGTTGAATGCTGTATTATGCACTTTTCAATTATAAGAGGTGTCTGTTTGTCCAATTATCTGTTTGTCCAAGTCATACATCATAATTATAATTATCTATCTATCTTCCTCATCTTCTTTATCTTTCACCCCTCTTCCCTGTCCCCTCGATCGCCCCCCCCCCCCATCTCTCTCTCTCTCTCTCTCTCTCGACCCCCCTCGTTCTTTCTCATCAGTGAAAGTGAAGCGCAGGCGTATATAATGGTGCGTTATTATTATTTTTGCATTCTTTAATATTCTGAAAATCACTGCGTTATAGCAGGGAGTTGGAATCCCACTCCCTGGTTACTATAGCTGGTTATAGGGGTATTTCGTATATTTTGCCAGTAAACATTGCATGCAGGTACGATTTTTTTATGAGAATAGACCTTTGTGATTCAATTAATTTGCCAACTTTAGACAACCTCTGTCGGCAATGTTTAACATAACGAGATCTAATTTTAACCTGTCAAAACTTGCAAGTATTTTGTTTGTGTAATGACAAGCACTCTATGTTTTGGAGTACCACGCTCCGTGTTGTGACTGGAGACAGATTAATAGAGCAGATTTATAAACGGAGACGAGACTTGATTTACTTTGAAGGTCTATAACCATTGGTTGTTTTTTATCTCTTGTATGCGATATGTGATATTGATGATTTTGGTTCGTAGAAAATAAGTATCATGGTTATAATAATACTCGGAAAACCCTTGTCGTGAAAACAAATTCGATATTCGGCATTTCTTTCTGCTAAATAAGCTCATTACTGACTTCTTATGGAGCTGATTTGAGAAATATTGATATAAAGAGTTAATGATGTAGAAATTAGATATTACATGTTTTCAAGCACAAAAACAGTGAAAATTGACGCACCTTCTTATTGTCATGACTCGTGCCATTCAATGATTAAGAAGGTTGTGGGTTCGAATCCCGATTCTTTATTTTGGTGCCTGGCAGAAATATTGTATGATTTGATTGCTTCCTTGTTTTCTTTTAGTCGCAAAGTAATGGATTTTCACGATGTACAAGAGCTGGATGTCATTCTTATAAAATGAATGTTCCTTATATTTGAAACAAAATACCCGTTCCTCAGCATCACCATGGCAATCGGTGATTTAGGTATCCTGTTATTTTATCAATTTACAATTTGTTTCTCACAGCATTTTACAATATCTTATTGTTCGAATTTTCATCGTCTTTCATTCTCCATATTGTGAGGAATTCTCTGTGATTTCTAGGATACGTCTTTGTTATAAGTTAGTAATGTTCATCCTGCAAGTGTAGATGAGTGTTTAATCGACTACCTATTGCTGTACGTGTTTGTTTTTAATGACTTATTTCAAGTATTTTGTTCGTTTGTACTCGATGTTTATTCTAAGATTCTTATAAAATAATGATCATGACATTATCTTTGAATCCTACGATATTAAAGATAAAGGTGAGTTCTGGTAATGCGATTGCATTGTAAAAGAAAAGGTGTATAGAATGGATCAGAAAAAGTTGATCATATAGCATTAAAGTATTGGTGTGTATTGCAAGGTTCAGGAGTCATCAAAATCATCATAAATTTGACCCAGTCTTGTAAAGTAACAATCACTGTACACAAAAAGATATGGGACAACAAAAATTATGGCTGGGCTAGTACTACCATGATTTCCTTATCTTTCTATGCTCATTACTCAGCCAGTATACATTTTCTTCCAAAATTGTTTGGCACATGACATTATTTGTAATCGTGAACATTCAGTGTAAGTTTCGTTAGATTATGTGAGAATTCATTTTCTTTCTTTTTCACCAGAACTCAAGTTTATCTTAATAACGTCTTTACGTACATGATCAATATCCAACTTGATGCATCACGTGATGCGAATAAAACAAGAGAAATCTGAAATGACTGCACGTTGTCATTTATTCAAAGGCAAGCAAGGCCTCCGGTTGATATGAATAAATAAATTACAGAGCTTGCTTTATGCACTTTCTACCATGTCCTCGCCTCCGCTTGGGATTTATGTGCATTTTACACGTTGTTAATTTAGATCATGATACATAGGTAATGAAGCAAATGCATGATTAATTCAGTCTATCCAGCCCGTTTACGCCCCAGCCCCCCGTGTAGTTAATCACGGGATGTTTTAAAGGTACCATTTGCAGGCCAGAAACATGAAAAGGTTAAATTCCAATGGCATTTGAAAGATAATACTAATTTAGAACTTCCCTTAAAAAAGGGGGGCTTGAAAATGTCTTTAAGTGGGAAAATAACGACTATTAGTTGTCGAATCGACTTAAGAGCTGTAGAGCCAGTAAGTCTGATTTTTCAGGCTTTGTACCGAATGGTCGTACGTTTTATGCTGCCCAAAGATTCAATCAGTTTAATTTTGGCCATTACAAGAAGTGGGTTATTGATGTAGACAAATGCTCATGTGCCCTTTACAGTTCATGTTATGTATGTTATTACCAAAGAAGGAAAAAATCCAGTCAGTCACTCAACAGTGTCTGACAGTGAAGTCTAGCAGTAAACGGATTTCCTTGCATAATTTGAATATTAGGACACTGCTAACGTTTAAATTTCACAGATAGGACATACATGACATCTTCATAATTCCTGCAAAGTTCTACAGAATTTGATGTTGGCTGCAAAAGGGACATAGTATCTTTAAAGCCCTACGTGGAGGGTACTCGCAAGGCACACTGTTCTGTTATAGTTAAAGAATGAATTTCGGCCTGAAATTTGGCATAGAGATCCACGGTCCCTTTCATTTCAAGTCAGGTTATAATATAATGAGGGAGAGGTATTAACCGATATAAGATGACCGTCCATCTTTTTGGAGCGAAGCTTGCTTTCATCTGTCATGTCTGCTTAGTATTTTCCCCAAAGTATTGACGAGGTGCATTTAGAGGAAGCGGCGCGGCGTTTTAAAAACTAAAAAATTGAACAAAAACGTAATATATTGCTTGTAATATGCTTATGTGATTAACATGATTGGCCTTTAATGTTGAGATGCATGCATTCTTGGTTGACTGCATGCATGCAGTTCATTAGAGTATAACGTGATGATCTTAGACGTAATCGTGATCAGAGAAGGACAAATCTAAAAGGGATGAAAGGTATGGAAGATTGATTGAGTGGACAGGTAATACGCTAGGGAATACAGAGGGAGAATATGATGACAAACGTATAAAATCGAGGGGGTATTCCAGAGAGAGAAAGGGAGAGAGAGAAAGGGGGTGGGGAGAAGTGGGTTATTTTGTGGGGAAGAAAAAAACGTATACAAGATATTAAGAAAGAGATAGATAGATAGAGAGAGAGAGAGAGAGAGAGATAGGGAGATGGAGATAATTGAGATAGAGATAGAGAGAGAGAGCGAGCGAGAAAGAGAGAGAGAGAGAGAGGAGAGAGAGAGAGAGAGAGAGAGAGATAGGGAGATGGAGATAATTGAGATAGAGATAGAGAGAGAGAGAGAGCGAGAAAGAGAGAGAGAGAGAGGAGAGGAGAGAGAGAGAGAGAGAGAGAGAGAGAGAGGAGAGAAGAGAGAGAGAGAGAGAGGGGAGGGAGAGAGATGACAGAGTGTGAGAGAGAGGGAGAGAGAGTGAGAGGGGTGGGAGAGAGAGAAAGATGGGGAGGTAGGTAGGGCAGGGAGGAAGGGATCGAGAGAGGGAGAGAGAGAGAGAGAGAGAGAGGGGGGGGGGGGAAAGAATGTATTCTCAGGGGCATGGAATGTGATTTGATAGTCTAATATAAAAGTGACTCGGTATCATCGCCTCAGATTCTGAAACAAAATCCTGGATTTAGCTCATGCTGCAATCATGATTATAAACCTTTATAGGCCAGTCAGAAATCTTATGACTTTTACAAGCCGATCGCCTGTCTGATTATCAAGATATTTTCCCAACGGTTTTTATAACACTATAGTCTATTAGGGAAAATTAGTATGGTAAAACCGGTCACTCAAAGATTTGTACTTTTTGAGGCTCTTCATGACGCGCAACTTGTTTTAGGGCTTCAATATTACACCATATCACAGACATTGATAACACATAGAGCCATGCTCTCAGATTTAACATTAAACGATGCTTTTAATACACGAGTCGGATAGAAGGGTCTGTATTCCTAATGCCTTGCATTTTCATCAAAACATTAAGCTGAAAATGCAATATGACATTATAATATACGGCCTCATGTCATCTATCCAAGATAATTTATTATTCATGAACCTATAAGGTAGAACGACAAGTCGCCATAAAGGGTAGCCATCAATAATCGTCATTAACTATCAAGTCCACGAAGGGCCTATTCAAGGTAATCCTGTCTGTTGATGGCATGTATGAAGAAGGGTGTGATTTTCTTAATCATCTGGTTTTATTTAGATACACTTTTGAGCGTCTTGAGGAGGATAGAAGACACATTCTAATTAATATTATTTGCTTTTGCATTTTCGACGAACCACATGAGTAGCACGCGATGATTTGAGCTAACTTAAGTGCCCCTCCCCTTCCGACCTCGACCAAAAAGGTAACAGCTTTTTTGTAATTGTATCCCTCCACTCCAAATCTCTCCGACAAGCCAATGGAAAGTCGTTATACTATATGCCTAGAGATAATCGTTCCATGCATTGCCCCCCTAAAAAAACATTAATCTGAGAGTTACGGAAGCCCTTATCATGCTTATCCTGCTGCCTGATTCATAAAATTAATGTGTATAAGTTTAAAACTCTATCGATTCTTTATGTTTTCTTGGTCTGCTAATGGGGGATGTACCCGTTGGGTCAAAACTTTGATGTCTTTCTGTTATGATGCGGACTTTATACCCTCACAATCACTCTACGCGAAACACGGTAATTTCAGCTAATTTATTCACATTCTGTGAAAGACAGCTGAAAAAGGGAAGGAAGATGGAAATAATAGCTGTCATCCATTATCATATCCTCGTCATTATGGATGCTTTATGTCATCCTTGATGGCGCTATTCTTCTCCTTCGAAAGTTCAGTGGACATTATTTTGTAGTCTAGTTTGTCGTACATGTTGATATCGCACTTTGCGTTGCATTTTTCCCTCTTGGTGGGGTGGTGGTAGGGGGGGGGGGAGAGTGATCTTTTGCATTAATACCAAACTGCTCGTGGGAATATTATTATATATTCCATTAAAGCGCTGAAATATTATTGACATTATCGAGTTATCAGGAGTGTTGTATTCTCTCCCTAGAAAAAAAAAATGATTTTAAACTTTAAGAAATCTGGTATATCGGGTAAAATGGCACATTTTAAATTGTTAATCCTCTGTATCGATTTCTCATACACTCGAAGCACCAAACTTCATAATGGCTTGAAGAAAACAAGTATGGCTACCGCATGTCTAAAAAGTATGCTTCAGTTCTCACTGGCAATGCCATTAATCAGTTTGTCTTTTGGTCTTGCCCATCGGTATTACATCAATGTGTATAAAGGTAGCCTACATTTACACTGTCCGGCTAGCCCTCTTGATTCCTTCTTAAAATGTCAATCTCATTATCTTGTCATGTATACTGGGATTTTTCTCAGAACTTGGTTGTCGTGACATTATCGTGGATACAGCTCAGTGATTCCAGGAATTGGATGAGAACATTGACGAGAACATTATATATTTATGAATGTTAGAAAGATCCATAGAATTTAAGTATAGGAGAATTACTATTATCGCCCTCGCACCTCATTCTACCCCCCCCCCCCTCTCTCTCTCTCTCTCTCTCTCTCTCTCTCTCTTGTACGCACACACATACACACACACATTGGGTGGAAATCGGGGACAGGTGTTTTATACCGTAAAGTAGAGACAGTAATAAACGCCCGGACAATATTGACCGGGCGTATTTCATTAACTGCCTCCATTCATAAAGTGAACCAAAAGTTTGTTAAGGGGATTTATTTCGAAGAGAGTACTTCATATTCCAATCGAGGTCCCACAGAATACACAGGTGTGTCGGTCGTGTGAACGTTTCACTGATAACTAGCGGAAATGTGTAATAATAATAATAATAATAATAATAATAATATGTCTTGTTTACCCAGGGTAGCCTCATCAGTATTCATACTGTTCTCCCTGAGGGCCCTGCAATCATGGACTAGGAGATAATTTCAAAAATCCAACTGGGGCTCCAAAGAAGTCATGTGCATCGATCGTGTGAACACGTTACATGTGCATAAAGACATGTGCATAAATGAACTAGGAGAAAATTTCACTTTCCAACTGGGGATCATTATGAATACGCAGGCATAGCATGTCGGCTGTGATAGTATAGAGTAAATGTTTGGACTGGAAGCAGGCGCGGATCCAGTGGCCTTGCCCCCCCCCCCCCCGCCCTCCGCCAAAGAGAGAGTGAGAGAAAGATAGACAGAGAGAGAAAGAGAGAGAGAGAGGGAGAGAGAAAGAGAAGAAAAAGAAGGGAAAAGTTAAGAGGAAAGAAAAAAGAGGAAGAAGAAAAGAAAATTGGGAAAAGAAGGAGATCGGAGGGAGGGGGCGAAAAGGCCTTAATTGCCTCCCATGCTGTTGCCTTACCCCCCCCCCTACCCTAGCACAGCAAAAAAAAGAAGGAAGGAAATGGAAAGAAAGCGGAAAAGAGGAGATAATGGGAAGGAAAAAAAGAGGAAGAAGAAAAGAAAAGAAGGGGGATATCAGTTGCGACTTTCCCGTCAACAGTTTGTTGAGCGGGGGGGGGGGGGGCAAAAGGCCCTTGCCTCCCACCCCTCCCCCACCCCACTCAACATAAAGAGAGAAATAGAGAGAAGGGAAGGATAGGGAAAGGGAATGAGGAGAAAAGGGAAAGAAAATGAAGTGGAAGAAGAATAGAAAAGAAGGGGGGGATATCAGTTGTGATTTTCCCGCAACTAAGTTGTGGATCGGGGGGGGGGGCGAAAAGCAAAAAAGAGAGAGAGAGAGAGAGAGAGAGAGAAGGGAAAGGAAAGGGAAAAGGGGAGAAAGGAAAATAAAATAAAGAGGAAGAAGAAAAGAAAATGGGGAAAAGAAGTGCCATTTTTCCAACATAACAAGGTGCGCTGGTGCGGATTGGTGGTGGGGGAGGCCGGCAGGGGCGTCGCTGGACCCTTTTCAGTGGGTGGGGGATGTAGAGGCCACCGACTGGATTACCGACAAAACTAGCCACTAATTACCGCCAAAATAATGTCCCAATGTTTACAAATTTAGCCCTTTATATACGGGGCCGAAGACTAAATTATTTTCCTATGAAGTAGTAGTAGACTTGCGTATGCGCACATGCATCATTTTCCTCGATGACATAAATATACGGTCAGATGAGCATATTTCAAAACCTCATTGTTTTGTGACACTGGCAGGTCACTATTTTTACTTTCTTTCTCTATTTCATTCTATTCTCTTTAATATACTTTTTCCAAAAAAAAGTGGGGGGGGGGGGAGAGGGCTCGATGCCCTTGACAAACGCATACAAAGTATAATTTACTAAAAATCGAAGAAAAATCTCGGAAATTATGTCATTTAAGCAACATAATATCGAATTAGAAATATACCACATTTGAATGTCCCACCTATCTAGACTTTGATGGCGGGTGACAATCGCAACGGACCTCTCTTTCCTTTTTACTTTTCTTTTTTTTTTCTTCCTCATTTTTGTTTCCTTTTAGCTCTCCTCTTTCCCTCTCCCTTCCTTCTCTCATTTTTGGGCGGGGGCGGGGGTGAGAGGCAAGGGCCTCTGCCCCTTCCCCCCCCCCCCTGATCCACAACTTGTTGGCGGGAAAATTGCAACTCAATATCTCCCTTCTTTTCTTTTCGTCTTCCTCTCTTTTCTTAGCTCCCCGTTATCTCCTCTTTTCCTTTTTTCTTTCGCTTTCTTTCCTTCTCTCTTATTTTGTTGATGGGGGGGGGGGGGGGGGGAGGAGGAGGCAACAGCCTGGGAGGCAAAGTCCTTTCGGCCGGCCCTCCCCGATCCCCGATCTCCTTCTTCCCCCTTACTGTTCTTGGCCTTTTTTATTCCCCTTTCTCTCCTCTTTCCCTTTCTTTTCTCTCTCTCTCTCTCTCTCTCTCTCTCTCTCTCTCTCTCTCTCTCTCTCTCTCTCTCTCTCTCTCTCTCTCTCTCTCTCCCTCTCTCTCTCTTTTTCTTTATTTTGGGAGAGGGGGGCCAAGGCCCGCCCCCCCCCCCCCCCCCCCCCCCCTGCATGGATCTGCGCCTGGGCTATTCAACTTGACAATTGTTTCCTTTGTCATTTGATTGGGATTTTTCAATTCAATTTAACAACAAAGAAAACAAATGTATGCAATTTAATATGAATCATTATAAACAAAACATGTATTGCGACAGTTTTTGCAAATAGAAATGACTAATTTACGTAATAGAGATGGTCAAAGGTCACTGACTGCATGCTCTGCTGATATGATGAGCTGCTTCGAATGTTCACTTCTTTCACGCGATTCGACTGTACACGTAATGCCTGTGCCGTGAATCCGCCTAGCCTAGTAATTTCACGCTACTAATTTCATCTGATTTTCTAAAGAACAGGAATCTTAGAAGCAAAAATGTCGAAAACTACCGATAGCCTGACATCTACGTGTGTCCTGTGTTGTCAGGAGATCAAGATCTATGCTATTGGACCCTGTAATCACCCAATCTGTTTTAAGTGTTCTACCAAGATGAGGGTGATCTGTAATCAGATGTATTGTGCAGTATGCCGCTCGGAAATGCCAAAGGTATGTGGAAACTGTATGCCTCAGTCCCATGTGATGCAATTGGTGTTGGATGGATGGATCTCTTACTCTTCTTTTACTTGAGTGAATAAACAGAATAAAAGTTAACTGTGATTTTATCTATTACTCATCATTGCCTTGATGTTCTAATAATACAATTTTAAAATGAATAAATATAAAAATTACTGAAAATTTGAAGTTGATTGAAGTTAAGGAAGCGAGTTGGCTCAGTCGGTAAAGCGTCTGCCTGTCGAACCAAAGATCCCGGGTTCGACTCCCATCCAGGCGGATGATTGAAGTCTGCGTTGTGTGTTAACGTGCCCCTTCCCTTGTTCATAGACGCAGGTTGTGTCACGTGGAAAACACTACGTATTGGATAGGACGTTAAATGGAGGCCCCGTGTACAGGAGAGTTATCACCCTTGCACGTTAAGAACCCATTGCACTATTCGTATAAGAGAAAGGGGAAAGAGTGAAACTGAAAGAAAAAATATAATTGGCATTTTCTAACTTGTTTCTTCCTCAATTAAATGTATTTGATAATGCTAGACCAGATAAGAATGGAAGAAATATGTTGAATATGTTCTCGTTTTTTAATTTTATCCCCCAAACTTAAACAGTTAATTAACAATTTTACCATTTTCTTTTCCTTTCAAAACATGTAGGCTATTTTCACAATCAAGCTGCATCTTTTTGATGGGATCATCTCTCACAAGTTTCCCAATGATCGCAAGAGTGGCATCTTCTTTGCTACCACTGACATCCAAGGGGAATACCGGAGGATCCTGACTACTGAGTGTCGAATCTGTGGCATCAAACGAGAACCCGATGCAACCTTCAAGAAGCTCCAGGTCCACATGCGTAAAGAGCATGAGCTTTTCTCGTGTCAGCTTTGTGTGGAAAATATTAAGGTAAACGCCCGTCAGAACAGACTGGACTGGTAAACTTGTCACTCTTAAACTTAACATTTCAGGTTTATAGATCTACCTGTATACAGTATACTTATAGAATTTCATTTGAAAGATAAAACCAGCATTATAATTGCTAAATTTTTAGATGTTTTCTTTTAGAAGGTATACAAATCAAGCTGATTAGATTTCAAGTAACAAAAAAACAAAAACAAAACATGCCAATTGAACTTATGTCATCACTTTGTACAGAGGTAGAATTTGCCTTTATTCTTTCATCTGTATTTCTCCTTCAAACCTTCTTGTTTTTTTCCTCTTTCATTGTAATTTAGGTGTTATCATCTGAGCGTAAGTTTTACACTCGCAAGGATCTAGCTCGGCATCGTCGCACAGGAGATCAGGATGATACATCGTATCGTGGACATCCTCTGTGTGAGTTCTGTGATGACCGTTACTTTGACAACGATGAGCTTCACCGCCATCTGCGCAAAGATCATTATTTCTGTCATTTCTGTGAGACTGATGGTGTGACCAACCAGTACTATGGGTAAGAAACAATTTTATTTCATGTTTCAAACAGGGGCCTAGATGTGTTGTTTCATGTAATTCAAGCTTTGGAGGAAAAACATCAATTTCTTTAATGAAAGGATGTTTTTTTTTTATGTAGTACCTTTAAAACCTAAAAGTAATTATTGTTGATTGTATGCAGGTGAATTGGTACCAATAAGTAAAGCATTTCACCAAAGGGTAAGCTCTGTCTGTTTAGAGCCATTGGAACACCTAGAAAGGATTTAAATCATGTTACACACTTCTAGCTCCAAACGTACAGTATTAGTGCAAAATCTGTCTAATGACAACTCTGATCAACATTCAGAGGACAGAGGCACAGTATTGCATCAACCCTCGCTTTCATAGAGCTACCCTGATAAGACACTCAGACATTCAAGGAATTTTTTCCTCTTTTCACCAGGTACCCATTGACTTCACTTAAGTGAAGAGTAGCAAATGTAAATACATGTCTTGCCAAAGGACATTGGTGCTAAGGCAGGAATTAATTTAAACCCTTTACCATTAGACCCACAGTCTGTTAATAAATCTATTAGACCATGACATCTCTATGTAAACAGGAGTAGCTCAGTCAGCTCTCAAGAAAGGGCTTCTTTTGAGCTTACCCAAGGGGCGATACTGTATTTGCTGTGTGGAAAATGGTCCTGGACGAATACCTAGCTGCCTTCATGTAGAATCCATATTGTACATGTATTATTTTGTTAGTACAGAACTTAATGCTTTACTAATAATGTGGTGATGGTATTTCTTTTTATCTCTCTGCTCTCAGTGAATATGAAGACCTAGAGGATCATTTCCGATCTGATCACTATCTCTGTGAAGAAGACCAATGCCTGAATGAGAAGTTTGTGGCAGCTTTCCGTAGTGAAATAGATCTCAAGGCTCACAAGGCTAAGCGTCATGCTAGTAAGATGACCAAGATCCAAGCTAAACAGACTAGGCAGGTGGATGTAGAGATCAACCTACCAGCTAGACAAAGAGAATATCAACGTGGACCTAGAGATGGTAAGTTCAATGATAGCAAGAACCAAAATACAATCAAATATATATATGTGTCCTAATGCTTCAATGGAAAGTCTATAGAGTGGTGAAGTGTGACGTCATCAAAAATCTATTCTTGGAATTTCTCAATTTTTTCTTCATTTTCCGAAAGAGCATCAAAAATAATGTACAAATGTTGAAAACCAATTGAATATGTAAGTATAGGCTTAGATATGACCATCTGAATAATAGATTTCCTATAGGAACTCATAACATTACGGGCCAGAGCAATGTAACACTGACTTTAGCCCTGCAGCCAATACATGATTCACTAAGCAGCATGTGCCCTTAAAACGACAAAAGTGGTCCCTAAATTCTTTGATAAGTCAGAAAATGTTTGGATAAAACGGCCTATTCATAGTTGTATTGTTTATCCGTTATTGTAAAAGGACAAACAACATTTGTGTATGATATTTTTTTTGTCGGCATATGTCTTTGTTGGTGAAGAATCTTTGAGGTAAATGTAAATTAAGTCATTGAATTTAAAACAAAACAAGTATTATATCAAGGAATCCTTCTCAAATACAGAACTACATTTTCGCATAGATTTCTCTTGTAGAAGCCTTTACCTACCTGTAAAAGCAATATCTTTTTTAAAGTGTGAAATACTTCTCTATTCACTTATTTCTGAGGATTTGGAATATGACTATTGAATATTATTCTTTGTGTATTTTAGGTGCTTACGGGGGAGGAACCAGAGGTGGCAGAAACAGATATCAAAGAGACAGGTAATATTAGTCGCACCAGAGAGTTACAGACGGTGACAGTCCTTTAGCCCTTTACTTAGTCTGTAGAGCTGCTAACCACTGATTTGGGCTGTAACACCCAGCCAGTCCCTTCACTCATTCATTATCATTTATTAAAGTCGATATTTTCCCTCTTATGAGGGGTCACTGACTTTCGATGAAACTCCCTCCCCTCCTCTTTTCCTTGTCTTGAGCATCCTCTACATTTAGACCAATCTTACTACTTTCTTTCTTCACCAGATATTTGCATGAAATCTTTGGTCTTCCTTTCTCTCTTAACCCATCTACTTCCAGGTCCTACACTCTTTTTCACGGGTTTATCATCTTTCCTTCTCAACACATTACCCACCCATCGTAATCCACTTTTTATTACCATTTCCACCAGATTCTTCCAGACCCAGCCTTTCCAAATGTTAACAAATTTTGTGAATTTTTAAGAACTACACATGCAAGTAATGTGTCTTTTGTTTCCTTCAAATAATATATATTCCTTTTCTATCTTCAACATTTTGTGTTTTATACATGCACTTAATATTCTTCTGATCAGAACTTTCAATTTAACCTTAGGGTTATGGCTGCTTAGTAGCTGTACCCATAAGTCATTACTACTGGTAAACACTTATAAATATTTTGGTTGGCCTTCTGAAGGCAACAGTAAGGCAGTTCTTTTCCTCGATGCTCCATTTAGGGGTTGATCCAGGGGGGCCATCAAGACGCCCCCCCCCCCTTCCCTCCCCCTCCTCAATTGAGTAAAAACAAAATAGAGCTCCATACCCCTCCAGGCCCCCTTTTTGTGCCCCTCCCTCGCCCCCGGCTGGATCCGCCCCTGGCTCCATTAAATAGGTTTAATGACCTTGTAGTATGGAGAAGTAAGTGTATCAGTTTGCAAAATAAAAAGAAGACAAAAATATGTCTGTATGTTCTCAGTTTATGAATGTGATCTGCTTTCCATACCTTGTCCCTGCCCCTTTCACACTACACCCTTATACTTGCAATGTGTGTAGCATTGCAGGTTTTCAGACAAGTTTACCTCTCAACCTAGCTCTAAAGTTGTTAGGCCAAATGCATGTTCAGAGCTGCCAACCTTGTACGACCAAAAAAAGGAATTTCAAGCCCAAAATAGGAATTCATAAAAAGGAAACTTACAACCACGTGCGACACACTTCCAATGCAGAAATGTTCATTCATCATGCTGTTTTTTCCATACAAGCAGGTAACTTTGTTGGTGGTTATTTTGGTATTATCGGCATTTCATTTTTTTAAAGAATATTTTTCTCTTCAAGTATGTTTTAAAATTAGTTTTCTATTGAATTTGTGAACAAATCACCATTTTAGGGCAGTTGTTTGACGTGTGTTATGTAAAAAATAAAAAAAATTATTAAAAAAATTATTAAAAAACGTATTTTATGAAGAAAAAACGTAATACCGTAATTTGGAGGAAAAAACGGATCAATTCCAGCAAACACGGAATGGTTGGCAGCTCTGCATGTTCCTTATGATGAAAGATTCATGGATTTGATATGACTGTTTGAGAGTGCAGTTAATTGGTGTTGTAGATGGTGATATTTATTGCTATGTCACACTTGTCTCTTTGTTCCCTACTTCCAGAAAAGAGAGAGACACGGAAATGGCAATAGAGGCATCCCTGGAAACGGCACAGAAAGAAGAAGTTAAACGAGATAATGAACGGCGTGATGAACGGAAAAAGAAAATGGTTGTTCAACCTCAAAAAGAGGAGAGGAGAACTCGTGTGATAGAGCGTCGAAGACCAGATTCACCGGTAGAAGCCATACAGCCAAAAAGAGAGACTAAAAATAAATTTAAAGTTGAAGAAGACAAGGAAAATGAAGTTTTAAAGCCTGGTGGTGCCATTGATCCAATATCTAACAGAGATTCTTATGCTACAAATATAGCCAAGAAAGCGCCAGATTTAGCTGACTTTCCAACATTGGCTGTACCAGGTCAACCTTTTCAGATGGGAGGAAGGTGGAGTACCGCACCTCAGCAGACAGAAGCTGATTTCCCTTCTCTAGGAAATGGAGATGGTGCTATTAAAAATGCTCCTATGAATGTTGCTGCATCTTTCGGGTTTTACAACTCATTACATGGCAACAAAGCACCCAGCTCATTACATGGCAACAAAGCAGCTCCTGCAACATCAACAGTAGAAACTAGCCGAACAGCCTCTCCGGGAGCTGATGATGATGCTGAATTTCCCACTCTGAGTTCAATTGCTAGTTTGCTGGGTGGTAACCAGAAAAAGAATAAAAAGAAGAAAAATATTAATAAAAAGCCCCAAGCTCAATCAGCAAGTCAAGACCCTAAGGTTATGAATTACAGATCTGCAACAGAGAGCAGTGGTAAGGAGAGTAAGAGGGAGAAAAGCAGTGCTGGTGCAAAGATGGAATCTACAGTACAGAAGCCAGCAATGTCTGCTCCTTCCCAACCAACAACAATAATCCGTTCTAAGGCCCCTTCAGCGTCTTCAGATTCATCTAGTGCACGACCACCTCCAGGCTTTGCAGCTTTTCCTGCTCTGTCATCCTCCAGTGTCCCACCTCCTGGTTTCTCTTCATCTTCTGCTGTCCAGCCTCCTCCGCCTGGTTTCTCTTCTGCAGCTAACTCTGCAGCATCAGGACCTGAATTCGTTCAGGCTCCCAACTTCAAGCAGCAGAATCGCGACCTCGTCGCCAAGATTCAAGGCTTCTGTTTTGGTGACCCCAGGTTGTTTGGTCAGTTCAAACAGGATTCTGGGGAGTTCCGTCAGAACATGATCCCTGCTCAAGAATACTACCGGCGCTGCATGCAAACTCTTTCAGAAGAAAACTTCCAGAGTGTCTTCAACGAGTTAGTCGCTCTTCTTCCAGATCTTGCGAAGCAGCAGGAACTCCTAGCAGCTCACAACAGCTACAAGGCTTCCAAGTCAAAGTCCAAGGCACCGAAAGACACTGTCTTGAAGATCAGCAACACTAAGCCGCCATCAAAGTCAGGTTCAAAAGCATGGAAGTCAACAGGTAAAGGGGAGAGTAGCAGTATCTGCTCTGTCTGTTCTCAAATTGTCCTTGCAAGAGATCTAGCTGAACATATGAATGTACATGAAGAATATCCTGCTTTGTCATCTGGCAGATCATCTGGCAGACCCGCCCCTACTGCCCCTACGTGGGGTGCTCCAACATGGGGCAGGGGAAAGTAAATATCCTTTGATGGACTCTGTATGTCAGTCTAAAGAGGTATCTGCATGTATCTATGGATTACACTTCTTCTAAAGATTTGACAGTTTGTTCAGCTTTACTTTTTTATTTAATCTTATTTTAGTTTTCGCACCAATTTTTTTTCATGATTTGCCATGGTTTTTTAATTTGTATGTAGTCATTTTACTTAATCATCTACATTATATACACCATAAGAGAAGGTATCTGTAATCTTCATATTTTTGTTTTATGCAATTAAATTGTATTAAATAATATTACAAAATGCTCTATTTTTTTTGTCACAAACACATGTCATGTAGATGATAACATTTTGATGATAGTCTGTTTGAAACAACTTTCTTGCCGATTCGGTTTAGTTTAACAAATATTGTACATGTACATGTATGTATATGACTTGGCACAGTCCACTGCTCTGATTTGTATGCATCATCTTACTCTTCACTTCATTTTATATCAGACACTTGAGCTGGGGGGGGGGGGGGGGGGGTGTTTCACAAAGACTAAGATGGACTTTAAGTTAGACTTAACTATGGCAGGCCGTTCATGCCACTGTTTGCTATCAACATTTACTGACATTGGTGACGTACAAATCATGGTCACAAATCTACAGAATTTACTCTTTTTGATAATTCATTATTGAAGGAAAAAATATTATCTAAAGATCATAATGGTTAGAGCAAACAGTGGCATGAATGGCTCCCCTGTTAAAATAGCATTTGCCAAAGGAGAAGAAGCATGTATTATCTGCTTTTAAATGATATTCTTTTACAATTTTGATCAGTGTTGGGAATTTCATTGTGCTAAAAAACTGATTGTAATGCTCATATAGTCTGGCTGGTGTGCTTTAAAGATACTACCGGTATGTCCCTTTTGCAGCCGTCATCAAATTCTGAAAAACTTTGCAGGAATTATGAATATGTCATGTATGTCCTATCTGTGAAATTTAAATGTTACATGTAGCAGTGTCCTTTATTCAAATTATTCAGGGAAACCCATTTACTTTCTAGACTGTCAGACACTATTGAGTGACTGACTGACATCTTTTTATCTTTGGTAATAGGGCAGGTCCAAGCTATTTGGATTGTGATCTACAGGACATTCAGAGACTTTAAACAAGAAATAACAACAGATGAAATTATTTATATGGCTATCTTTTGGTATGAGTCTGTGGCTATTATGGGCTAGTTCATTTGTGGAAAGTTTTAGTTCTGACTAATTTTTAAATTAATTAATGTGCTGTGTGACGTATAGGACGCTGCATGCATTTTGAAAGAAGTTCTAAATTTGTATTTTCTTTCAAATGCCGTTGGAATTCAACCTTTTCATTTTGGGGGTCTGCAAATGGGACATGGTACCGTTAAGCTTTTTTTTTCTCCACTACAATATTAGCTTCTGTACAGAATACCCCACCCAATCAGTACAGTGGATTAGGGTCAAGATCAGGGTTAGGGTTAGAGTTGGGGTTACTTGTGTCATGGACTGATGGTGGTAGATCTGTAGTTGTAATAGCTAGCCCTGGGTAGTGTATCTCCTATTAGACCCATGAGAGAACAAAGTAATCAGGTTGAAAATTGTTTGGATCTTTTGATTTTCTCGTGTTGCTCTTTTTCTTTTGGAAAACGTGTATTTTTATGTAGATTAGAATCAATTCAGACTTTTTATTTTTCTTCTCTCCATCACTTTGTTTGCTTGTGATAGATGTGCAATGCTAGTTGCTTTGATTACAGACCTTTTAGGCATTGTACACCGGACTACTTCCCTACTTTTTCTCAGTATGTTTACAATAAGTTGATGCGATTAATGTCGAGGTAGATGTAGTTATTTAAACTTGAAAACAAATTTTAAAATCTAAGTTTCCTATTTTAAATACGTGTGTATTACGGATAAAATAAAAGTTATATTGCTAGATTTATAGTATATCTTCGTGGAAATACGTAAATGTGTGTTGACGTGAAGAGTTATTGTAGGAAAGGATCTGTTGTGTAAATTTGGATGTATATTTAAAGATTAAAATGAACATGGATTTATTATAAATGTTGTTGATAAGAACCAGGTGCATTCTTTGCTTGCATGTGGCTTCAGTTCTCTGTTTGACATCGGTGATACATGATTATGATACACAGACCACAAGGTGGCCTGTACTTCAATAGTAGAAAAAAAACATATACTTTTTATCATGAAGCAATCTTGCTCGTAACCTTATAATACCTGGAGATGGATGTCTTTGCAGTTAATATGTAAGCTGCTAGGTCTGCAATTATGCTAAATTATTGTTTTACTAATTTATCATTATACCAATATCTTTTTTCTTTATTTCGGTGCGGGGGGGGGGGGGGGGGGGGGTTAAGTATTGTAAACAAAGTATGAATTCATGTTTAGCTTTACATATGACACAAATTAAACAAAATGAATACTATACCAGCATATAGTAATGTTCACATGTATAAGCAACTATTTTTTTGTAGCTCTCTGTATGTGAAATGTTATCTGTGGTGTGTATCGTTTTATTGTTACCGATAATTAAACACAATTTAAAAAACAAAACAGAAAAGAAAATTTAGCCTTTGTTGTTGTCCTCAGATAGTCATCTTACGTGTGAGTACTTGTTGCTTGGTGAGTCCTAGTGGCATGATAAATTGAATGTAGGAACTGGGGAAGCATTTACTGGAAGGTCAATTTTTAATATAATATTTGGTAGTACATATATTCTAGATGATCAACCCTTTCTGATCGATTCCACGTTTCTTTCAGTGCAATCGCATGACCAAAACTCAACTTTATCTTTAAATATAATCACCATCTTTTCCATGATAAATCTAGATGGAAAGCCTCAAGGAGCATGGAATACATGAGACCTTAAAGATAAAGACCAGTTCTGGTCATGCGATTGGATTGTGAAAGAAACGTTGTGGAATCAATCAGGAAAGGTTGATCATCTAGCATATAAGTATTGGTGTGTACTGCAAGGTTCTGGAATCGTCAAAATGATCAGAAATTTGGCTTAGTCTTGATAAAGTTACAGTTGGAATTGAATGATTCGGGGTTTTTCTTCAGTCTGTAGTCTTATCCAAGATTCAGTTATTATTCAGTTTTCAATCGTGCTTCCTCTAAACCTTCTTCTCTTTCTATTCTTAGTTCTGCATTGTTCTTTCTCTTTATTAGCTTCTTTATCTCTCTGCATCTTCAGAACAACCATTCTGGGCTTTCTCCCACCTCCAAATTCTCTCCATGTTGTCATGTTTTGCACTGTCTTCCCTATTCTTCTCTTATTTTATTTCATCTTGATTTCTTACATTTTCTCTCTGCATAGTAAGGATATGTTGTGTGTGATTCTGCATCTTGTGTATTCATTCTTTAAAAGAATCTCTTTCCATCTATTGTTTCCTCCATCTCGCACCTTGTACTCTTATTCCCTTTTCTATCGCTTATAACTCTTTTTCAGTACCTCTCTCTCTCTCTCTCTCTATCTCCATGTGTCTATCAATCCATCTCTCTCCGTCACACATCCTTTCCTCTCCTCTCTCTCTCTCTCTATCTCCATGTGTCTATCAATCCATCTCTCTCCGTCACACATCTTTTCCTCTCCTCTCTCTCTCTTTCTCTCTCTCATTCATTTAACCTTTTTTTTCTGACCTATGCGGACTCAACTTTCAGCACAGTTATTATTCATAACAAAATGGAATTAAAGAATACATTCAAATTCATTCATTAAAAGCAACACAGAAATCATTTACTGGTCTCATCAAAACATTTAATTTTTACCAAATACTCCAATCAAATCAAATCACAAATACCCACTTATATGTTCTGTGAATGAAGTGCAAGGGAAACTGACTGCATCTAACACTGGCCAGATCTAACCAGATCAAACCAGATCTGACTCATCCATACTGGATTAGACCAGATCCTTCAACTGGACTTGCTAACCCTCATATTCACTCATTGGTGTATAAACGCCATATATTTTAGGTCATATCTTGCGCCGAAAGAATGACAATAAGCAGATAATACAAAGAACAAGGGGCAGTCTTTCTCTTAAATGGTATGGATAGATAGACTGTTGTGCAATAAGACCTTCAATTTATACAATAACCAGATGTTCCTCAAGCGTTTCATTAAAGTACATGAGAACAACAGAATGAGGATTGAAATATGAGAGCAGGAAGAGTATTTTGGAAAACATAGCATTAAAGTGCAGTGTTCTATTACAAAGCATATAGTTGCATCACAACTTTCCAGGGAAGAGGACAGTTGAAACCATGTACTTCTTATAATTTTTAAGACAAATCAAATTTTACAGAACAAGTTGTCAGGGCTGACTAGCCTTCATGTGTATTGAGTGTAACATTGATGATATCCACATGATGCACACATTGCACAATGGGGAATACTTGTCCAGTCTATAGCCCTGTGTTAAAAGGGGGGATCCTCTGGCCATCACTGCATTCGCTTGGTCATAGCCGATGATACAATATATCTGTATAATCTGAAAATGTAAGGAAAGAGGGGAAAAGAGAAAAGAGTTGAGGGAATTAATTCAATGTGCATTAGCAAAAAGAATGTAATAAAGTAATCAACTGATTAAAATGTGCAGGCAATGGAGGGGGAGGGGAGAGAAAGAGAGAGGGGTGGGGGAGACAGAGAGATGGGGAGGGTTGAGCCAAGTCTAGTATCACAGAAACCTTGTAAGTTAAACATTGCAGAAAACAAAAAATGAAGTAAACACATACAAGTGATGTAAAAACAAACTAAAGGAAATTTCACAATCATCTGTAAGTTGTCCTCTTTAATCCCATATAAATGGGCAGTTTGAATTTTACCAGAAACTTGCAATCTTAAAGGACAGATCAAGTACTGGGTAGTGATTGAATGATTGTTATTTCTACTGGATTTTCACAAAGTGATATAATTTTTACATACAACATGATTTGTGTTTAAGTCCCAAAACGAGAGCAAACATCTGCTGAGCAGCCTGTATGAACATGTGGCCAAGTCTCTTGACTATAAAGGCAGCCAAATTTCACACGGACATCAATTTATCTGATACTTACACAAAACAAGTGTCTATGTTGAATGTTAGTGCGCTACATCCAGTCTGTCGGCTACACACTCAACGACATCCTTCAGATTTAGAAGCTTCTCTGCAGTCTCATCAGAGATCTCAACTCCTGTAAAAGAAATCAAAAAATCAGTATGAAGATAATCTCAAAATCAAGTAATGAATAAGAGCGACTCAAAGTATTTAGAAAGTAACTCTTTACCGATTTCTATCATACACAAACAGAAGCAAGCAAGGAGGGTACCAGGAGGGATTTTGGAGTTGCAACTTCCAAATAGAATTCTGCATGGACCTCAAAAGTCAAATAAAGAACACCATTCAATTAGAAATGTAATGTAATGATTCTTAGTAACATGTCGACTGACAAGTAAGGTGCACAAGACAAAAAAAAATAAAAAATGAACAAGCAACAACCATCTTTAATTGGTTTAGTGTTCAACAGCGCCGTTTGAATTTTGTTAAATAAATATCAACACATAGCACCATCATGTGAAACAGATAAACCTATTATATCTTTCACCATCATACTGATATCCTGCTAGTGAAATATTGTTAAAATTGCCTTGAAAAATGCTTAAAGGCATCATTTAACAATGTTGAATCTGAGATGCACGGCCCTACATGTTATCAGTGTCTGTGATATGGTGTAATATTTGAAGCCCTAAAAGAAATTGCGCTTTAAAATGATCAAAAAGTGCTTTAAAAAAGTAAAAATCTTTGAGTGACCGGTTTTACCATACACGTTTTCCCCAGTAGACTGTAGTGTTATGAAAACCGTTAGTCAAACGCAAAATCTGGTTTCTGTTTCCAATCATAAATATCTTGATAATCTGACAGGTGATTGGCTTGTAAAAGTAATGGGGTTTCTGACTGACCTAAAGGTTTATACTTATCATTGCAGCATGAGCAAAATCCAGGATTTTGTTTCAGAATCTGAGACAAAGTTACTGGATCCCTTTAATAATATACTTGTAGATTTTGAGTACATGTACATGTATGTATGCTTTGACTAAACAAATTCATCAACCTAATATTCTTACAGTGAATTTTGTTGATAACATCGGTATGTGATTTTACCAGATTTTTTTAAATGTATTTTTTCTGTATAATTATATCGATGATTGTACTTAACATTTCTATATAATTCTCTATATCGCCATGTAATTTGAATGCTAATGTTCATTCTTATCTTGTATATAGTATAAGTTTGTACTAGTATACTCTGCAAACCATGTTCTTTAATAGACCATATTTTTAATTGCATTGAATAAATTTAAGAATTGAATAAGAATTCATCAAAATTTTGTGGTTCAAAGAAGAGAGAGGAAGAGAGAGAGAGAGAGAGAGAGAGAGAGAGAGAGAATGAGAGCCATGATATTTCAGATTTTAACTTACCAAATTCATCCTCCATAGCCATAATCACTTCCACTGCATCTAAACTATCCAATCCAAGATCCTCTGCAAATTTGGATTCCAATGACACCTATAAAGTATAAAAACATACAAAATGTTTCAATACAATGTACAGACCTAGGCATACATTTAAGGCATACAGTACAATATATTGTATGTTCCAGTGTATGAAAAATTGATTTAATATGTTAGTGCTGTAGCTCGGAAAGCCTACCAGGGAAGAGGTGAACAATAATTTGTGAGCGTCATCATTCTTATTATGCAAGTGTGGAAGAACATCAGATGAGACATGTTCCCTGAAAAGCATGGCTCTACATATGCCTTTATATTCTAAATATGTCATGTAACATCGTAAAACCCGGGGGTAGAATTTTTACGCCACATGTGCGTGTAGTCCCATATACATTTTTCTGTGTACAGTGTTTGTAGCTTTACCAAGACTGCATCTTTACAGACCAGAAAACCTCAATTCATCATGGCTCCAACAGCTCAAGTTTCTTATCATTTTGATGATTCCAGAACCTTGCAATACACACAAAGTCTTATACTGTATGCTAGATGATCAACCTTTTCTGGTTGATTCCTCACCATTTCTTTCACAATGCAATCGCATGACCAGAACTCAACATCTTTAAAGATTAAATGTAGAGAATTTGGAATGAGGTCATGAGTCAAATGGATAGAAGATGGTGAAAAAAACACAAAATATTTGTTATCTCTTGAAAAGAAGAATGGTGAAAAGAAACTGATCACCCAATTGAAAGTTAGAGGGAATAAAAATGTGGTTACGGTACTAAGCAACAGCATGTTTTAAGAGTCTAGGTCAAACGATAGTATGAAGATCTCTACAAAAGTAATTGTATTGACTCAGACCGTGTTAACGACTATGTGTTCTCACAAGAAGTGAAAGAGCTCAGTCAAGATTAAAAGGGAATGTGAGGGTTTGATGAATGTATGTAGCAGAATGCAAAAAAACTGTTGTTTCCAGGAAAAGTAAAAAAAAACACCAGGAATATCTCTATCAAATTCTATCAAGTTTTTTGGGATGAGGGAGCAATTATGTTGGTTGATTTCACCATGGACTTAATACGGATGGACATTCAACGTGATTCTTTCTTTGATCCAATCATAGTCGCCTCTTCTGATTATGTGCATCTTAATGAGAACATTCAGCTGTTTTAACAATAACGACTGCGTAAGCATTTTCGGTCATTGACAAAGAAGCAGTTTCCCTCTCTTGGGTTTTGTTTGGATGGTGTGCTCTGTAAGAGTGTGTCTTAAATAAAAGCATCCTCAATGGGGAGCAGCAAAGTTGAAAAGCAGACGATTTTGGTGATATGAAATGTATTAATACTGATTCGCAAACTTTCGCACACACCTATGACCTAATAAAACAATTAGAAGGCCATGATCTGTATCAGCCATGTGCGTTGTAACTCTTGAATATTATGAGGAAATAGGGGGAAACAGGATTTTAAATCACAACCAAAAAATCCAAAAATAACCTCTATCTGGTAATATCAACATGTTTTTCAAAAAAAATACATGTACAGTACACGGAACAACGATTTCCGAGTAAAAGCCAGAACTGCACATCTATTTTCCATGATTTAGGCGAGTAATTATCTTCTGCGCATGTAGATTAACATGTGTAAAATCACTATCTTGATTCTGTCCCGGCTTTTTGCCGGCGACCATGATGAGACCAAAGGGAAGAAACATGTACGGAATGTTATTGAGACGACATTGACGGAGACAATCACAATGAATTCGTTAAGAAAACGATGAATGTCCATCCCTAATAGATCCATGATTTCACCAAAGCTTTTGATTCCATTGAGATGTTTGAAAAAGTTAAATTTTGGTAAGGAATTCCGGAACTGGGTCACACCAGGTACTTGTAAATGGCCGGATATCAGAGCAGTTTCAAGTACAGAGGGGAATACGTCAAGGCTATCCCCTCTCGCTTTCAGCACTTTTGTTTGTCATTGCAGCTGAGTTTTTTGCTGACAAGATATGTAAACATGATCATATTAAAGGTGTATGTTTCAACAAAATCAGTGGACATTTTGAGTTAAAGAAAATACAGTATGCTGATGATACAGCTTACTTTGTGGGTGATGTCGGGTCATTAGAAGTAATTTTAAATGAATTAGAAGAATTTGAAAAAGTGGCAAGTCCTAAAATAATGTGTTACTTGCTCTGTTCGGGTTACCAGACCTTTACAGATCCCGTTTATAAATTTGAAAAATTGCCGGGCCAGGCCCGGTTTGGGGTTCCAGCTACAGCACAACAATATGTGATTTATAGATAATTCTACAAAATAAGAAAGAATTAATCGTTATGACACTAGGAAGAGGGAGGAACATTCGTATGAAATATATTACAAATACAGTTCATGAATAGTGAGAGTGTGACCACAAATTAACCAAAATAAAAGATTTACATGAACTGTAGTATCCTTGACAATGGGTGGTAGCATTTTGAGCTCATAACAGGACATGTCAAAAATAGGATGAAAGCACTTGACTACACAGTACACCATGTACTGTACATGTAAAGATGTGCAAAGGACAATGTGTTCTATCCCCTTTTTTTAAAGAAGTTGCCCTCACACAGAATCCTTATTTTATAAAAAAATTCTCTCTCATTTTTTACAGTTACATGAAACCAAAAATGGGAAATGGTTTTTACACCCTCTCCCTTGGGCAGTTAGTATTCAGCTAAACCTGAGATATTACAGCAGTAAAGATACTTACCTTTTCAGGGTCCACCTTGTCGAACAGTTTAAGGACTAGAGTACATCTCTCCTGGATACTAGTAATGGTCATCTCAGCAGCTGATCCATAATGACGCACTGACCTGGTCAACTGGAAGACAATCATGGTCAGTCAAGGGGTTAATGTGTCTTACAGTGTACATTGCACACAATTTTTTTTCTTCTCAGTAAAATGCATTTCTATTTTCTAATTAGTATAATCTCAATCTGTCCTGAAGATAACTTGAACCGAGTTTCAAAAAGGCGGTGCATTAGACATGAAACTTGAACTTTCTGGTCATTCACCTGGTCATCCTAATTTTTCGGTGAATACGTCCTTGACCACAAAATATCACACATCACGTGATATGTTGCAAGTCACGGTGCTACGAATTTTACTTTACTCATCTATGGTACATACATGTCGATTCATGATACAAGTTTTGTTATTTCAACACTTCTATCTTACACTGACAACATTTTCGCCTTCTCATTAGATCTAGTTTCAAATTTTTTACTTAATATTTGATAATGCTGATATCATTGCCAAGCCAGATATGGCTTAATTTGCCTTCAGGTATTTCCCTGATCTCTTTTTATTTCTAATCGCTAATTTTTTTCTGCAGAGCCCTGAAGAAAAAGAACATCAGCAAAAATGTAGAGGATCCTGATTTTTTAGGATGCTATTTGTCAGCGTTTATGAGGATATCCTCGTTTAGGACAATTCTCATTAATAATAATAATAATACATTTTTTTAAAGGAGGAAGACTCGACGTTTCGACTCGAGTCCGATGCTCAGTTCAGTGAGTAGATCTAGAGACAATTTTTTTTTTTTTTAACTAAAGCCTTACTTAGCCTTCTTAGTGTAAGGACCCACACAAGACAAAAGTGAGTGCCATGTGCCATGTGTGCTGGGTTGAATAGCTAAGAGATAAGGAAGTGTGTGTGTGTGTGTGTGGTGCTATAGCAGGTAATGTGCATGAGGATGAATGAATAGGGACAGTTGTTGTTGTTGTTTTTGTTGTAATGGCAATCAGTCAAGACCTGACTATTATCACCAACGCCTTTCTTTTTAATATTAATTTCTTTCTTTCTCTTTTTTTTTAAATAGAGTATCAAAAATAAAAATTAAATAGAGTAAAAGAGCCGGTAATCGGCCAGCTCCAGTTTTCGGCCGATTAGTTGGATGCAAGGTAAAATCACTCTAAAATACATTGCATAATAGTAGGGTGTCTGAACGATTTTTCAATTTTCAATTTGGGATCGTTTTTCACCATTTTTGTTTGATATTTGAATAAAAGATGTTATCAGAATAATACATTTCAAATTTCAAGTCTCACCGATGTTTCTATCAAAAGTTACAGCCCCTCCAAAACGCTGGTATATTCATATCATTTTGGTCAAAATCGATGAAAAAGACGTCTACGCAGAGTGATGTTGTTTTGCTAAATTTAGCCAAACAGCTGTATCGCGCGATATGCAAGCGTATGCATATCGTACGCATGCTGCTAAGCCAATCCGCGACTTGCAGCTTGAGCTACGCTGTCTCCGCGACATGTGCCATTGACTAGTATGGTTGGCGTTCGTCGCACAATAAACCCGGAAGTGAATGCACGTTATAGTCAATGGCAATATCGCGGAGATGTCTCCGCGATATTGCCATTGACTATAACGTGTATTCACTTCCGGGTTCTATGCCGCGAATGGCCACCCATACTTGAATTTGGGGTTTCGTTCGTGCGCGGAGATGTTACGCGATGTAACCATGGTTTGGACTGAGCGGAGCGCACGCCCCCTAATTAGCTGATCCACCAAATAGCGAGAAGGGTATTTTTAAACTGTTATCAGTTGTGATCCCTGGGGGCTAGCGAAAATATAAGCACATAGAATTGTTCCTTAGGACTGGGACTACTTATCGATCGGGGCGTCATATCTCAAAAGTGACAAACCTCAGAGTTAGCCAGGACACAATGTTTCAATTGCTGTTTTGACCAAGATATTTTTAGAATTTCGGGGGCTACGCCCCTTTAGAAATATTGGAATTTACCTGCTCTTTCATATGACACCTCATTTATTGATTATCACCTTCAGGATCACAACAGATAAAGGTTTGAATCTCGAATTGAAAAAAAAAAATTGACTTTTTTTGCATGGTCGCGCAATGCACGTAGACTGCATAGGGATGCGTGTAATCTCTATGGGAAGAATTTTAGCACACAACATCGGGTGCGCGATCAGACACCCTAATAATAGCATAACACATATCCCACACATACCATACCATGCCAGTGTCACTGAAGAACCACATTTGCAATGGAAAATATATCCTAAAATATCACATTTTAGCGATGTAATCGCTGGTCCCGCTACCCAAATCTGAAAAATCGAGTATCTTACGCGTGTCTGTAAGAAATATGGGTACCATAAAATGAGCTTTATTTAAAGTATTTTTCAGATTTAGAGCCCGATTTTGTGCTAGTCGCAAGCTCAAAAGTATCTCATCGCATGTATTAAATCAATGCAGCCGCACACCGCGACGCACACACGATATCTCTGTCTAATTCAGATTCCAACTTCCGATCACCGCTGTGCCTGTCTTCGGCCAGGCGAGCACCAGGGAGCTCCGGCGTGGGATACCTGCTCCGCCCGCTTGTGCTGTACATCAGCGCGGAAACGCACGGCGCGCGCGAGCGCTTCCTATTGACTTTGTACATGCGGCCGTAAACTGAAACGCTCGGCCGATAACTGGCTCCAAAACAGTGAAAATTGAAATGAATATTGTCATGGCAATTCGTGATTTTTTTCTGGGATTCTTTTTTTGTTTAAATAATAATATTTGCTTCATGATTTGAACAAGAAATGATAATAAATAGGAAGTAAAGAGTCCTAAAAATAGGATTTTGTCTTAAGTGGCCGAAAACGGGCTCCTTTACTCTATATTATAGGCTTCTCTCTATTTTCTTTTTCTTCTTTTCCCCTTTAAAATGAAATGAAAGAGAAAATAGTCTAGATGAAGAAAAAAAATTTAAAGAATAAAAATAGATCTAGATCTACGACAAAATGTAGATTTTTGAATCCTGAACAATAGAACTTAAAAGCCAAGACTAAGAGCTAGCAGACATGAGAGAATGAATGTAGGTCAGGAGTGCGCTGAAGCATATCGGAGTGGAAAGCTAAATGTGCTGCGCTGGTCCTGATCTGTCGCCTATCGCCTGGCCTTGTAAGACCGATGTGAAATGTACGCTCTCTACGTATACACTTACCGCATAGGCCTAGTGTTCTGCCATAGACATTGCATGGAGCGAAATCAATCAGAATACCATCGACCATGCACTGATCTGATGCAGCAAGCTATGGCCTGGCAAAGCGCGAGCGCAAGCGCAAGCGCAGGCCAGCAGATTTGTTTGAATAGTTATTATTTACCTCTGTAATTCTCTGTTGAAGATTATTCTGGTTGCATTTTGAAGTTCCTAAACCCTGCTGCAAAACTGCAAATGATGAACTCCGGGTGGCAATGCTTCGAATGTGCTGAATTCTGGCAAAATTCTGAATACTTGAAAGAACACGGAGCCTGCACAGTGACGCCATGATTGCTGATATGAACGAGAATGAGAACGAGAACGAGAATAATTATTATGGAAGGATGAAAGAGAAAAAAGAAAGGAAAAAACTATATCTATTATGAAAAGAACTTGTCAGTAAACATTGTCATAGAAGGGTTGTTTTGCGGAGTTTTCACCCAGGGGGGTCACTCTCATACACAAACAGGGGCGTCTCCTAAGGGGGGGGGGTGTGGGGTGCGACACCCCCACCCGTCAGGATATTGTCGGTAAAATTGCGCAGCCGTCGGGAAAAAAAGAGAAAAGGGGGAGGGAAAGAAAAGAAAAAAAGAAACTAGGGAAAGAAAAGAGTAGAAAGAAAGAGAAAAAAAGAAAAAGAGGGAGGAGAGGAAAGAAAGGAAAAGAAAGAAAAGGAAAAAAGAAGAAAAAGGATAAAAGGGAAACAGCTAGAAACGGGGAATGAAAGAGAGGAGAGAGTCGGAGAGCTAGGGGAGGTAAGAGTCTGAGAGAGGAGGAGTGGGAGTAAAAGAGAGAGAGGAGGTTGTTGGGTGGAGTGGTCGATCTCGTCGAGGGAGCAAGAAAGACACGGGTAAATATTATGTTGCTATGTCGGGTCAGCTGTGTCGGTATTCTTGCTCGATCTTCGTGTACTATATCAATGCAGAATTTTGAAGTCAGGTGAGATGTATATTGTCGGTCGGCCGACAAGTTTTTTTCGCTATGAACTGTGACTTTTATCCACTTCGAGTGACTACAACTACAATACTTGTATTTTCTCGAAATTTCACTTTCCTATAATATCAGTTAAAGAAATCAGTTTTAAAATTTTCGGGGAAACGAAATTCAAAGAATTAGGATTAAGAGTCAATAACGGTACGACGAATCGTCTTCCTTTCTCTATATTTTGATGAAACGCCAGAAATTCCGCGCTTCGCGCTGGAGGGGAAAACTTCATTTAGACGAGTTGAGAACGACGTTCCACGGATCGTCTTCTTTCTCTAATAATTTAAGGAAACGTCTAATTAGCTTTTGCGATTCGCGCGGGAGGGGGGGGGGGGGGGGGGAACTGAATTTAGATAAGAATTAAGAGTCGAGAACAACTCACGAATCGTTTGCTTTCTCTTATAATTTAAGGAAACGTCAAAGATTCCGCGATTCGCGCGGGAGGAGGAAACTGAATTCAGACGAAATGAGGGTTAAGAGTCGCGAACTACAACGAATCGTCTGCTTTTTCTCATAATTTAATGAAACGTCAAAGCTTCCGCGATTTGCGCGGGAGGGGGGGAAACTGAATTCAGAGTCGAGAACAGTACAACGAATCGTTTGCTTTTTCTCATAATTTAATGAAACGTCCAGGCTTCCGCGATTAGCGCGGGAGGGGGGGGGGGGGAACTGAATTCAGATAAGGATTAAGAGTCGAGAACAGTACAACGAATCGTTTGCTTTCTCTCATAATTTAAGGACACGTCAAAGCTTCCGCGCTTCGGGCGGGAGAAGGGAAACTGAATTCAGACATAATTAGGGAGGGGAAAACTTCATTTAGACGTATCGAGAACGGTACCCTTTGGACCCCTTTGCAAAAAACAGCTTATAGCTGACAAGGGTAATCCACCCCATGAGTGGAGAATAAATAAATAAATACAACAGACCGTCTTCTTTCTCTAATAATTTAAGGAAACGTCAAAACTTCTGCGGTTCGCTCTGAAGGGGGAAACTGAATTCCGACAATTAGGACTTATTAAGAGTCGAAAACGGTACAACGGATTGTCTTCTTTCTCTAATAATTTAAGGAAACGTCCGAGCTTTCACGATTCGCGCGGGAGGGGGCAAAACATGAATTCAGATAAGGATTAAGAGTCGAGAACAGTACAACGAATCGTTTGCCTTTTATCATAATTTAATGAAACGTCAAAGCTTCCGCGATTCGCGCGGGAGGGGGGGAAACTGAATTCAGATAAGGATTAAGAGAGGAGAACAGTACAACGAATCGTTTGCTTTCTCTCATAATTTAAGGACACGTCAAAGCTTCCGCGCTTCGCGCGGGGGGGGGGGGGGGGGGAGGGAAACTGAATTCAGACAAATTAGGGAGGGGAAAACTTCATTTAGACGTATCGAGAACGGTACCCTTTGGACCCTTTTGAAAAATAGCTTATAGCTAACAAGGGTAATCCACCCCATGATCGAGTGGAGAATAAATAAAGTTTTCAACGGATCGTCTTCTTTCTCTATTATTTTAAGGAAACGTAAACACTTCTGCGGTTCGCTCTGAAGGGGGAAACTGAATTCCGACAATTAGGACTTATTTAGAGTCGAAAACGGTACACGGATCGTCTTCTTTCTCTAATAATTTAATGAAACGTCCGAGCTTCCGCGATTCGCGCGGGAGGGGGGAAACTGAATTCAGGCAAATTAGGATTAAGAGTCGAGAACAGTACACCGAATCGTCTGTTTTTTCACATAATTTAATGAAACGTCAAAGCTTCCGCGCTTCGCGTGGGAGGAGGGAAACTGAATTCAGACAAATTAGGGTTAAGAGTCGCGAATGGTACAACGAATCGTTTGCTCTCTCATAATTTAAGGAAACGTCAAAACCTCCGCGATTCGAATTCCGACAATTAGTAAGAGTCGAAAACGGGAAAACGAATCGTCTTCTTTCTCTAATAATTTAATGAAACGTCAAAACTTCCGCGCTTCGCGCTAAAGGGGGAAACTGAATTTAGATAAGGATTAACCCTTACTGTACTGGGGGGGGGGGGGGAGGCCCCCCTCGACATTTTCGGAGATTGCGCCGCAACCGCTCGGAATTTTGAATTGTCGTTTCATGACTTTTTTCCCTCAAGTCTTGAGCACATTTTGATACCATTTTCGTCGAAATCGGATATACCTGTAAGGTGTTACATAACAATTAGTATGCGCATGTCATCAAAAAAGTGCTATAATTGCATATTCATGTACAAGCAGAAATGTGAAGATATGAATTGATATCAAATTGCTTTTATATGTTTCTCAAAGTAACTTGATGTATTTCAGAACAAAAGAATACATTAGAAATAAAACAATAGATATAATAAGAAATAAAAAACATTAAAATACATAAGAAAATAAATAGTTGAAAATCGCATCAAATTTGCATAAATTATCATTATTAATTACTTCAAATAACTTTTATGTGTTAGAAAGAAGTTTCAAATGAATAATGAGTTTCAATTAACATTTAAAAAGTGGAGTCTGACAATTTTGTAATGATTCTCGTTCCCTATATATATTTCCAGATTTGATATTTATGAATGCGTTTCATAATTTATGCAAATTCACCTATGCATTTTCAAATATCATAAAAATAATGACACCTCATGAATTTGAGATGAAGGAAAAATTTATTCAATACATTTTTAAGATTCTTCACAAGTCTATGGACAAATATGTAGAGTTTTCTGTAAAATGCATAAAATTAGCATTTTGCATAATTAATTAGGCTATAACAACAAAAATATATTAGGAACAAACTAATTATACCATCTTGTTCCTTACGTATGCAAATTTTCGCGTTCATCGGACAATTCGACGGCCGAGATCATAGGGTGGGGGCCTTGGAGGCTTCCCCCCCCCACTTTTATTTCTTTTATTCAGTGAAAAAAATACACGGTGGCTCGAGGCGAATTAGCCCCCGAAATGCCTAAAAGAGCCCCAAAAATCAGAAAAGAGCCCCTATAAATGTGCATAGAGTTCAATGCAAAACGAATCGTAGAATGTTATTTTCATGCAGGCAAGCTTAAAAAGTAGCACCCGAAAAATAAATATTAATTTTTTCTCTGCTCCCCCCCCCCCCCCCCCCCCCCCCCCCCCCCCCCCCCCCCCCCCCCCCCCCCCCCCCCCAGTCAGAGAGTGCTCGAAATAGCCCAGAACAGTAAGGGTTAAGCCGAATCGAGAACAGTGAACCGCGAATCGTCTGCTTTTTCTCATAATTTAATGAAACGTCAAAGCTTCCGCGCTTCGCGCGGGGTGCTAGCACATGTTTGCTGTAAAGCCACGCCTCCAAACGATTGCGAAATATGGCAATCGCAGTGCAAGCTTAAAGGTAATACAAAGTTTTGTGAAATTTTGAAAATTGGGTGGATAGTGAATCTTTACAACTTTGATATATTTTGATGCCCCTGTGGATGTATTATAAGCACTAAAAAAATTAGCCCCTAAAACACTTCTTTTTTCGAGAAAAATTGAATATACAAATTTACCGGTGCTCCCGGTAAATTTTGATAAATTTCAAATAGCGCCTATGGCCGTACAATGGTAGCTGCGACCATGAAAATCTCAGAATATGTAGGGTCTAGTTGAGATATATAATTTCCAAACGGGAATAGCTAAACGGTCGATTTTGGTCAAGAAACATTGTTTCATAGCTAAATTAATATCTTGACCTTGAGAGGGAGATATAAAACATAAAAAGTTTATTATTTATAATTTCATAACTTTAGACTCGATTTCAACCGCGACAACGATCAATGTATACGGTATTGTAGGAACGCATATGCTTCCAATATGTTAATTTGAATCAAATTCATGTCCCCATACCAAAACTTTGTAATACCTTTAAACGCGCGTTCCATACTGCAATACAAATTCTTCATGATCTTGCCGCAAATGCTGGGTACAAATAATGGACAAACTTGTGAACCAGTTCTTTGAGATGATTCCACTTCGACAGTGCAGTTGGGTGAGAGAAATAGATCTTTTAAGCATTATGGCCTTGGCTTGGTGATAATATTAATATTATCACCAAGTCCAAGGCTGCAAGCCTTGATCGAATAGCCAGGCGGCCAGGCCTAACTCCAGGCAGCTCCGACGCCGATGCAGACGCCTTCGGCATCGGCGTCGGAGCTGCCTGGAGTTATAGGCCAGGCTCAATCTATTTATATTTATATTATAATCATAATGCATACAGATCTACATGTAGATCATCGATTATCATCATAATTTCATCATCAATATCGTCATTTCATGATCAAAATCAATATCAGCATTATTTAATTAATTTTGTGTCTCGGCCGGAATCAGGATTTGCAAATGATTGAAAATGGAAAGATTAAACGAGAACTTACCTTAGTTTGAAGTTTGATCTCCATTTTATGAGGTAGGTGGAGTGAGAGATAATAGAGACCCCCTAGCTCGCACATGCGCAGTCAGACTTCAAATCAGTGAGGACAGAGATATCTGACTCCAAAACCACAACACACAAGTATCCAACTTGCGTTCAAAACAGTCATGGAGTCTTAAACAAAAGCATCTTGCATCCATAAACTTCAATGCTTTGTGCCAAAACACATTACCATACAATTGTTTAATAAAATTTTATCTTTCATGAATTTTTTGAGATAAAACCAAAAAAGGATGGGAGTGGAGGGCACATATTATCTCTCACTCCACCTACCTCATAAAATGGAGATGGAACTAAGGTAAGTTCTTGTTTAAGCTTTCCATTTTATTTCGCTACGGTTACGTACGAAATAATGTGAGACCTTCGAAGGAAAACTCTGGCCTCAACTCAATAACACTACATGCAAGAATGCAAAACTTGAGGGAAATTCATAAGAAAGGGCTTTAACTTACAAAAAAAATGATGTCCCTAGTAGATACATGTAGCTGGCATGTTCTTGCAAAATTCTTCATCATGCAGTCTATGCTCCAGCAAAGTTAAATAACAGGAGTGGCTTTCTCCTGGTCTACATAGAAAATGGGTGACTTTCCCAAATCAGACGGGTGGCTTTCCCAGCTCACAGATGGGTGACTTTCCCAAACACATATACAGGTGGCTTTCCTTATTTACAGATGGGTGACTTTCAAAGTTCTCAGATGGGTGTCTTTCCCAGTTCTCATTAGGCGTGTCTTCACTATCTCGAGATTGCCAAATATCCAGCTATTTGAACTATCCCGATCGAAACTATCCAGCTAATTTGCGTCTTCATTAGACTGAGAAGTAGCAAATTAGCTGGATAGTTGGTCAGGATAATATCCCAAGATATCTCGGTCTAGTTTGCAAAATATCCCACTATTTCCGAACTAGCGGGATAGTTTGGACCGTCTTCATTAGACTGAAGTACGGAGTTAAATATCCCGATCCCATCATGCACAACGATTTCCGTTTTTCCGTGTTTACTAGTTGTACTAGCGGACGCACATGCGATCTATACCACTCAGCGTGCTAGTACAACTAGTAAACACGTACGGTAAGCGGAAATCGTTCAAATAGCTGGATATTTGGCAATCTCGAGATAGTGAAGACGGGCCTATTGAATTTAACTGTCTTATTTTATATGACATCAACGATTTAGGGGGATACTTGGAATACAACCGCTCCTTCCCTTGAAGAACAACAAAGCATACTCAAAGAGGTAAATGATAATGACTCCCAGAGTTTTTCTAATTTAGTTTACTCTGCTCATACTTAGTGGTACTGTAATTAATGATAACGATAATGATAATTATAATAATAATAGTAAAAATTAGTAATGATATAATGATGATGACTGATGTTGATGACACTTTTGAAAGTACTGCCAATTGGGAAATATTTTTACAACTGCTGAATGCATGTGTAAAGGCTGCATTGACCAAGCTAATGTACATTGCACTTGTCGTAACAAGTTTCTCTGAATCCACCTGTTAGAATTCCTACTGGGAAATTTACATTTGAATAGATGTGTATTCACGTTATCTAGTACATAAGATCAGAAAAGTCAATTTTTTTCCTTCTGATTTCTATTTGATTGATGATTAGATTGTTACAATGTAACAGTTGCATTTGCAAAGCCAGACCCATGTGGGGTTCGTATTCAATATCATTTTTGATTTTGTTTGTTTGTTTAATCTGCAGACTTTGATGTCACCTGTATGCAAAGAATTTCCTCCATCACTCAAATACAGAAAACTCTTTGTGAAGCACATTTTGAAACAGGTCAGTTGACAAATGAATCGTATTCAGTGAGCTGTTCAATTTGTATGCCCCTGCCACTGAAAATATTGTCTTGTTGGCTTGATCTCGGTGTTTGTCCCTAGCACATGTTTATTTCATAAAAGTGCTATTAAAGAAATTACATGTACATCTGAAAGCTTCCGTATGCCATGGATCTTTGTTTGCTTACACCGTATTTGGAGCTGAAGATACATGATTCAAATCCCTGCCATAGCACTTAATGGCCTTTGGCAAGGAGTTTGCCACTCTCCACCCAGGTGAAGTAAATGGGTACCCAGTACAAAGAAATTCCATGAATTAATGCTCGTGCACCTTAATGGTAGTCATGCTAAAGCCAAGGGGATTGCAGGGTCCTCGGGGAGAACAGTATTAATTACTTGTGAGGCTATCCATTGTAAATGAGGCATATCAGTATTGTCATTATTTTGAAAGATCCTATCTGATGAAAATGTAATCCATTGAAAGCTGAATGAATGTAGAATATAATGGAATGAAGAAAATTCCCTATTTAGTATTGCACAAAAGCCAATTGAAACCTCATTTTCCACACCCCTCCAAATAACAGGTCAACAGGGGTCAAATTTGCAGCAGTTACAATGATGACATAACATGCGGACCCAATCGGCTCGCCTTTATAGCCGAGGTGATGAGCCGTTATAAGCACAGTCATTGTGAATATATATGTGTACTCCACATAAGATGATGTCATCAAGTTGATAGCTAGTGTTTATAGGTTGACAACTTCCGATTTTTAAAGCTCTATAGATTTCCAGTTTTCAGACAGCTGTTACTCCTCTGCCAGACACTAAAAAAGCATATAATTGATATTGTTGTAATCTTTAGCTTATAAAGTTTCCATTGATATATATTTGAAGTTGCTCAAGCGGTGGTATATCGAGGGCAGCAAACGAACGTACGCACGGGAGCGTAATTCCCATTGGCTCAGTGTTATGTAGTGATCGCCAAGTTGCCTACTTCACGAACGGCTTTATACCCACGCATGAACATCTTAAATCTATTTCATTTGTTCACTTCCAACTTGATTTTATAGTGTGAAGAGCATGATGTAGAGATTGCAGATGAGCTGTATGAGGTATACTCTACCCTGGTGGCCCAGAAAGAGGAGACTCTGGATAGATTCTTCAAGACGTACAAACTGGTAAAAAGGACATGTATGTCTCTCTGTGTGTGTGTGTGTGTGTGTGTGTAATTGGGTTTTTACAGACGTGTATCAATCAGATATGATTATTTATGTCTCGGGACCGACCTTTAACGTCACCATCCGAAAGACGTGACTCAGTTTCGAACCAGTTTGTAACTTCCATTGTTAGCTGGATTACAGGCACTTCACAACCCCTGTGACATGATGGTTAGCAGTTGATTTATAACATCATTCTCTGTGGAGAATGAAGGGAAAACCTTTTTCACATAAACTTGGCACGACTCAATTAAGTAGACCCGTACACATACTAATAACTCAAGCATTGATGGGATATTCATCCTAGCTATCTTTCTCCTGCCTGTTATGCACATGCTCATTCCCTTCAAACACCTTTACCTTACTCTCTTTTTTCAGTTCCCTTATTCCTTCAAGAATTGGATGACAACAAAATGTATTTTATAAATTTTATTTCGTTTCCATTTCCATTTTATTACAAACACACCTTGCAACCAGACCTCAATCAGATGTTGGTTTCCAAATGAAAATTGTGATGTTAAAGTATCATCTGGTTGACAATCTTAAAGTCACTGAGTAGTCGGCTCTCATGGGGAATTCGACACCGTTCGGGTGTTTACCCAATAACAGGTGTTGTCAATCACCAGGGTTAGCCTTGAGTTTTATGACCATTGGACCTTATGTGAAGAAACAGTCAATGAAAAGTCGTAGTAGGGTTGACTTGCTAATTTATTCTATGTCAACTAATTCCATCACACTTGCTCCGTGAAAACTGTATGAACAAAACATGATAAAGAAAAAGAACAGATTATAAGTAATTGTTCATACAGGCATTTTCGAATACATGTGTATAAATAATATCATCAGTTCGCCTATTAAATGCAGTGATTAATAACAAATGAATTTCTTCTCTTTGTCTCTTATCATTTGTGTATATGCAATTATCTATAAACAATACCTTCACTCAAGTCACGTGACCAATATTCGTGGTAGATAGTTTGAATCACAAAGACTTATTAGCATAACGCATATCAATGACTGCGTCCTTCTTATAGCGGACACGTCATTCGTATCGTTAATATCGTATACCTATTTACGTGCATATAATTAACATTGCCTTACGTAGCACCCTAGCTTACACTCTATATCGTATATATCGTATACCTGTTTTACGTGCATCTAATTTGCATATATATAACGTCCACTACAGCCGTATACGGTATCATACGTGTCCGTGCATACACTAATACTACACACACCATTCATTATCACTTAAGCATATTAGATTACATTCATATCATCATTTCTCATTATTTATACTATTTATACTCGTTATACATTAATATATCGAATTAACGAACCTTCTTGCCTCCTTATTGTTGCAAACGGGTTGGCTTCGTATCAATAACAGGTGTAATTTAGGACAAGATTTCGGTGCGAACATCCAATTCGTTGCTACTGCTATGTCGGAATTAGGAAAGCGTAGATGGCGCTATTTCAGCCCATGACGTAAGTCAGAATACTCCTTTTTGTCAGATAAACTAACTCTCATAAACGATCACATTAACATGGCTCCTTTAAATTAATAATTAATTTACCCCTTTTTAGCTTCATAGAAATGACTTGGATTATTTGTTCCTTATCAACATTAATAGTTCAAAATATATCAATATATGTATACATATAGATCTACATCTCAAAATTTCAATTTCTACTTATCTTGAAACGTACATGATCAATTGCGCATGCAGGAAAACAAATCTTTATTCAAGATTTACAGTTCAAATTGTATCGTGAGATTACTTCATCTCTAGTACAGAGCTTGTACCAAGTATCTTATTACAGCATCTGAGTTAAATTAAATTTAACCGCGAGTCTCAAACACTCAGACCTTGCAACTCACCATTTATGACTAGCAATTAGCTGTATTTGCAAGTACTGGATTTAGAAATCGAGAAAATAACCTGGATCAACTCTCAGTTCAAATACTCTGCATGAATTTACGTTGCAAAAGGGGGGTTTCAATTCAGGTTCACATCTAATGCTCATTCATGTATACAATACATACAAGCATAATGATGAAATTGAACTGAAATACCCTTTAAATACATTCTTATAAGTGCAATCACATTGTAATTTTTTGCAAGGTAATTAATGCGATAAAATGAGGTATATCAACTTAATTTCCGTTTTCTACAAATATAGTTGTCATATGCTCGATCTTCCAATTTGATAAGATTACATTTTTTCAAACAGAGAACAAAAAACAAACAGCAATAAAGGTCATTACAGCTCATTCGGAAATGTCGTCAATCCACAAAAAGAGTTCTTGTTGTTGTTCAATCAGATCAATTAGTTCAAGAGTTTACTCAGTTCAATTAGACTTCATTTGAGCTGATGTGCGTCTGTAGTTACAGTTCCAGCATAGTCTTTGTTACAGACCAATTACAGATATTCTTGGTTCTAAAACTTCAATTAGATTATTTGACTAGTCTTATTCTAGACTTTCAGATTTTGCGGGTAATTCGAATTTTGGATCGTCTTATGTTCAGACTTCTATATTTACTTAAATCTATCAAAACCTATTTGTGAGGGATATTAATTACCTTACAGTATTCAAGGCTCCTTGGTCGGGAATCCGTCCTGGTCTTCACGCGGAAGCAGCAAAACCAGTTTGTGTATCGGACGCTCTAGTTCTTTCACAGGTCCTTTACGCTTACCGCTGTCGTCAAGTTCGGAGTCACCCTTTACGAGCTTCACTTTACGAATGAGTCCATCGGTAGAAGGAAAGACCTCGCTTATCCTTGCTAGGGACCATTGATTTCGTGGCAAGTTCTCGTCTTTCATGATGACGATATCCCCAATCTTAGCATCCCGTCGGGGCCGAGTCCATTTCTGGCGTGTCTGTAAGTTCTGGAGAAACTCCTTTCTCCAACGATCCCAGAACTCGTTGATCAGATGTTGTACCCTCCTCCAACGCTTTCTGGAGTACAAATCAGCGTCCTGAAAATTGCCTGGTGGAGGAAGTAAGACTTTCGACTTCATGGTTATGAGATGATTTGGCGTAAGAGGAGCCAAATATGTTGGGTCGTTCAGGTCAGTCACAGTCAGCGGCCTGCTATTGACAATTGCAGCCGCTTCATACATCAGTGTTCTCAGTGATTCATCATTGAGTTGTCTACTCGATTGATACAGCAAAGTTTCAAGCACTCTCCTGGCAGATCTTATTTGGCGCTCCCATACTCCACCCATATGGCTTGCCGCGGGGACGTTGAAAGTGAACTGTACGTAGTCACATCCTTCTTTCATTAGAGTGCCTTTGACATGTTCGTGATTCATTTCTGACCACGCTTTCCTTAACTCTGCTTCTGCGCCAACGAAGTTCGTTCCCCTGTCGCATCTCAGTTGACGTATTGGACCCCTCAGAGCAGCAAAGCGACGATATCCCTGAATGAATGAGTCTGTAGTCAGACTATTGAGTGTCTCAATATGCACGGCTCTCGAAGGCATGCATGTGAAGAGGAGTCCATATCGCTTCATCTCCTTTCTACCTTCCTTTATCACCCATGGGCCAAAGCAGTCGATGCCACAGTAAGTGAAAGGTGCTGCAGGTAACACACGGTCAGACGGTAGATCAGACATCTTCTGTAATTGTGCGGGACTACGTAGCCTATTGCATATGACACATTTTCGTATGAAATTGGCCACTCGATTACTGCTTCCAAGAACCCAAAATCCATTCTCTCTTATCTGGTTCAATGTCATGCCTCTTCCTTGATGAGCAGTCAACTCATGACAGTGACGTATCACAAGGTCCGTTACGTGGCTTCTTTGTGGGAGAATCAGGGGATGCTTTCTGTCATATGAGTCGTCTCCCCTTCGAATTCTTCCTCCAACTCTTAGAATTCCCTTTTTATCCAGGAAAGTGTCAAGTCCATGGAGACGACTTTCTTTCTTTATTTGACGTCTTCTCTGCCTGTCATTCAGATCCTGTTTCCTCTGGATTGACTTCAGGATTTCTATTTCTTCCCCAAAGGCTTCACTCTGGACGTGTCTCAGTATCTCAGTTTCTGCCTGTTGTAGATTCTGCACCGAGACTTTGCCTTGGGAAGTTGAGTCATCATTTGCCTGTCTTGTACGTTTTCTTTGACAACGTTGTTTCAGTCTTGTGATGAACAGCAGACAATAAGCCATCGCCCTCTTTGCTCTATACCATGTCGGGAATCGGTCTAGGCGACTCAGATCAAACTTGGAGTCACCCATTACAGTCGCGTTCACCATAGACTTCTTCACCTCGGGGTCACCTGGTGAAACCTCGAATTCCTCCCCATCATCAGCGCGAGGAACCGTCTCTTCCCATAGAAAATCTGGGCCAGTGAACCAGTTCGAAGTGATGAGTTGGTCAACGGTAAACCCTCTGGAAGCTCCATCTGCTGGATTGTCCTGTGTTCGAACGTGCTTCCACTGCGATGATTCTGAGTGTTGTCTGATCTCACAGATCCTATTTGCTACGAACACATGGAACCGCTTCGATTCATTGTTTATGTATCCAAGTACCACATTGCTGTCTGTCCAGTAGATATGCTCAATGTCCTCCAAGGCTAACTCTCGCTGAAGAAATGTGCTCACCCTAATGGAAACAACGGCAGCTGATAGTTCCAAACGGGGTATTGTTACTGCCTTGAGCGGGGCAATCCTGGACTTTGCCATCACCAGGATACAGTGGACTCTTCCCTCTCCATTCTTAATTCTCATGTATGAGCATTGGCCGTATCCCTCGGAACTAGCATCGGAGAAGTGGTGCATCTGCATGGTCGTAACCTCACCGAAGTCTGCAGGTTTGTAGCATCTCTGTATTGATAGGGAGTCAAGATTATGCAGATCAGTTGTCCATTTCTCCCATCTTTCTCTGAGATGATCTGGCAGGGGGTCGTCCCAATCAGCAGACATCTTACACAGCTCTTGCAGAATCTGCTTACCAG